GAGGGGAGTCTTTGTAAGTCAACGACAGTAGCCGACATTCTTGCCCAAGGAAACACATGTTCGCCTCACCGACAAGTTGGTGGCACAGCAGCGAAGGTCCGACGATTACAAGACCCCTGTCCAGCATCGCGGGCGCGGCGGGCTTCGTGAAAACAGGGTTGGCAAGGATCAGGGCCAGCAATACAGTCCGATCAAAATCCAGCCTTGCCTTTTGGCGGCAAGCTTTGACTACTCTGTGATCTGCTGTTGCTCGCAACGCACCTCAAACGCGCGGGGCCAGGTGAACCTGCTACTTGCAAATCCAATCTATTCATGCAGTCCACGGAGCTGTTTTAAACAAGCAAGCAACTCCGTGGGGGTGGACACCAACCAGCAAGCCCGCTTCACTCTCTCCTCCTTGTTTTGACGATCCTATCCTGGCATTATAGGTATTTCAAGTTCTTAGCAGGGCCCCGAAGGCCTGTGTTCATATTGTTGGTCGGTACTGCTGATGCCTTTACAAGTACAATTCGCTTTTTTACAGTGAAACCCAGCTGAGTAAGAAGACTATACATGCACTTCGTCTTCAGGGTACAAGGAAGGATTCTAGTCTTCATTAATCCCCCGACGAATCTTGAGCAAATGAGGCGCAAGATATGAATAGTGAGGATTACGGACCGTCAGTTTATCACATCTCGCAGTAATTTGCCTCGTGTTACTGAAGCTTCGCCGAATCGATGGAATAAGCAAACAAAAAAAAGCGCTAATATTGACAGCGAAGCAGCAACAGGGATCGGTCGAAATCAACGGAACGCCGCCGGTGGGATAGAACCTTCTTGGAATCAATATTGCAACCCTTGGGCGATGCCCTCCCGTCCTGAACCACATGGCAATTTTATTCTCCAGAAGCCAAGACCGAGTAGCTAACAGAATAAGAAGGACATCCGTTGTCCGCCCTATGGTAATATAGAGTTTATTTTCTTTTTCCTGGTACCATTCCGGACTGGTTACAGCCTCCCCAGTGAAGCCTAGATCTGTAACCCGCGACCTCCCTAGAAGCGAAGCCTCACGATTCGGTGCCGGGAGCATCATAATTTGTGCTTTGTCAAACACTCACCAGCAAGCTCCTTGTAAGCCAACCGAAAAAGCAAGCAAAGCAGACCTAAGCCTTGGCTGACGACTGGCTCACCTGGCAGGGGTCCACACCGAGGCTGGGGGTGCCTTGGTCACCGTCTCTATTCTCTGTAGGGAACTCAGACTCCTTTCATCAGCCTGCGTCGGAAAGGTCCAATTTGCCAGGTCAGGTGAGCGCGGCTGGCTCTTCCAATAGTGTCTCATTCATACTCTGCACTAGCGACGGCCGAAAGCTTTCTGCGGACAGTCACCGCACTTGAGAGTTCACGGACTTCACAACATTGTTCAGGCGAGTGAGTGACTATCCTCACGTCGTGCGAAGGGTGCATCCCTTGGAGTCGTGTCAAGGTCGATCCGTGCTCATTAGGCCTCAGTAGCCAGGCGCCAACGCCACGCCCCATCGACATTTCCAAAGCCCCTCAATTCAAGATAATAGGGGTCTCGAGGGGTCCAAGCATGTCGAGACTCGTGACGACGAGGCGCTGCCAGAGCGCAATAGTTCAGAACGACAGACTGAGCGCCGCGATGGCCTAGAACTCTGCAAAAACTGACACCGTCACGGCTTACGAAATGGCGCCATTTCAGACACGGGCGCGAGGTCCATGGTGACTTTTGGACGGCCAATCCAGTCAAGGTATTGCCACCTTGCCCACGGGCAAATAAACAGCATCAGCAGTCGCGATTTGAATGGGCCGGCTGTCAAGGGCGTGTTTGTGATCGGTTCGAGTGACTCAACATCACACAGACTCCTGTCCAGCGCCCGAGGGAGCCGATCTCTCGCGGGAAATTCCTTGAGAGCTCAGATCCATGCCGGCTTGCGTTGGGGTTGGCGTTCGCTTTGATACGTGGATGCTCCAAGTTGACAAAGTGTGAGTGGGTTTAATGGACGCCGCACTCAATCGGGGACAACGTTCTTGCAAGTTGCGAGCCCCCGTTTTCCCACCCTCACCACTACCACGTATACCGGCCAGCCCGGGCACGAACGAGAATTTGAACTGGATCATGGATGGATGCAGGCCAACACCCTACTTTGCCACTTCTGATGGACTGTTCTCTGGCGGTACCGCCGGGGCTGCTATGCAGTCCACGCTTCTACTGAGCAAGGGAAGAGCTAGTAACATGAGCAGGGACATCCCATCGCTGCGATGAAGGTTCTTTCGACGAGCTTTGGCCCAGCAAAAAGAGTGCTCCAAACGAAACACTTGTCAACGGAAAACCCAAAATGATCGCCGTACAGAGTTCGTTGCATCGGCGTCCCCACCAGGGGCATTGCCCATGGAACCCGTGGGAAGGGAAGCGGGAAACAATCAGTTTTTACGATTCAAAATATCATGAGGCTGTGCTCGTAATCTCCACACTCACCCTCGTGTAAGCGAGGCATTGTCATTGAGAGCCAGGCTGCAGGTGTTCCCTCAGGGCTGTATGGTACTACAGTACGAGAAGATTAAAGCGGGGAGTTGACGACGGAAAGTGGACAATGACGATATCTGGACACAGAAAAGACTAGTGATCATCACCAAACTCATCAGCATAGAGTAAATGCCGCATCAGTGTCTCTCGGACTGATTAGCAGATCTGAACTACCGCTCACGAGGGTTGGTTTCGCAGCTTCCCTCCAATTGTGTCTACTCGTTTGTTTGGGAAAAGACCCTAGTTTAGGCGATCGGGGCGGGCTAGTGTTCCGAACCAACGGTTCAAGAACAAAGGAGAACTCGGTTGTGAGGGCATCTTGATCAGCGGGATAGGCCCTCTTGCCGTGATCTCATACTCTGCATCACTGGGCCTCTAGTGTAGGCCTCAAAGTAACACTGGTTCTGGAACAGGCTCGTCATGGCCATGTCTCGTTGGTAATGCCTTGAGGCGGCAGCGAACTCGTCATTGGATATGTCACGCAGATCACTGCATCTTACCGCCCCGCCAGGCTTGGTGGTCGGGAGGTCATGCCAAAGCCTACCTGTCAACAATCAAACAGCGGCGCTCAACCGCTGTGTCAATGACTCTTTTCCAATCCAGTTGAATGGCGCGTATCAAGAACATCATCAACAACAACAACGATAATTGGCAAGTCGAAAACTACCCCCTTTTTGAAATGGCGCTATATGCGCCAGGGGCCGCTCGCATGACCTCATCCCTTGCGTCAAGCGTGCTCGCAACGGCCGTCTCCCATCTCTTCCCTCCCGAGACACACAAAACAAAGTAGCAACGTGAAATGGCACAGTCCTCAGAGGAATCTGCGTCAGGGTCCAACAGACGCCAGGGAATTCTAAGGGGGCCCAACGGGCCTTTCCCCTCTTTTAGAACCACTCAAGAGGGTTTCGGCGGGCGATCGTCCGCCCTCTTTCTCATGCGAATGGCCACAAATGCAAGCCCCGAACTGATGATCTGCACATTCTTTTCTTGGAAGCCAGGAGAGAGAAAGTTGGATCTAAGGATGCACGGGGTGGATAGGGTTCATGGGGTCGATGCAACCACGAAGTCGCAATTTGCATGTCTCCTTTTCCCTCTCCGCGGGCCTCGACTGAACTCAATTGGTCCTCCCCCGGTTTACTTACTTACATTGGATCCTGGGCTGGCATGCAGTAGGAAAAGCGAGGCTTCAGGGGAATGTCACGAGAATTCTAGCCAGCCAGCGACGATCTCTACGTCCGTCAATCCTTGATTCTTGGTTCATGTTTAATCAGCGGCGAGACCTAAACCTGAGGCAAGGCCTGACTAAAGAGAACAAGGTGTGTCGTCTCGACGATTAGTCCCCAACACCACCTTCCCCGCCGTCTCCGTACGGTAAAGCCGAACGGATTAACAACCAACCAACTTTCCAACCAACCAAATCCCCCGCCCGCCGTACCGTCGCCCGTTCTACCGGGAGGCCGCATCGTATCCCACTGCAAACCCCCGTTCGGCGCTGTGCGACAGCGATATCGTGATACTTCCCCTCTCCCTCGGGACACAGCTTCCCCCCCCCCCCCCCCCCCCTTTTTTTTTTCCCCTCAACTGATAATTTGGATTGCTGGACTAGGTAGTTAAGATTTGTCCAATTATTGTTGTCAGCCGTGAACCCAGCGGCCGGGAGCGTACATTTCTACTCCATCCTGTGACTCCCGCCCGTCGTCGGGCGCCGCATTATGCAACATGGCGCTGGTGCCAATTCGTCTCATGACGGAAAACAAGCCACTACCTCTTACTTACGAGGGACTGTGGATCAACTCGCATGCATTAAACTGTTACTTGCATTTACAATAATCATCGAACGGGTGAAAAGCCATGGCAAGTAGCCGTCGACCTACAGACTGGGGCTCAATCTGCATATTAAAACAAGTCTTCCAAAAGTGTAAATATATCTAATCCACCTAAAAAGCCCCTTCAGCGTCGCGGCTGTGTCACCACAATCGCGGCGTTCGTGACCCAAACCTGAATCCTGCTGCCGGTCACCGGACACTCACCTGAAAGCTGCACATCGAATTTCGAGTACAAGTAGCGGGGGGTTGTAGAGATGGTCGTTTGTGTGAAAAACATAGCCATTCAAGCTGGCCGTGTGTTGTTGGGACGGAGAAAATGTAGAAAGAATGCATGTGCGCGAAACATTATTTGCATGATCCGCTCGACAAAAGCTGCACCGCCAGCCTGGAACTGAATGGGCAAATAAAACATATGGTATACTAATTTACAGACAAGGCAAACCAAACCGGCCTTTGGAACCACATTTGCCAGCCCTGCCAGGCTACCCCTCACCCTTGTCAGTTCCATGATCCTCTTTTTTGCCATCAGCCTCGCCGGCCTCAGCCCCAAGCAGTCAAGTGCTGACACGGCTTGTTGCCAGAACAGAATTGGGCGCCTCGCTTTCTTGTCAAGGATACTACTGCTGCCTTGCACTTCTTTTCACCGACGTGATGACCAACCAACTGGCAGTCACCTGCAAGATAGGGAAAGGGGAGAAAAATATGACAGCCTTCTGCGGCACATTGGTGGCACAAAGGGCCATGGTGTATGCACATACACACAGACGACGGGGTGGCTTTTACCTTTTTGGCATTACGAGACACCGAAGCACAGCATCATCCCCCCTTCCCCCCGTAACGTCCTTCAGTAAGGTGGGTATTAGGCCAGAGCGTCGTCTAGCCGCCAGGAGCCATGGAAGACGGCATGCGGCTTTCCCCCTTTATGCGGGGACGCCGTTTGGTTTCCCTGTTGGCTGCGCGTGCCTGTTGGTTCATGGGTATCATGGCGAGGCTGCGGCCTGGCAAACGTGAGTCGCATTGGTCAAAAGTCAAAGTAGTTGCATATGCAACCCGCGCTGTAACCTAGAGGCGAGCATGTCGTTGGCATGGACGTGATGTTGTAGGGGGAGGTATGTTTATTGGAAGGGTATAAATGTGTTGATGGTTTTTGCCTTCTCTCATGTGATTTTGATTGAATGCGTTCGGGGTCAAGGGTTCACCTGGCCCTGCAGGTGGTCTGCATCTTGGCTTTGCCAGCACTAATTGTGTCTATTCGCTGCTGCTTGTCAGTTTCCACGACGAAGTAACTGGTGTTTATGTAATGAGCGCGTTTGGACCTGGGAATATCACTGGGTTGATTGTTGGTTGCGTGATCTTGAACAACACGATGGTCTACAGTTGGTAGTATAGCAATGAAAGTGCCGCGCAAGGGCACACATCCCGATAACGAAGAGGTGGTGTTTCTAAAACTTGAACAGAATGCTTTAAAATCAACGCATATGATATCTCAAGTTACATCTTAGTTGACATGACTTCTTTGACCACAACCAAAGTGACTATATCTTCAACCACTGTATACCTTGGAACCATGTCCTAGTCATCCAGTTGCTAAAGTCAATCAAAAGTCACCAGGAGCTTTGAGTGTTCTTCATTGTTATCTATCTAAGCTGATGTAACAACTCAAGTATTAGTTTAATCCGATAAACCAAACCAGCATCGCTTCTCAAAACATGTACGTACAAACAGTGACAAAAACCAACAAACAACACGAACGCATAGCTGACAGAACTGGACAGCGCTACAGATACACCCGGACAACATCGACAACTGACAGGTCCGAGGGACACGGACGGGCGCATGCGCACAGAGGGATCCTGTTCACGTACCCAGTATAGAACCCTCTAACATTGAACTCGGTCAGACTCAGGTGGGCATCGACATGTTGGAAAAAAAAAAGTCTAAATAGCCAGGACAAACACAAGCAAGAATGCAGTCGTGACAACAAGGCAGCAGAGAAATGCAAGAAGAAGAAGTTCTCAAGACGCTCACAAACTCACGGCCGGTGCATGACCTGACCTGACCTGACCTGGTCTGACTGAGCCCCTCCTCCCCCCCCCCCCCCCCGCCGCAGTTCACGGCCGAGATGCGTCGGAACACGAACAACAACATTCGATGCACAAACACTGACGCCGCTAAAGCCACCATGTCTAAAAAAGACAAGGCAGCTTTCCAGCTCAGGGCGGGACGTTTGTTCTGCGCATTTTGTAACATGCGCGCTTTTTCCCGTCCGAGTATCGTCGTCCCTTCTGTGGGGTTTTCCCTCCCTCCCCAAGCATCACTGACATTAAAGCCGAGAGTGGATTTCCTCCAAGAGTCCCTCGGTGATGATGATGACGACGCCCGACAACGGGACGAGGAACAAGGGAGGGGGGGGGGGGGAGGAGCACCAGCATTCCGCCTCGCACAGCACACCTCCAACATAACGGTACCTTGCCCGCAGCAAATGATACGAGGGGAATAGAAGCAGAAGCAAAGTGAGTGATACAATGTTGCCATTGCGCTTGGTTTAGATCTAGAATGCCCTTTTCTAGGGATGCCCTTTCTAGGATTGCCCTTAGGAATTCTCGCTAGGTGCAGTTTACAATCATGGTACAAACACCGACCCTCCTTCCAAAATAGCGCATCTCGCCCAACAGCCCTTTCTATAATATACGCGATTTTCCATGTCATTTTACAGCCATCCCGAATCCTTGCCTTACACCTTCATCCACACGTCTACCGCTTCAGAGGGGCACCCCTTGACGTGAAAAAGGGATGCTTCAGCGCATCGGCGGGCTTGATCCGCTTCTCCGGGTTAAGCGTCAGGCAGTGCTCGAGCAGGTCGACAAAGTGATTGAGCTCCCTCGTCTCGGTATCACTCATACCCGCGGAAGCAGCAAAGAGGCGTGTGCGCAAATCACGTGTCGGTTTGACGACAGGTAGGACCCTGGCAGTTGTCTGTGGGCGCGGAGATGTTAGCCTCATGTACGGACATGTTCTGTTTCCACGAAAAGAAGAAAAGAACAAAGCAGTGCGATCAGATAGACGGGGTCAAAGGGTGACGTAGGTCTTCAGTGTGGCGGCGGAGGCCTCAGCTCCAAGGGGGAGAGGAGAGAAACCACAAAATCTGTCAACAGTGACAAATCGACCCGACACTTTGGATCCCGCTCGGGAAAGGGAAAATAGAGGCGAATCAATGGCGAAGGAGCTTTGGCGAAAAAAAAAAAGATGAGATGATGCGGCAGTGGCGACAGAGTCTCATGCAGACACGTATGCATCCTCCGAACATGGGAGGATTTGGTCTCGACCTTTCTGGATGTGGACCAACCAGCAGGCAAGCCATGCGAGTCCGAATAGTCTGAAGTAGTTCGCCTTGAAGTAGTAACTGTCGTCACCCAGCCCCCCGGCCATCGGAGGTGTTGGCTCCTGAACTCCCGCGACGCTCGGGCCTTGTAGACGGCCCCGGATTTGGAGTGGAGTATGCATACGTATGCGCAGCCGCGCCTCGCCCCAGCGCTTACAGCCGCACTCAGCCTCCGACCAAACGGCGGCGGCGCAGCGAGAGTGGCATCTCGTTTGGATTACGGCCTCGTGAAGGGGCCATGAAACAAACATGCAAATGCATAGACGTTGGGAAAATGGGGAACGGGGGGTGTCGTGGAAACCAAAGGAACAATGAAAAGCTGCAAACGCAAACGAAAATCGACGTACCTTTCCAAGCACCTTATCTCTCTCCATGCTCACGAAGTTGCCTTGCTCGTCAAAGTGCATCGGTGCCAGCTGACCTCTCTTGTACAGCTTAGGTGTGATCTTGCCACGAATTTCCATAATGGCCTTGAGCATCTGATTGTTGCTGTCACCAGCAAAGAGGATCTTGCCGGTGTACAGCTCGTACAAGGTGCAGCCAATGGACCACATGTCGATGGCGTAGTCGTAGGGAATGCCGAGAATGACCTCAGGGGCTCTGTAAAATCGACTGACAAGGTATGGCGTAATCTCATTATGCGCCGTGGCCGCGTCAGACTTGTCGATACCTGTACCCAAATCGCAAATCTTCAACACATTGCGGCTCTCGTTGACCTGTGAATGGGTTAGGACAAGTTCATATTTTGGCTCAAGACAAGGGTGACCTACTAGAATGTTGTCAGGCTTGAGATCGGCATGGACGATGCTGCATTTCCGCATATGAGCAAGACCAATGAAAATCTGATGAGCATAAGCACGTGTCGCGCCCAGGTTGATTCCCACGTTGTTGCCAAACTTCCTCAGTACCTCTCGGAGGTTGAGGCTGAGGTTCTCGAAAGCCATGCACAGGTGTCCCTTGTGGTCGAAGTGCCGCTCAAACTTGACAATGTGCTTGCGGTTCTCGGGGTCGGCATCATTGAGCTTCTGCAAGATGGCAATCTCGGTGAAACCTCCCTTTCTCAGGGCGTCGTTGTTTCTCATAATCTTAATGGCGACCAGTTTCTTGTTCGTTATGTCCACCGCTCGCGCTACGCCAGAGAACATACCCTTGCCAAGAGTTGACTGGACCTGATAGCGGCCGTTCAAGATTTCACCGATACGGATCTTGTAGTATCCGTCCTTGTCGTCGCCCTCGAGGAAGGCCCCGTTGGGCTGGGCGAGAGCAGGCGAAGCCTTGCTTTCGTCTACGACGGCAACCTTGGCAGGTTTGGGGGCAGTGTACTTCTCATCATCAAATTCTTCAGCAAACATGTCAAAATCATCATCGTCCTCATCACCAGATGGCTTTTTGGCGGGGGCTTCTTCCGGCTGCTCCTGAGAAATCGCTTCGGGTTGCGGGTCGAGTGCTTCGCCATGCATGCCAACATTACCGTGCCGCAATTCGTCGCGTATCCCGTCCTCCTTCATATCAACCGTAGGGTCATAGTCTGCTGCCGAGGGACCATCTTCTTCTATGGCCTTGCCGACCCCATGCGTGTTCATGAGGTCCTTCTCGTTCAAGACGTCAATAGCACCAGGGGAGCTTCCGTCTTGCGCTGGCGATCCGATTTCTAAACCCTTAGTAGAGGCACTGAGATGTGTGACGAGCTGCTTACCTGAGACTGGGGTATCGACATCTCCTGCTGGCGTGCTCTGCCGCGCCGGAGAGGAGACCGCCGACTTGTCAGCCGCATGCAGGGCATGGACAAGTAGGGGAGTAGCAGAGCTGGATTTTGCAAGAAGCTCATCCCGACGTCGGCGTCGGCGTTCGATCTCAGCCTCCTCATCGATAACCATGGGCTCCTCAAAGTCTGGCTCGGGTTCTGCTTGCGGGGCTCTGAAATCCAAAAGTTAGCGCGTGTGACGCATCAACGTGGTTTGCAAAGATGACATACTGCTGATTTTGCGAGGGGCCTGCAAACGAGTTCCGGTCTTCTGCAGAGTTTTTCACAGGTTTAGCATCTGAGTTAGAAGCACGCGAGTCCTTTCCTACAGCGACCCCATTTGGCTTTGAGTCTCCGTTTCGGGCGTCCCGGTCTCTGTGGTCGTCGTATTTCAATCCGCGGAACGAATCGCTGAGACGGTCGCGTCCGCCGTCTCTGGCATGACGATCGTCCCGACCTCGGTCGCCGCGCGGAGGCCGGTAGGGGGATCTGGTACGGTTACGTGCTCTCTTGTCCGGATACCTGTCCCTCTCGTGGCCACGATCCCTTTCTCTTTCCCTGTATCTGTCTCTGTCTCTGTCACGGCTCCGTTCTCTATCGCGCCCGTCGTAGCTGTGATTCGAGCCGCGCGAGACCGGGCGGTCCAAGTCTTCGTAGGAAACGCGGGTGCGGCGATAGTCATCCCGTTGGCCGTCCTCGTAATGAACGCGAAAGCGGCGCGTGTCCTGTCGCCCGCCTGGACCTCCGCCGGCGTATTCACGGTCGTCGCGGGATCGCTTGAACCCGCGGGGCGACCGGCTCCGTCTCGATGACGAGGAGTAACTGTGGTTGTTGTTTCTGGAGGAGGCGGCATGGGGGTCGTATTCGGGAGATTTGGAGGCCGAGTATCTATCTCGTGTTCTGTCTTGACGGTCAACACCGTTTCCCTCAAACTTCTTCGGCAGTGAAGTTGCCTTCAAATCCCCAGAGTCATTCTCGATGATCTCGCCCTCGTCCGAACTCGACGCCATGATTGAAAAATGACGCGAGTTTTCTCTGAGTAGCGCAAAGGCTCCTTCTCTTCAACAAGAGATTGTGTGCGTGTATGCAAAGCAGGATCCGCCAAAGGGAAGCTCCCCTAGGTCTTTTGCGCGCGCAAAGAAGCAAGCGACGTGTCAGCAGAGATCACCAGACTAATTGTACGTGCAGCAGGAATAGTTTGCGAACCGGATGACTGTGTCGACTCAGCTCATGGGGGAAGAAGGGAAGCAGGCGACACGAAAGAAGCCAAGAAGAGCCAGAGCAAAAGAGACGGTGGGGGGAGGAGGAAGGTGACTGTTGTTGCTGGTGGTGGTGGTGTATATAATGCAAGTATCAAGGAAGGGTTGTTGATTTCTCCTCTATCAACAAAGCTGGTGGGTTCAGCGATCAAGGGTCGAAACGGGTTTATGGCCCTGCTTGTGCTGAAGATGCCGGTCACCTTGCTAGGATGATGAAATGCGACGAGACGAAATTTGGTGACGAGACATGACCAGTCGCAGTAACTTGGTGGCACAGGAACAGACGTCAAGCGTAGAATGTTCTGATAGGACCCACTTGTGGGGGTGGCCTGCATTGAGGCGTTTATTTGCATCTTTCTAGTGCATTGCCACTACCGGGACTTATATACAAATAATACTTATATGCATATAAACGAAGACCCCTGTTAGCCGCTGACCGATTCCTGTAGCTGGAGGGGCAATTTTCACCCCACGTCCGATGGTCTCTTTGCGCCGCCGCTCCTTCTTCTCTCCTTTAAACTCTTTGCACATCTTGCAACTCTGCGACTTCAGCCTTGCTATCTTCAGCACTCCACGCCCAAGTTGATACTCGTCCCAGACTACCACCAGACAAAACTACAAAATGGGTGGCGCAAACCGTGAAGGTTAGTTTCTTTTGTTTCTAGGCTACTGTTTACTCATGTGTGCTGACGGATGATAAAACAGGTGGCAAGGCCAAGCCTCTCAAGGCCGCGAAGAAGCAGGCAAAGGACCTCGACGAGGACGACCTCGCCTTCCTCGAGAAGAAGCGTGCCGGTACGTTCTTCCCGCGAACACTTCTAAAGACTTTTGCGACTGCACAAAGATACTAATTCGACCCTACAGAGGAGAAGGCTCGCAAGGACATGGCCGCTAAGGCCGGCGGCAAGGGACCTCTTAACACCGGCGCCCAGGGCATTAAGAAGAGCGGAAAGAAATAAACTGCATGATCTCTGAGTGCGATGGAGTTGCCGTAAGGGACGGACGTTGAAAGTCGACAGCCGACAGCAGACAGCTTCTGTTTTCGACGTATAGACATGGCTGGTCTCGACATTATTTTTTTTTTTACCCCGGGAGCCAAAGGCGTATACTTTTACATACCTACGCGAGCATGCAATGAAATGACTTTAAACGGAGCCTTGGAAATAAGAATAACTGGAGCTGCGTCGCTTTCGCATGGGTGATGCTGGTATGGTCCTGACTTGTCATTCATGCCTTGGACTCAGATCACCTGAGCCTCTATTCCGTTTGACTCGGATGCAAGACTAGATGGATGTGCCAAAAAAAATCTCACAATGAACATGGGATTCTTTCGTGTGCTTCCAAGAGCAGTCGTCTGGTATTGTTTCTTATCACAAGACAATCGCGTGCGAGTGCTGATCCCTTTACCCACAAGACCCTTCGCACAGGAACCGTCTCCATCCAGTGTCCGTCTCAGTGTGTGTCACGGTCTCCTGTGTCGATTTTTAAGGAGGAGCTGCTCCGCTGCGGTGTGATGGCCAGCCAGTCTCACCGACGGACCGTCGCTCAGTGTGCCCGCTGTATTCGTCCCTCCACTTGGCACCAGCTGGGAAAGCTCCGAACGGAGCCCGTCAAACGGCGTCGGAGCCGGGAAAAGCGCAATTTTCAGCATGTGGAAATCCCAACAATTCCCATTACATCCCACCAGGCCGATTTATCCATCCCTGGCCGACCCGCTGCTCACCCGCTGAGTGATGTCGCTAGGGAGCAATATCACAGGCCTTAAACACCCCTTCATCCGCATTGCTGAGGATGAATTTCAATCTTTTGGCACCATACATTCATTTTCTCTACAGAAACATACATTACTTCAAATAAACCTTCAGCAGCGTATTGAATCTTATTAGAGCGAAGGAAGAAAAAAAGAAAAAAAAAACAATGACTGCCGCCGCAAGCGCTGATTCAGCCGGCGTGAGAAACCGCAACACCAAGTCGCAAGATGCTTCTCATGAGTCCCTCCTCACCACCGTAGAACACAAGGCCCATGATATCGAACAAAAGATCGAGCGCGCCCTTCTCCTACTCTGGGATGACCTTCCTCACTGGCGCCGCGACAACTCCTACATCCTCTCCGGCTACCGCCCAGACTCCAACTCGTACATCGGCTCATTCAAAAGCCTGGGCTACTTGCACAATGAGTCTGTCAACATCTGGTCTCACCTTCTCGGCGCCCTCGCTTTTCTGGGAGGTGGCGCGTTCCTCTACACCGTTATTGCGCCTCGCTACGAAACAGCTTCGGCCTCCGACATAATCGTCTTTTCCTGTTTCTTCGGCGGCGCCGTCGCATGCCTCGGCATGAGCGCCACCTATCACGCCCTGTCTAACCACTCGCCCGCCGTTGCGAAATGGGGCAATAAGCTCGACTATTCAGGCATAGTCTTTCTCATCGTCGGCAGCTATGTGCCTGCGCTTTACTATGGATTCTTCTGCCACCCGGGCCTGATGACAATGTACATCTCCACGGTATATCTCCCCCTTGATATATGTTTACAAACACATCGCTAACTTCTTGTCACAGATCGCCCTCCTAGGCCTCGGCTGTGGTATCGTCTCTTGGCTTGAGCGTTTCCGCACCCCAGAATGGCGCACTTTCCGTGCCTGTCTTTTCGTTGCTCTCGGTGCGTCGGGCGTCGTCCCCGTTCTTCACGGCTTGAGCGTGTATGGACGCGGATATCTCGAGAACCGCATGAGTCTGAGTTGGGTCGTTCTGCATGGCCTCATGTACATCTTCGGCGCGTTCCTATACGCTGCCCGCTGGCCCGAGCGGAGTTCTCCCGGCACATTTGATATCTGGGGCAGCTCGCATCAGATTTTCCACTTCTTCGTCGTACTTGCGGCCGTCACGCATTTCTATGGCATGGCCAAGGCGTTTGATTATCACCACACTGTCATGGGGTCGCAGTGTTAGTACCTGAGAATAATAGCGCCGATGGAAACGACGTAAAACTTTCCATAATGTAGATGAAAAAGAGGTATTGTTTAATAAAGGGTATCATTCAACATCATGCGCCCGCGCCCCGCATGAGGCGCCGCTGCCGGGCCAAGTCTAGCATTCCACTCCCAAATCCAACACCCTCACCAAACCCGACGCCATGGCAATGGCCGCCCAGCACGAGACCTCCCGGTTCGGGTTCCACGCCATGGTCATGACTCTCGTCAACGGTTCGGAGAGCACCGCCCTCTTCGGGTCCGCAAAGTGTCCGTCCCCTTCCTCCGGCCCTCCTTGCACATCCGCATCGTCCTCCTCCGCCGCCGCGTCCGCCTTTCCCTTACCCTTCGCTTTCGCCTTGGGCTTCTTGGGCTTCTTCTTGTCCTTCTTCTTGTTGATCGCGACCTTGGTCTTCCACGTGTCGATTTTGGGATTGACGTTGGGGACAGGCTTGAAGCCCTGCAAAATCCTCGACGCGCCGCGGCAGCCGTCATTAACATCGCCCTCCGCAATCTCGGACGGCGGTAGCCTCTCCCGCGGAATGTACTGGTGGTCAAACACCTTGATCTTGTGGCCGAAGTGGTGCTTGGACGCGAAAATCCTGTTCGCCGGGTTCGCCGCCCACACCGTCCCGTCAAGATATCCGACCAAGACAAACGGGTGGTGCAGGCCAACGGCAAGACACGCAGGCAGTCTGTCCCCGTCCATGACCTTGCGAACCTGCGCCGCGTACCACCTCGAGTGCACGAAGCCGACCGACGCGTTCAGGGGGTTCGCCGAGGGCACCACGCTGAAGAAACCCCGGAGGTGATCATTCCACTGCAGGAGGTTCGGCTGGGGGCTGATGGTGAAGCAGGGGAAGCTCGTCCGCTCGCATGAGGGGTCTGAAAGGTCGACAAGGGTGGTGTAGCCGGCGATCGGAGTCGAGGCCACGAGGTAGGGGTTTGAGGGATACGCGGAGTCGATGTGCATGACGTACGTCGAGTGCACATCGTAGCGGGCGAGGCACACGCGCGGGGCGATGGACCATAATGACAGAGACCCGTCAGAGTGGCCTATTACGAGACGGTTCGTGTTGATCCAGGCGAAGCAGGTGGCTGTGACGTTCGTTTCGGAAGTGAGACCGAGGGAGACGATGGGGGTCTCGAGTTTTGCTGGGGTTTTGTCAGTAGATGCTGCCTGGAGGGGAATAATAGACCTTACTGAAAGAATCTTGCTCATCATCGGTGATGTCTTTGATCGAGACCACATGAACTTGTCCATCGCCACAGAGAAGTGCCACTAACCCCAGAGAACCATCGTCTGTGAATGGGACAGGACACCACTTGATCCTCTTGATTCTGCCCCAGTCCGCGCATACAGTTCGAGCAAGCCGTGCAGGGCTGTTCTCTGGGTAAATCATGCCGTTCTCGTCCTCCACGCTGCGAACCTCCCACAGCTGTATCATGCCCTTCTTCTTGTCATAAGAAGCCTCAGAAACCAACTGCTGGTCAGAGTGGGGGATGACAGCAAGCGCGAGAATTTGCGACGCTCCTTCAGCTCTGATGGCCCAGTCCATGCCGACAACGAGCCCGCCAACATCAAACATCCACCCGGCAGACTTTTCCTCGGAAGCCTTTTCCAGAGGCAATCCCGACTCCGACAAAGTGATGCCGTCATACGGGGCAATCCTCACTTCCTTCTGCTCCGGATATGGCCCGAGCAGCGTAGCAAGCTGCCCTCCCGGCTGGATGCGGTACTCGGCTGCCTCCTCGGCACTCATGCCCCTCTCACCCTCCGTCCACCCCTTCTCTTCCTTGACCCGTACAAACCATTCCCTCGCCACCTTCTCCTGCTGCTCGGCGTAGCCCTCTTCAAGCCACGGACTCGGTACAGGACACGCATCGCCATCAGGCACTTTGCTCGGGAGGACGCCGTACCCAGCCCACCGGTTCAGTAACCACCCGGCAATCCTGACCGCCTCCTCCTCTGGGCCGTAAAAAAAGTCCAGTACCTGAATCCTCTGGCCCCTCTTGAGCGCGCCGGTGTAGTACCGCGTCGGTCTACCGTCAGCATGGTACGGTTCCAGGGCGGTCATATCGGTAGGCTTTTTGCGTAGGCCAGCCGAGCTGGTGTACGTGGGTTGCTCGTCATCGTCGTCATCATTGTTGGCGGCATTAACAATGGTCAGTGATGAAGGGTCTTCCGCCTCGAAATCGTCATCGCCATTGTCGACATCCATGCGGTCGTCCTCATCGTCTTCCGGGTCCGGGGGCGGCGCCTCAAAATTTTCATCATCGGGATCATCATGGACGTCGGGGGGCTCGCCGTCGGAGCCGTAGTCTATTACAGCTACGCGCCGCGTTTTATTACGGGGACGAGTCCTCACCATTGTTGTGCCGGTGAGACTGGTAGGTGAGATTGCGTAGGAGGTCGAGTGAGGTGAAGAGTGAGTGAAAATGTTGGTTCGATTCAGGTTACGGTCTGTGTGAATTACTACCTGTGCACGGTGGGTTGACGTCTGTAGGTAAGCCTCTTAGTGGGCTGGTGGGGCAAAGTTTGTTTTGCGGTGCACGTTCCGGCGTTTAAATACAGTGTTAGACGTTGGTTGACTACCGAAGAGGCTCCTCGAGGCTTAACGACCCGGTTCTGCGGAAATCGGCGTTATTCATATTCAACAGTCGCCCAACTAATAATGAAAACTAGCTAATTCTCTAAATGGCATGAATTTATTGTGTGATTTTTTTTTTTTTTTTGAGCACCAGCGGTCGCAGCCCGGGGCGCAGAATATGAAGTATTGACATGGACTATGGCTCGGTGTAACCCCCAGTTGGCATCATCATCCATGTAACCTAAAGAAGACCAAGCTTTAGTTTGAGGTAAAACTACTATTTGGTAGATGAGGCAGGTAGTCCTCAAAGCCACTGCTCTGGTTACTGTACTATGTATGTTGTTTCACTTCTATCATCGTGTTGTAAAGCGCTCTTCTCAATACAAGTTGAAAACAGGGCAGCCGACGGTTCCTGTTCGTCATGAGCGCCGTTGGAGTCGACATGGATATTTCAAGGTAATATGGCTCGGATTGAAGAAATATTGACATTATCGGGCGTAAAGCTCTTCCGTTGTAGCACCAGACCAGGGAAAACTAGCTGACTTATAAAGTCAAGAACCATTGGAATAGGTACTACTATGTACATCCAGAGCAATGAAGGGAGAACTTGAAGATCAGTAGGCCAAGCCATATGTGGAGTAACAGTGGAAGCTGTCTCTTAGTGACCTCGCTTATTATGAATCGTTACATGATCTAAAGTTTTCCTTGCATTTGAATCGATCATATCTTACTGGCCGGTATCGTTGTCAGGGGTCTCCGCATAGCCAACATGAATTGGATCTAGAACTTACGAATGCTTGTTCAATACAAGAACTTTTCAAGACAGTTGAGTAGGCCGGGGTGGCATCCTTTGTACGGCTCTTCCTCTAGACAGCCGTTTCCTACTATTAAAGCCACAATAGGTCTTGGTGGTTATTAGTGGGGGTCCAGGATGCCTTGAACCGTGGCGCGTAACCCACATCATCGAAAAGACATTACCCCTTCATAAGACAACCGTAATTTCACGACGTCGAGATGCGGCGTCGTTGAGGTTGCCATGAGTCGTGCGTCAGCGGCGCTCATGCGGCTAAAGCACCCGCTTCGGCTTCGCTACCCTGAATTTGACACCCGCGTCTTGGCTGACCGAACAACACCATGAACACACCCCACACTGCGGACAAGTCCGTATCCACATACTCCTCTGCCAATTCTTGTCCTCTCCTGGGCGAGAATCCAACGGAGAGATTTGTATGGACCTGATGTCATGTTTACCAGTCAAATTCGAGTAAAACCAGTGCTCCTGTCTCCAGAACGGCCATGGCGGGCTGGGCGGCATCCTTCCATATACCAAGACCGTACCAAGAAATACCTGCTATGGATCCAATGCTGGACGGCAGATGGAGTTTCCTTTCCCCCCACGGAGTTGCTTACATCCAACTCTGCATCTTTTCATGAACAATGCGGAGTAAGTGGGAGGTAACCTGGGGTAGTGTGGGGAAGCTTGGAAGAGATATAAAATCACGAAGCTTTGTCAAAGGGAACAAACGGACAGTGTCATCGAGTTTCCTTTATATCTTTCTTCCAAATTTTCAAATGGCGAATGACAAGGTGCCTGATGCCCCCTCGGGCAACGAGCCCGTTATACATGGTAGCACCATGGGAGCCGCAGCACCTCACATCGCCTCGGAGAAGGCCGTCGGGGATGATTCTGACACGCTCGAAAGAGCGCCGACTCATCAATCCGAGGCCTTCAAGGAAGCCCAGAGGCAGAATGCGCTCGATGCTCTGGGTATTCCTGACTGGCAGGCCAAGGAAAAGAAGATTGTCCGGACTCTGGATATGACTCTGCTTCCTCAGCTGTGGATTCTATACATGTTTAACTACTTGAACCGCACAAACATTGCGTAAGAGAAGATGGCGAAGTGCTGAATCGTTGCCGTTGTTGTACGTTGCTAACCGTCTACGAACCAGCCAAGCCCGCCTCGATGAAGACTTTGAAGCAACGCTTCAGCTGGGAAACACCGACTATAGCACCGCTGTGGCCTTGCTCACCGTTGGGTCAGTCAAAGCCTCCATTTCCTATGGGCTTTACTGACTCTCTGCAGTTACATGTTGGCCCAGCTGCCCTCCAACATGCTCATCACCCGAGTTCGCCCTGCCGTCTACCTGCCACTTTGCGCAATCCTGTGGTCTGGAGTTTCCGCAGCTACTGCAGGTGTGACTAGTCCAGGTCAGCTGTTCGGTGTTCAGTTCGTGCTGGGAATCATTGAAGCTCCCTTATTTCCTGGTGTAAGTTTCCAGCATTCTACTTCACGTAGTCAGAGCTAACACTCCGACAGGCTGTGTATCTCATGTCGTGCTGGTACACTCGCAGAGAATTAGCTCTTCGTACCGCGCTTCTCTATTCCGGCTTGGTTCTCGCGCAGGCTTTCTCGGGCCTGATTGCTGCCGGCGTCTTCTCCGGTATGTCGGGTGCTGCAGGCGTTGCAGGCTGGCAGTGGCTCTTCATCCTTGAAGCAGCACTCAGCGCCTTCTTTGCTCTGACTGCCTTTTTCATCCTGCCAAACTACCCGCACTCCAAGAATGGAGGCGCCATGTGGTCCATGACTGAAGAGATGCGGAGAATCGCTGTGGCCCGTATCGAGGCCGACCGCGTGGAGGAACCTACAAACTCGACTGTATGGCAGGGCTTGCGCCTGGCGCTGACAGATTTGAAGACGTACATCTTCGTAAGTTCAACTCGTTTGGTCTGTTTTCCACCCTCGCTCACATCAAGATAGATTTTCATGAACATCTTCATGACCTCCTCGTACGGCTTCAACAACTTCTTCCCCACCATGGTTCGCGGCTTTGGCCTCGGCAGCAGCACAATGGCTCTCGTCCTCACCGCTCCACCATACATTCTCGGCACTATTGTGTCGTTCTGCGTGGCATGGTCATCAGACCGTAAGAAGGAACGTGGTTTCCACATCATGGCCAACAACTGCGTCTCCATCGCCGGTTTCATCATCTCGGTGGCGACGCTAAACACGCCTGCTCGCTACGCCGCTGCCTTTCTCTACACATCTGGTAGTTTCTCGGCGAACGCGTTAGTATACACTTGGGCTGTGTCATCGCTCAGTCAGACACCTGAGAAGCGTGCCGCTGGCGGTGCGATTGTGAACATCATGGGCCACCTTGGCAACGTCATGTCACCTTACTTCTTCCCCGACAGCGACGCGCCGCGCTACACGATGGCCATGATTCTCCAGATCGTGTTCGCGGGGTTGACGTTTACCATGGCATTCACGTCCAAGACGTACTTGAGGAGGCAGAACAAGAAGCTCAGAGTTGTGGCGGATGATACCGGTGCTGTGTACAATCCGTTTACTACATAAGTTGCTACGTCTCGATATAGCAATTTGAGTTGTGGACTCAAGATCTCATTGTCCGATGTGAAATACGACGTTGATGACTGAAGAGATAATGTAAAGTGGAAAGAAGCCTGAAAGATACGGGAGCGTGACTCTGTTGATGTTGCCGAATCACATATCCTCCCAAGCCAGGAACTAAAATCAAGGCTCTTTACAAAGTAAATGAAAGCTAATCGTAAGTGAATGTCTAGTTTGCATAAGTCCTTCGGCAGTCCCTTAACCAACCCTCGCCAAGGCCGCCCAGTTCAGCAATCCCAATCATTCTCTCTCCCCAGCTCCCTCCACATCCTCCTCAACTCCCCATCCCTATGCCCCTCCTCGTCACAAACCATCTGCTCATGCAAACACGCCAAGCACAGCCCCTTCACCTCTCTCTTCCACTCATTCACCCCCTTCTCCATACAAACCTTATAATAAGGCCTCTTTCCTCTTTCCCCAGGTGGCGCGTATTCCCTGTAAACTTTTTCGAGGGACGGAATGCGATTATACGCCAACGCCGGGACCTCGACAGCCTGCTTCACCGCACCCGAAATCGACATGTACGAAATCTCCCTTGAGAAAACTTCCCTATCAATACTCCGCAGTACCTTTGAAATCGCCACGTTCTCCGTAAACCTCGTCCGTCTGCGGAACCCAAAAAAGGATCGCCCCGGAATGTAATCGAGAAACGGGACGTTGACGTGCTCCATAAGGACTGCGTAAAGGGATAGTCGGAGACTATTCCTGCGAGACTCCAGCGCGACTGTGACCGTCAGTACCTTGACCTTAGTATCGAGAAGAAAAAAGAAAAGAAAAAAAACTTACGCGCAAGTTTCCAAGCAAGCAGCTCTTCGACGCCCTCCCTCTCCTCAGCCAAGCCTTCATAACCGCCCTTGACCTCGCAAATCAACATCCTCGTAACCTCCTTAAACACCCGCTCGTTCTGGAACCAATAACTTGCAAGCAGCAAATCCCCCCTCCGGAACCCGATACAGTCGTCCTGCGCCGCATACTTCAACCCCTCCAACTTCCCAGGGGACAACCAATGCTCCACGGCCAACGCCAGCGCAGGTGCGCAGTCGTACTTATCCGCAGCGATCGCGACACTCAGGACTTGCTGCGGCGAGAGGTCATACAGTGAAGGATCGGTGCGGTTGTGGAGGACACGGCAGATCGTCTCCAGGGCAGCGGGGTCGTCTTCCGGAAGAGGTATGCGGGCAGGCGAGGAGGACGTCGCGGCGAGGACGGCGGCGGATTCGCTGTACTTCAACTCCGGGTGCGAGTTCCGCAGCATCGACGCGAATACGCGGGATGCGTTGGAGAGGACCAGGGCGTGGACGCGGATCTCGTGAGATGCGGGCCCGACGAGGAGGACGACTTCGCCTTTTGGTGCGATTGGTGGCCGTGGTGGTTCGGGGTTGGAGGTGCAAAAGTCTTTTACGTCGACTTCACTGTGAATATGTTTTTTTTTAGTTGCTGTGGTAAAGTAGATTGTGTTAAAATGCACTTACACCCTATGCACCGATAATGACCTGGACGAACTACTGCTGCTGCTGCTGCTGCTGCCGCTGCTGCTCATCTTCGGGCTGTAAGAAGAATATCTTGAGTAAAAAGTGTTATACATTTTCGCAATACCGTCGAGACTACATGATATACTATAACCCAAAAAAAAAAAAAAAAAAAATGCACTGCAAAATAATCCGGGGTTAAATCAGCATAAAAAGTGTCTCTTTGACGGTCAAAATGTCGTCTGTGGTTCGGTAGGACTCCAATAGCGCACCCGGCCCGGTGGTGGCGGAGTCGGGCCCGCGGCAAAGGTCCCCGCCAACCCCGGCCTTGGCTGTAGGACTCCCGCGAAGGAGCAGGACCTACATACCCAGGACCATCAACAGACATGACTCCCGCCTTGCCTGTTTTTCAACCCCGTCGTAGGCCTCAGTTCTGCCTAGTCTTCAGCCTAGCATTGTGCCTCGGGGCCTGGTCCAACAACACGGACGTTGACGCCACAAGGGCACTGAAACAGATGCGCTAAGCACCAAAGGCGGTTTTAGGTCCTACCCAGCTGCGCCCTCAAAAGGCGCTTCTTCACGAAGCCCTGGCTTTCATTAAAGTTTGTGTGTCTTTTGATGGGTATTTTAACGGGTGGTATGAACATCAGCCAGCAGATATCCCCTTACAAGCCTCATTCCAGGCATCGCTGCCAGCGCAGTCCTAACTTCAGCGTCCTCCACATTCATCTCGTTAACATCCGTTTCTGTCGTCCCTGTCTTAGCCATGACCCAGCCTCTGGCCATCTCACTCATCCAGGTCTTGTCTAAACGTTGCATCCAGTCTTCGTCCCGATGACTTCCCGACATCGTGGGCCTTGCAGCTGCCCACCCTTCGAGGTCAAACCCGCAGAAGAAGGGACATTGCCAATGCTCTCGCAATGCGGCCTTGAATCGCGCTATCTCCTCTGCGTCTTCGAGGTCAAGTATCCGTACTGTATCGACGCGCCCGAAAAGGTCGCCTATGACATTGGGGTCCCAGGCACATCGGCTTGCGATGGAGGTGTCGAACTTTAGACTGACTTGCCTCAGCGAGCCCGCTTCTCGGAATAACTGAGCGAACCACTCTGCTTCCGCACGAGGGGCGAGAATGTGCCGTGCCCTCTGGACGAGGCTTCTAACACCGCGCGGTTCATCCGCCTCGAGTGAGACCCATCGTTCCAGCTCCAGGACATCATGACGAGCATCAAACCACGTTCGATACGTCCTTGCCTGATCATTCGGGCTCCTTGCATAACCGGTCAGGCACACCATTCCTCCATGCTGCGTCGCAACAGCACGCGCCTCGCGACAAGCCTCCGCTACTGCGGGCGGTCGCAGCGTTGGCTTGAAAGCATCCTTTGTCGATTTGTGCAGGCGGAGAGCTCTCGTCGGCAACGCCAGCGACCAGATACGATGTCGAATTTCGGGAGGCAGTCGTTGGAACTGCGGGAAGCTCGGGATAGCCGAGGGCGAGACGCGGTTTGAGAGCATTTTCTCCATCGCATCGACCCGCTTCTCCAAGGCCGCCTGCGATCGCGCAATCTTTTCCAGAAGGGCAATCGTCTGAAGCTGCAAATCTCTTGTAGACATTTCGGAAACTTGAGCTGAAAGCTCTTCTTTACCCGTGAAGTGCATTGTGTAAAGGTGCTCGTTGTTGATCAGCTGCTGACGGTAATCTTACATTTGCTTCCGCCTCGGCTTTTCCGACTGAGACGGCGAGACAACGGACCACCGGACGAGACATCAAGGAAAACTGCCATGATGCGAGACAAGCCTCTGGCCGGGAGCTGCGGGGGTTTTTGCTTTCACCAGGACGTCCCAAAAATATAACCATCTACCCCCCTCCTCCTCAGAGTGATGTCCTTGGCATGGTGGGTTTAGTTAGCGGATCGTCTGTTGTTCGCGTGGTTTGTCATTATGCTACAGCATGCACGCCCCCTAACTAAGCATCTTGGTAAGCAGTCCGTCTGATTGTGCATGTCAAGCTGGACTCCATTATTGGCAAGTTTATTGTGCTGCAACACGGTTCTGATTGGACGGGACCCGCCGGGGCCACACGGAATTGCTAACCCTTGTACGGAGAGTATGAGCACAAAATGTTCTACAGCTTGAAGTCGGCATTGCTTTTTTCCCATCCTTTGGGTGTCTCGTCCAGATCGGCGACTTTATCAACCAGTCTCAACTTGAGATTCCGGTTTCTCTCTGTGCATAACTCGTATGTTGTGCTGAGATTGAAGAGGAGGGTGTGCGACGAGTAGCCTGAGTCGACCATGTCTTCGAGGAGAGACCGGGCCTATGTTCAGTCAGCATTTTGTCATGCGCGAATGCAAGTCTCGCGGGGGGGGATGGAGGCTGACCTCAGTCAGTTTGCCCGTGTATAGAAGGCACACCGCCATATTGACACCAATCATCTCGTCCATTATTTCCTCCTTCAGTCCCCGCCAGGATTGTAATGCTGCGTCATACTCCCCGTCAGCCATTTGGCAGAGCGCCGTGACTACCATCTCAGCATGCTTCCCATCTTCTCCAGAGTCCTGTACGCATCGGCGCGCCGAGTCCGCATCACCAAGATGCAGCCACATGAGAGCCCGGGAAAGCGCCAGTTTGCCATCGCCCCTGTCCTTCAGCGTAGCTAGATGATGTGCCGCGCCGGAAAGGTCATCCATCTCGATGAGAGCACCGGCGACGTTGATCCCTAAATCATGCAGCCGCGCCTTCCAAAGCTCGCGTGCCGAGTTGTCATGCCGAGATGTGGCCTTGCTGATCTGCTCTCGTGCTTCCCTCGCCAGATCGTGGTAGCTCATGACGGATCTTCTGGGGTCGCCAAAGCCCAATGCCTGAAGTCGAACATTCAGCACACGCAGCTCCCAAGGTACCAGATGTTCGCCAGTGTTCTCGTCAATGTAAATGGCTGCATTGAGGTCTTCTAGCGCCCTGACTTCCTGCGCCGCAATAGATGTTGCGTCGATGAGTGTAAGACAAGCCAAGCGCGTGTATAGTAAGTTGAAGATTCTCTGATGGTCTGCAGGGTCAACACGAGGCCGTGCCGGACTGCCGTTGCCTGTTAGTTCTTGAACAGCAGCGATGGCAGCCGCGCGAAAGTGGCCCATGGCCAGGAGGTCATCAAGAGCGGCATCAGCAGTGGGCTGCTTTGCAGAGGTTTTAAATGCAACAGGAATGTTGATTGGGTTGATGTTGTGGTAGATCTCCGGACGCAGGAGGAAGCTGAAGTCTTTGGTGATGGCGGTTTTTACAAAGGGGGACGGAGAACGAATCACCGCTGGTGACCGCTGTCCTGATAATGGCCGCTGCTGCGCTGGCTCTTCTGACGCGACCGACTTTGGCGATAGGGGATCATTCAGAGGGGTGCTGTAATAGCCTGTCAGTGAGACGCATGTACCAGAAGGGGGGGCTTGCTCACTCGTCCAAGTCTAGAGGACCCTTAGTCGATGACCGTGGGCGAACAGCTGCCAATCTGTGTCAGTATCATTGAAACGATGCCTTTGTAGCTGCATCCTTTGCACAAATCTGCTGGCATATCTGTCGGCGTCAAGAGGCAAGTAAGGCAAGGCACACACAACAAGAACAGGTACGGATGAAACCTGGTGAGACTCAGAATTTCAAACTTGTATGAGCGAACTTACGCCTTGTGACTGATATGTTGCGGCCGTGGCCACGATTTGTTGGAGGTTGACTCATGCTGTCTTTCTGCCTTGACGATGTGATGTCTTGACGCAGGTTCAAACTGACTGGAAGCCGCTGATGCTGTAAGATACTGGGAGAGATGTCACAGGGCCCGTGCTGCTGGCAACTGCGCAGTGTGGCGGAAAATCCTCGGCTAATTATCCGAACCGAATGGATACGCCTATGAGCCTCGATATCGACGCACTTCCCACATGGCAAGTCTAGTCACCAAAAAGAAGCCTTACGTGTCATCACATTCAATTACGAAGAAAATCATTGCGGCGAAAAAGATCTCTATTAGCCGGTGATATCTAAACCGAAAGGCAGAGCTTTTAACCCATTCACATCCAAATTTCCATCGGATATTAGTGCTCTAACCCTTGGCAGCACCAGCCTTGATGAGCAGAATATCGCCATCCTCCACGACGTAATCTTTGCCCTTCGTCATAACCTTGCCCTTGGCCTTGACCTCAGCTTCGCTGCCGAGCTCCTTGAGCGTGGTGAAGTTGTAGACGAGAGCCTGGATGAACGTCTTCTCGAAATCCGTGTGGATGACACCGGCGGCTTGCGGCGCCTTGGTGCCGTTACGGATGGTCCACTGGCGGACCTCATCGGGGCCAGTGGTGAAGAAGCTACCAAGGTTGAGAACCTTGCGCATCTGAAGAATGATCTTGGGCAGAATAGACTCAGCACCAACGTTCTTCTGCTCCTCAAGAACCTCAGCCTCGGTCTCGAAGCGGGTTAAGCGCTCCTCGAAAGAGACAGAGAGGGGGATAATGGGATCTCCCTGAGCGTGCTCCTTGACCCACTCGACAATCTTGGGAAGATGCTTGTTCTTCTTGCGAATGAAGTCCTTCTCAGACAGGTTGACCAAGTACACAACGGGCTTGGCAGTCAGAAGGAACAGAGGGTTGATAACCTCGACCTGAATGTATTGTTAGAACATTTTTTTCTCCAAAAAACGTGCAACAATAGATGAAAAAAAGACAAAAACGTCAAATCAGAATGGTTTTTTGTCTCAGTATGCACTCAGCGTTAATTGAGGCAATCGAAGAGCTGGGTTTATGTGTTCGGACCTGAGGTCCTTTGTCATCACATGACGGAGGGGTTCGTGGAAAAAAAGACAAGTAGCAAACAGTTTTAATCTTACCTCCTTGGGGCCCCAGTTGCCCTTTCGGACCTCGTTACCATCTTTCAGGAACTGAAGAATCTTCTCCATGGTGGCCTGCTCCTCCATGGCCTTCTTGTGCTCCAGACCCTTGCCGCCAGAGCGAGTCTTCTTCTTCTGGTTCTCAAGGGCCTTCTCGACGAACTCCATGTCCTTCAACCGCAGCTCGTCGCTGATGATGTCGAGATCACGAGTGGGGTTGACATCACCCTCGACGTGAATAATCTCGGCATCGTCGAAGCAACGGACGACCTGGAAGATGGCGTCGACGGCGCGGATGTGAGACAAGAAAGCGTTACCGAGACCGGCACCAGTAGAGGCACCTCGCGTCAGGCCAGCAATATCGTAGACCGTCAAGTTGGCAGGCACGCGCGACTTGGGGTTGTACTTTTCGCAAAGCCAATCATAGCGCTCATCGGGGACGATGACACGTGCCTCCTCAGGGTCGATAGTGGCATAGGGGAAGTTGGCAGGGTTGCCAAGGTTGCACTTGGTAATAGCCTGGAAGAGAGTGGATTTTCCGACGTTTGCAAGGCCAACCTGAAGAGGGGTCAGCCTGATCCCGCACACAGGTTCTAAGGCGTAGCACCCACAATTCCACTCTTCAGGTTGTTACCGGGCCTGCCCAGGAGAATCTTCTCTTCAACGACTTGCTTCTTGGGAGGCATTTTGTTTCTCCGGCTCTTGGCGTACTGACGAGTGTTTGTGTAGAGTACGGTGCACTTAAGCACTGCAGTAGCGGGGCGAAAGGCAGAACTAGCTGCGCGGGGGAGGAAAGAGGGAGAGCGAGAAGCGAAGGAAGTAGAGGTGACGATGAAGAACGTCGTTTTGCCGACACAAGGCTGCGACCAGCCTCAATCGCTTACGGATTGCCCGGGGAATTGGGAGGGAATAGGCGGTGGAGAGAGAAGAGAGAGAGAGGAAGGAGGGAAGAGAAAGCTTGAAGCTGTTGATGCTGAGAGAAAAAATACTTTGCGCGAAAGGCTGTGGCCTGGTTAGATGAATTTTAACGTGCCCCACCAAAAACGGGGGGCTTCTGAAGGGCTCGGTACAACGGCGGAACGAAACGCCGAAGGTGGTCAAGAACCCCAAACTGGAAAGTTAGTATAGGAAGAGGGCGAGGGCGCGGGGCTGGGACCGCTGACCTCATTTGACCGCACCCTATTGGGTCGCATTGAATTTAGCCCGCTTGCGGGGGCGACGTGTACTTGTTAAGGCCGCGCCATGCCACGCATTCACGGTGGCTAAAGCAGCTATCGCTAAGTTCCTGGTCAGTTGCCGTCATCATTGCTGGAGGGTATCTGTACCCATTCCTTCAGCATAATATGTGCGCCTGCTGCATCCACCCATGTCTGTCGCTGACGCCCGCATCTGCGCCGAGCACCCTCCGAAGCCAGCGACAGCCAAGGTTAGCAGCTGCGACGTGCCTTGGAGCCTTTTTACGATTGCATTGTGTTTGTTTCCTTATTGTCAATTCCCTCAGTGTGCAACATCTCGGGCAGCTTCCTTCATTTCTGAAACGCACCGCGTATTTATCCTTAGAGCTTGTGCCAGTACATATTATTCCCAGGTTCTTATAAGATTCAATATTTGCCTTCATTCCACCCACTCTCCGAAACCCCTCTTCCTACACCTTACGCCGCCAAACGCCCAAGCACGACGTGGTAAACATACGGTAACTGCCTAAACCACCGCACTCGGACGGTCGAAAATGCCTCCTCGATCCAGCAATCACAGGTCAACCTTGTCACTTTCAAAGACAGAAGTCACGATTCATGTCTATGATCTGCTGCCTGTAAGCTGACGGACCCACCGAATGCCGAGAGTTGCGACGGCCCTGCTAACTGAGTCCTCACAGCCAGGAAGGCTATCTTCTGTCCTCTGGACGGTCGGTGCCTCGCTCCTCCACTCGGGGGTGGTCATCAATGGAAAAGAATATGCGTACGGCGGACACGAGAGACGCGGCGTGACGGGAGTATATTGGACGAAGCCCAAGACCGAGCCTCCCGGCGGCACCTTCAAGTCAGAGATCCTTCACGGTTTCACGTTCGCTACGCAGACCGAAATCGATATGATTCTTGAAGAAGCTTCAAGAGAGTTTCTTGGAACGTCCTATAATCTCTTGACAAAAAACTGCAACCATTTTACGTCGTATCTGTGTAAGAAACTGACCGGTCGACCCGGTCCCGGTTGGCTAAACAGAGCGGCAAGCATTGGCGTTGCCTTGCCCTGCGTCGTGCCCCGGGACTGGATTGACCCACCCGAATACGATTCGGCCGATGGTGCACTCTTAGAAGAAGACGACGACAATGCTCACGAAGGCTCTAGGATGCTGAAGCAGTCGCCGCCGAGGTTCCTCACGGAGAATCAAAAGGGCCAGGGCGGGGACGTCGACTGGGATAGCGAAGAAGAAAGGCAACGCGGCGGCAACGGGAAGGGCAAGAAGGCCGTCAGAGATACTGGGGGTCGCAACTTGCCCGCTGCCGAGAGGGCACCAACCAAGAAGTAGGGGGCCTATGGCCGGGTTATACAAACGAGCGTGGATTCGGCGTTTTTAGGTTTGGCGTGCGGGTTGTGCGGCGTTTTAGCACTTGATACCACAGGGTTGGACATTTGCATTTCGGTTTGACCACAGAATGCAAGGGAAAGTTGCTCGTTGTGATATATATGGTACAGTTGTACACACCTATTGTACATGCATTCAACACCTGGACCCCTTCTATTCCCCCGTGACTCCCCTCTCCGTGCTGCCGCTTTAAACACGTCTTGGGTTCTTGCTCCTTGTTCCACCAAACTTCAACCTCGTTGAGTCCGCCACCCGGACAACCTTGCTTCGCCAGATCTTGCCCTCGGGGGCCATGAGGACCTTGACTGCCGCATCTCTTCCAGCGCCAAATCCTCTCAGCACAACCTCGAGCTTGTTGATCTTCTTGTGCCACCCGGCGTAGTTCAGTCTCTCAAGAACGTAGGCCGTCAATTGGTACGCCGCATCATAGGATTTCCTCTTGGACTTCTTGAAGCCAATGTTGCCGGTCGACAGGGAAATGATAGCGCCGCGATCGGGTTTCGTAACAGTGACGTGACAGTTATGCTTGTGGGAATAGACGTGCATGTGGTACGGCTCCAGCAAGTCCTCCTGCTCCGGGACAAGGTCATCCAGGCCGCCCAAGCCGCCCTTGTTACCCGAGGCGCGGTTCAGAGTTTCGAGGAGCAGACTCTGCTGGGACAAGCCGGCTGAAGAACCTGTTGATGTCTGCTTCTCCGTCTGGTTGGCTGGCTTTGAGCTGCCGTACATAGCGGCAAGGAGCTCCTGGCCTCCTTTCTTCGACTCGGGAGCATCGGCGCGTGGTGCTGCGGTTTGGGAGAAGGGTCGGAGGAGAATGGGCGAGCATCGAGCTACTGTCGCGGGGCGAGCAGCATTCTGAAAGATAGATCTCGCCAATAGGCGAGCTGTGGGTGCGGAAGCCATCGCTGTGTCAACCCCTTCCGATCGCGAAATGGGGGGGGAGGCTAGCTGGTGTGACGATAATCCGTGAAGTTTTTGGATGGGAAAAATGTCAGCTCGAAATCGACAATCTGGAGACACTGGAGCATTCTGATTGGTTGATACTTCCGGGTCGTCTTCGGTAGAACAGGGGCCCAGAATTTTTCCGCGCTCCGCCTCCAACCGAAATCGCAGAGCTTCCTTCCAATTCTGGACCCCGATTAGTCCCCGTCGCAAGCCAAAATTTCTTTGCAATCCGTTGTCTCCCCCCCCCAACCGTCATCTATATCTCCCGCCCCCGTCCCTCCGCCCCGTTTCTATCCTCTTTGCTTATCGTCGGGAGGCGGTAAGCTTGGATAATACATCATGAACTCGCTTGTACAGTCAGCGAGGAGAAATCCTCAAAGCATTTCTCTTGTCAGAGCTTCCGCGCGAGCAGTCCAGAACCATGGCAGAACACCTGCGTGTCACCGGCTACTGTCGACAGAGCTGAGTGGCAATGCCGCGCTCACCTTTTCACGACAACAATCCTCCATCCGACCTACTACTCTGCGATCACAATTTCTCCCCGAAGATGTTCGATTCATTACCGGCTCGATGCAATCGCGCTCGTTCCACATGACGGCCCGACAGCTCCAGCAACAGCAGACCGAGAAGGCCAAGCCAGCCGAGGAGGGCGCAAAGGCTGCCGAAGACTCCAAGCCCAAGGATGCTGAATCAGAGGCCAAGGAGGAATCTTCCGAGAAGAAACAAGAGGAGGGCGAGAAGACCGAAGGCAAGGAGGAGGAGGAGGGTGGCAAGAAGGAAAAGAAGGAGGGCGCCCCTCCTCCTCCTCCTCATGGCGACAAGACGCCGTGGCAAGTATTCACGGAGACTATGCAGGCTGAGTTCAGCAAGTCTAAGGAGTGGAATGAATCGACAAAGGCCCTCTCGGGTGAGATCCAGGACTTCACCGAGAGCGAACGTGTGAGGAAAGCTCGCGAAGCCTACGAGAAATCCACCGGTGCTCTTACATCTGCTGCTTCCAGCGCTGTGAAGACTACCGCTGGCGCTATTGGCAAGGGTGCCGCATGGACCTGGGACACCTCCGCCATGAAGGGCGTCCGTAAGGTTGCCAACGTTACCGGCGATGCCCTTGACAAGGCGACGAAGCCTATTCGAGAGACCGAGGCGTACAAGAACGTCAAGGATGTCATTGATGACGGCAGCAGCTCACGCTACGGTGGCTGGGTTGAGAAAGAGGAGCGCAGGAAGAAGCGCGAGGCCGAGCGGGCCGCCTCTGGTGAGCCCCAAGTTTTTGAGGAGGACCCCAAGTAAGTTGGTGCAAGTTGACCGACCAGAACGGATTGCTAACAAAGTATGCAGCGCTGGCACCAACGTCACCCTTCACAAGGATGCGGCGTGGAAGGAGGCGTGGAGGGAATTCAAGGACACCAACAAATTTGCCCAGGGCTTCTTCAACGCCGGCAAGGTGTACCGCGAATCCGAGAACCCTCTCATTGAGACGGCCCGTCTCGTCACTGACAAGATTGGTGGCTTCTTTTCCGAGAACGAGACGGCGCAGGTCATCAAGAAGTTCCGCACCATGGACCCGAACTTCCAGACTGAGCCTTTCCTGAGGGAGCTCCGCGAGTACATTCTCCCCGAAGTCCTCGACGCCTACGTCAAGGGAGATATCGAGACCCTCAAGCTCTGGCTGTCGGAGGCTCAGTACTCTGTGTACGAGGCCCTGACGAAGCAGTACCTCCAAGCTGGCCTGAAGTCGGATGGCAAGATCCTCGATATCCGTCACGTCGACATTGTGCGCGCACGCATGCTGGACCCGGGTGAGATTCCCGTCTTCGTCATCACCTGCAGGACGCAGGAGGTGCATGTCTACCGCAACGCCAAGTCTGGTGAGCTCGCCGCCGGCATGGAGGACAAGGTGCAGCTTGTGACATACGCTATTGGTATCACTCGTGTGCCGGACGACGTCAGCAACCCGGAGACGCGCGGATGGCGTCTCATTGAGATGCAGAAGAGCGGAAAGGACTACCTCTAAACCACACGACGACTACTACTACCACTACTACTACCACCACTACCACCAATTCAAAAGGTGATATTCAAAACGCGAGGCAGGCGAGAGGAATTGTTGGATAATGAGACCCACCTCCCCTCGAAAATCTTTCAAGCCGGAAAAAGTGTTTTATTACTGTACAAAAATAGAACGGGGGCATATGGGACTGGCGAACATTGGGCGATTGTTGCTGCAATGGGATGTGTGGCCGGAACAAAAAAAACCAACACCGCTCTTAAGGCTATATGTGTACGTGTAGAAGATGAGGAAGACGCCTTCCACCAGAAGGCAGTTACCATATTTGCGATGTAATACTACGAGAACTGAAACGTCCTCAACCATTATGATCATTCTTTGGCCTTCTTTCGCCGCCGTTCTTTATGCTCCGTCTTGCGTATGGCCCACCAATCTACTTATCTTCCTTGGCCCCTGCTGCGGCACTGTCTTCCTCTCTCAGCTGCGTTCTAACCTCCATCAACACTTTGCCTAGCAAGTTCAACCCCCACGCACTTCGTTTAGTCGTGGGTGCCTTCTGGGGGCTGAAGCCGATTCCCCAGATCCGATCGAACGGGCTCGCCTCGACCAACTCTCGGTCCCCTGTGGCCAGCAACTGCGCCTTCAATTCCGGGCTACTGCGGAACTTGAGCAGGTTGCCCTCCCGGACGATGCGCTCTCGGCTCTCGTTCCAGACATCTTCGTTGAAATTTGCGACCTTGCGGCCTAGTGTCTTTACTTCCCGGGGATGGTCTGCCTCGAGGATGGCGAGAGCGGTTTCGGGATCGTTGAAGAGTATGGCTTTGCCGTGCATCATGTAATGCTCGGCTGTTTTGTAAGTTATTATCGAGGAATCCGGTGAGGATGATGACGAGGGATGGGAGCAGTAGGGGTCGCTCGCCCACCATTGGGAAAGGTAGCCTGCATAAGCGGTTTCACGCCAGAAGTATATTGGTGAAGTACCCATTATGGCTTTTGTTGCGATTTTGGATGCTCTCAGGAATGAATATTTTGTTTTCAATGCGACGGGAATCATTATTTTGACGAAAGGTAGCTTGATATAAGGTACTTTTAACATAGAGGGAACTCAGCTGTGGTGAGGCGGATTTCCAAGGTGTCTGCCTTAGCCGATGTTAGTGCAGCCGCCGGGTGAGTCAACCTCAAGAGGCACGAGCGCCAATACATACTGGGTTTGGCAAAGTACTCGAATCACACATCGGTTCAGCCCACTTATACTAGTGATCGCCCATTTGTAGATGAATCATATTATGAAGCTCAGCCCTGTGAATCCGGTACTCAATCTAACCGTCGCCTCACATGAGGACCCCTGGTGCACATCAGCCACATCTCCTTGGCAACTCTTAGGCCCAGTGACATCGCCATCGCTTAGTCCACCTTCTAAGCAGAGCTCGACAGAATACTCTCAATCTGCTCATGCCTCTTCAGTGCATCCTCAAAAGTAGGAACTTCCTTTCCTTCCGCAAACGCCTCATAGGCTGCGCCGATACTCCTCGCCAGCGGGGGCAACTCAGCCTCCCAGTCCTCCCAACCCCATTCAACCGTCTCAACCTCGTCGCTCTCGAAGTCATGCACCTCAATCCGAATGTCCTGCACCTGTGCCGATGCCTGCAAAGATGTGCTGACGTCTGAAGTAAGACGGATCTCCCCCTTTTCGCCATTGATGGTCCAAACAAGCGGCGCTTCTCCCTTGAAAGGCTGGCCCTTGCGGAAGCGGACGAGCAGTGTCGCATTCTCGGCGGTAATGTCCGATGCCGGGAGCGTGCCGGTGGTGATGACCAGGTCTGGAACGTTAGACTTGACCGTTTCGGTTATTTCTTTGGTCTGAGGATCCCTGATCTTGACGTTGGGACGTTGGATTTGGGTGTGAGATTTCAGGTTGGATACGTCACCCAAAATATACTGAATCTGATCAAACACTGTAATATGTCTCATCAGCGCGTCGCTCACACGGATACTGTATTCAGGGAAAACTCACAGTGTCCGAATCCAATAGTGACAATGTTTCCCCCAATGGCCTTGTCGGTGAAGTACTTCAATTGGGTCGGTATCACCTCACGATCGACCAAACCACCCGCAGCCTTGACCTCGCTGCTGAGCACCTTACCAACACGTCCCTCCCGTAACAAGTCTCGAATCTTGAGGAAAACAGGTACTGTCCGCCCCTGGATGCCGACCAACGTTTTACCGCCGGCCTTTTGGGCGGCAGCGGTCAGTTCGCTCGCGTGTTGGACGTCCTGCGCGAGCGGCCATTCCACGTACACGTGCTTCCCGGCCTCGACGCTGGGGAGCGCCGTCTTGTGGTGCAAGTCCACGCGCACCGAGACGACGACGAGATCGACGTCTGGGTCTACTGCCAAGTCTGCCGGGTCGCCATACGCCTTTGTCTCAGCCGGCAGATTGTGATCTTTGATGGCGCGTTGGGCGGCGTCGACGGAGGAGTTACAGAGTGCTGTTATTTGGTACTTGGAGCTGCCTCGAGGGGACAAGAGATATTTGAGATGGGAGTTGGCGGCCCAGGCCGTTGCGGCGCTAGAGGAGAGGCCGATGAGGCCGACGCGGATGGGTGCCATTACGGGATACTGGTCAATTGCGATTTGGTTTCCTTAGTTGACCGATGTTTTTTTGTCTGTGGATTGGTATCATTGTTGACTTTTATAGTTGGTTCGGCTCTTTGCATGATTTACGGTGACATGATTTGCGAGCGATGATGCCATGAGCTGGATTTGTAATTCAGCCACGGCGCTATGAGGGGTTGCTTCTGTGGGGATTGGGGGGGATGGCACCTTTGGTGTAAGTCAAACAACGGGAGAGAAAATCGACTTTTGTAATACACAGTGCTATGCCATTGGTCGGTTCCAGATCTGCAGTAATCCTATAAGACAGCCTGTGTCAGATATTGGCTCGTTCGCTTCTTGTACGGAACTAGGGTCTCTAATGCTCTGTCTGACATGTATTTGTAAGTTGTTCGGCAGTGCGGTCTCCGTAGGCGGACGGCTTAGAGGAGATATCAGAGCACCATGACTTCCTTCGGCTCATGCATTGTCTGACTGGAAGGCAACGCAGTATGATTCGTACACAGTGTCTCGCGTTCTATGCAACAAACAATCGTGTGGTAGTTTGAGTGAGACGTGTACAGATTCTCATAAATAAAAAGCACCCAAGAAAGTTTGAAAGAATAACGCATTGCCAGCATCGCCAACCGGTTTGAGCGTAAAGGATTCCATTTAGAGAACTGAGCACTAGCTGGAGTCTCGGCTGATAGCGTTATAAGGATAACACCTGCTGCTATCCCTAACTGGAAAAAACCGTTCCGAGTTGTGTAATGCGAACCGCAGACGAAAACTTCAAGAAAGAAGAAGCTGAACTTCTTTCAGTGAATTTACCTGCGGAGGAACTATCTCAAAAGAAGTTGTCGCCTGCTCGTTATAGTGAATGCAAAAAATTCTCGCCTCCGTGGCTGGCACAATATCTCGTACCACACTGTCTCCGACGTACACCATCTCTGATTCCGGTATCTGGGCATGTTTCAAGACCTCAGCGAAGAGACCTTCGGTTTTGGAGACGCCAAAAAAGTTGGTCGTGGCAAGTACATCAATGTGTTCAGCAATGCCGAGCTGCTTTACCGTCCTCTCTTGAGCGTCCTGTGGCCCCTCGGTGATCACAGCCACCTTCTTTCCCATTGTCTTCAACTGTAACAAGAGTTCCATGGCGCCATTTTTGAGTTGTAACGATTCCGTGAGTGTGTTCTCATAGATATCGAGTAGGTGGTTAATGAATTCGGGCGTGTAAGATAGCGAAAAGCGCTCCAGCAACGATACAAAGCGGTCGCTCCTGTACTCGAATGATGTCTTACCATCAGAGAAGGCATTGGCAGTCTTGTCGCGAAGAATGCTGGAGTATTCCTCTTTCAAAGCTGCTACGTGAGTTCCGTGGCGCTGGGAAACTGCTTCGAGTGTTTTCGTGGTTGCTGCGGAAGATGCGCGGCGGAACTCGTGCAAGGTGTCATCTAGGTCGAAACCAAACCAAGTCTTCTCGGCTAGAGCCGCCCGAATGCGTTGTTTATATACAGTATCAGACATTGCCTCGGGTGGTTTTCGATAGCAACGCCTGATTGAACTACTATTGTCTAGTTTCTGTGCGAGGATTAGGCATGCTGTCGTCGGAATCCCAGCTCAAATATTACTCAAGTATGACTAACATCGCAAACGGGTACCGCCGATCTCCGTTGAGTCGTGGACAGTTCCGCAACTCCAGAACTCAAAACCTGGAGGATTCCATGTGTCTCTTGACGATGGCTACCTAGCTTGTAATGGACGGACGTGATTTGTGAAGACTGCCGGGAATCTACAAGCCTACTTAAAACTCAGCAACGATTCGGAAGTTTGTAACAGATCTTCAATTGAAGGTTGCGGCCAACTTTATGCTTCGGTCATTGGTTGAAAGAATTTCAAACTGAGTAGTATAATTTAAATTATTTACTAAAATCTTAAACTATAAGCGAACGGAAACCACGTCTATGACTTGAAGAATGCTTGCAATGTTCGTACACGTCATGTCAAGGAGGAAAACGCCAAGACTGTACATGAGGACGGTTTGCCCTGCTTGTAGGAAGTGTCGTTTCGACAGTTTGTGCCACTCGTTATCCAGAAACAGCTGTTTTAAAGTCCATCCCCGAGGACGCACGTTGAATAAGCCCAGTGTATCTGACGATTTGAGCCAGATGAAGCGAAGCGCCCAAAATTGCTTTATAAAGAAAGCGGGCTACCATTGGCAACCTCGGGTATCAAAACCTCCAGGTCTTTAGCCAATCCTTCCATCAAGGCGTTATCGACAACGGATACGTTCCAGCAGAGCGTGATGGTTATTTCACCACCGGCAATGCCCGCTATGTTTGCGCTGAACCCAGGACCAAATATCGATGCAGACTGACTGAACATAGCTCGCGTCAATCTCCAGCTGTCGTCATCGCTGCCACCGTTGAGCGCTCCTACATTGCTGATCTCCCAACTACTTCCGCGTTCTCCTCCATCCTTTTTCCGGAAGAAGTCGTGGAAGTCGCTGACATATTTGAGCATGGCCCCTTGATCGTCATTGGGCAGAGACGCCAGCTTGTCATTCATGCTGGCCTTGACAGATGCCGCAACTTCCCAGACTGCACTCTCCCGATCTGGCCCTGATGAATCGCGCAGTTTGGTGACAAGAGAACTTGATACGGGATGATCTGCTGTAGACACAAGGACCAACATCTGCTTCTTTGTGTCGAAGGCTGCTGCAGCGGGGACGTATCGTCTTAGACTGATGGGGGTACATGGCTCGAACGCTGGTGCCTCAGTAGCTGAGAGACGGCGTGAGAGAGAGGCGACAATAAGAGCATGGAGCAGCGGTGAAAGGGTCAAAGAGTGAGCTCGAGCCGCAGCCAAAAGTTTCTTCGCGACTGGCGTTGGAATCCTTATGAGGTAAGTGCTGGTGTTGTTCGACAATGAGATACCGTACGGACGGGCTTTCCATGGAAGCACGGCAGGTTTATTCTTCAACCATGATGGGCCGAAGGCATCCCACAGAGTCGCCAGGAAGAATGGCCAGCTAATACGGCTGTTGACGAGCTCGTTTTGCGGAGGAGGAAGCGTCGGCGGTTCCGACACCTCGAGCTTCTTACCATCAAATCCAGCGAGGTGTTTTATAGGACTTTTGAGTGTCTCAAGAAGTCTGCTGTGGAAAATGGAACCGCTTACGCCATCGTTGATTGCATGATGAAATGAGTATACAATCTCAACTTCGGCTGGTGTTTTTTGACTGCCTTGGATGGGAAGGACAGCGATCTTCCAAGGCGGACGATGTTCAATGTCGGACCAAGATTGGCCATGTTGGAATGAAAAATGTTTGCAAAGGTTGGCGTCAACCTCTTCCGGCGAGGATGCTCCGAACCACTGAGTGTGTTCCGCTATATTGATGCTCGGAACATGAACGAAACTAGGGTTTTGTTTGTCTTCATCGACAATTCCGATTCGCATCATAGGCTGTTCCAAAACGACCTGTGCGACTGCATGTTGAAGAATTGCTTTCAGGCTATTGATGTCAGTGCCCGGAGGGACTGCATATCGGCCCGCGATCGAAACTCCGTTATAAAGACCCAGGGAATGGCGAGATGTGGAATATTTTTCCCTAGAAAGGTCAGCGAGGTCCTTCTATCGGAGCAAACATTATCGGTAGCCCGTACATGTCACCACATGGCCGGAGCATGGTTGGTTTTAGGTCCATGATTAATATTGCATGGAATTGCGGATATTTTAACTTTGGAAGTTCGACACAATTGGTCCTAGCTCCAGCAAATGCAAAAAGTTTAAAGACGTGAATCACCCTTTCTTTTAAAGAGCCTCCTGCACAAAGCTCCTGTGCACGTTCATCCATCAACACAAGGGAGGCCCATTTCTGAAAGGGACTAGCTTCCCATTATGCCGGTCATTGAAAAGGACTTTAGTCAGGGGAAATACGGTCGGTAATGACGCGCAACCCTCGCTTGGAGGTATGAGCTGCAGAGATGTGGGGTGGGGGTCTGTCCAAAGCAGCTGAAAACTAGGATCTTGAGATGACATCCAGGGGGGCCACCCGGATGTTACGGGGTGACAAAGTTGAAAAAGAAAACAGCCATTGGAAAAGTATTTGACAAGAAAGAAGAAGGACTAAGAGCCGTTTCACAATGACTTGCATCATTCAACCGTTTTCTTTCAAGAAGGCCCAGAAACCAGAGTTTGAGACCTGCCGCCCCCCCCCCCCCCCAACACCCTCCTAAACCGGAAGCTTCCGATTAGTCATTTCCGGATGGATTTTTCCGCACCGATATTTGGGAGGGGCCGTGTGGGGTTTAGCTTAAGGAGGAAAGTAGTCCAGGGGAGATCCTGGTCAATTTCCAGTGGAAGACGCGGTTCACCACTTGCTCGTTCTCGACCCAAATAATTACATTTCTCCCTTTGCGCGAACATTATTTCCCCTGATGAAGGCGATTTGTTGTTATCACGATGACCTTGGCCAACTCATAGCTACTTCGCGATCCGAATCTCACTATCTACGTTGCATCCATAGTGATGTGACGCGACCTGTCGCTAAATCGCATCCGAAAACAATGCAGCTTCCCGCAGCTTGACCCTGAACTTGATTTTTAAGAAAGACGAACGTGGCCCCAAGATAGACCATCGCCCATGGACCACAACAGAGCTGCCCCCAACCAGTTTGGGGCGCGGCCAAATCGACGCGCTTCCGCTCAATTCACTGTCGACCAAGAAGGACGCAAGCCGTTGTTCTCCAAGCCGTCGCGGGAGTCTCTGGGAGCTGGAGATAATGCCCAGCCGTCTTCAGGAGCAAATCGATATGGCTACTCTCCCACAAACGCGCGCCCTCCCTCACGCGCAGCAGGAATCCCACGCCCTCCTAGTTCTGCCTCTCCGCGACCACCTTCACGAGCCGCCATTCCCCGACCATCAAGCTCCCTCTCCCAAACGCCTTCAATCGGATCCAACCAGTCAGCCGAGGTCGCGTCTCCCGGCTCCCGGCTTCCCCGCCCCAAGTCCACGATCGGAGTATTCGCCAAGGGAAAGATCCCCTCGGTTGCAGACGTATGGCAACTGGCGGGCGAAGAGGATCGGATGAGCCCATTGGACCGAGTTCGCAGAACATCGCCTGCTATTGATGGTTCTCCTAGCCCCGCACCGCGCCCTTACATCAATAGGAGGGTTTCGGATGAAGCCAAAGTACGACAAACATTCGGCAAAGATGCGGTCGACTATAGCCGTCCGAGACCCCTTTCAAGACTCTCCAGCGACTCTTTGCGCGACAGCTACGTCTCGGGGCGCTATGGCGGAAGCCCAGGATCACAACAGAGCGCATCCAGCTCTGGCAGTTTCACGCGTAGACTGAGCCAGTACGAACGTGAGATGGACCAGTCGCAGCCAGAGAACCTCTTCAGCAGCACCAAGATTGGACCCAACATCGCTGAGACCGGCCGAACTTTGGCAAGGAAGACGAGCAATAGCAGCCTAAACGGAGGCCAAAGCCTGGGAAGGAAGGCAAGCAACAGCAGCCTGAATGGCAGTAGTCAAAGCTTGGGTAGGAGAACAAGCTATGGCAGCTTGAGTGCCAGTCCTCGCCCTGGAGCTTTCGCCAAGAGCAGTGTTCCCGAGGGTTGGATTAAGCATCTCCTGGATCAGGACGAGAAGGGCGTAAAGCGAAACAGCATGGCGCAATCGGACTGGCAAAACGCTGCCGACACACCTATTCCGTCAATCGAAGCCTTGGAGCCCACTCCTCCGACTTCTCGACCAGCTTCTACGAATCCCGAGACAAAATCCCCAGAAAAGAGTTACGCCTGGCAACTGGATGCAGACTTCACTGCCGGAGACCTACAAATTTCGGATAGCCCTCGCATAAGAATGGGCGGCACAGGATTTGAGGATGCTTCGAACCGGCGACTTTCCACTGGCAGCGCAAACGGAGAGGACCCCGAGTTCAGTCCATTCAGAAGAGAACCATCCTTTGGGCTTACTCCGTCTCGGGCCACGCGATCCAACACTAAGATTGACGAGATTCGCCAACGTGAGGAAAAGGCCAACGAGCAACTGGCGGAGTCGCGAAGGAGTCAATCAAGAGCCAGGAACAACAGATTAGAGGAAATTCGCGAACGAGAGGCAGAAGCTGAGGAGGAGCTGGCTAGGACAAAGGCTCAATCCCGCTCGTTCTATCCAACACCCGAGGACTTGCCAATTCTAGAAGAAGATGATGATATACCGGCAATGAAAGAACAAGCGCGGCCTAAGAACACCAAACTTGACACTATACGAGCACGCGAAGCTGAGTCTCTGTCAAAGAGAGCTTTAGCAGAAAGCCGTTTGGAAGAGATTCGAGAACAAAACTCAATGTTCAGAGATCCGTCACCGGAGGCTCAACCTGTCGAAGAGCCGATCCAAGAACCGATAGTCTCGCACAGTAGGGAGCCCAGACTGTCGCTAAAAGAAGACAGAGGCGAACGTATCGCTAACACACCTGTTACCATCTACCGAAAATCCTCCATTTCCAAAGCAACCGAATTGCAGACGGAAAATGAATCAGCTCGTAATGAGTTGGCGAGCTTTCAACCGCCCTCGCGACCTCTTTCGACACACACACGGACTGATTCTCGAGACTTGCTACAAAGACTTGCCAGAGCTACTAGCAGCAGTCCTGCCAGTAGTCCTGCTTCTAAGCCCGCATCGCAGCCTGCAGATATTGAGAAGGCCGTGGAGGCCGTGAAAATTGATAAGCTTGAGAATGTTGAACGCCCAGACAACAATCCCATCGAAGAAAGACCGAAATCGCGTGTTGGGGAGAAGGCCAAGCTGAACGTGGAAGAGAGGTTCAGGCAGCACAATCAAGAGAGGCTTGCTAGGCGCGAGCCAGAGACTTCTGGACAGTCGTCCGTCGAGAATAAAGATGATGAGAAGCCGGCAAAAGAGGAGCAGGCCTCAAACAACGCACCGCTCGCAAAGGAGCCAGAGAAGACGACGGAAGCGCCGTCCAGAAAGCCGTACGCCTGGCGTCGAAGAAGCGAGGATCGGCCCAAAACCACAGAACCAGAACAGAAAGTGGACGTCTCCACACGCAACCAAAAGGATGATTCAAAGGACTCCAAACCTACAGATAGGCTGGTTGATCCTCAACCCAGTTCAAAAGACGAGGCAAAAGCACAAGAGGCCGAAAGACCCAAGTCAGCTGGGCTGCGTCGGGAACGACGTCAACGCTCGACCGACTCTACTAAGGATAGCAGGAAGAGTGTGGCCATGTCGGACGGTGATCCTACAGACCGCATTGAGCAGGAAATGAAGCTTTTTGCACCCGCTGATAACCAATCTGAAAGGGGAGGTTCTACCAGAGCGCCTTCGGCCGAGCCACTCGCCGAGACTGATGATAAGGACCTTCTCGCTGATGAAACTCCTCGACCTCTCAAGGTTGACCCGCTGTCCCTCCCTACACCTAAAGTCACCGGTGCTTACGTGGAGACGCCCGCTACAGTTCGAGTCGACAGACTGCCGGACGAGGAGGCCAAACCAGCCGTCAAATCTGAGACCAAGTCGTTTACAAGTTTGAACAGGTCAACCTCTAGCCGGAGAAGCTCTCGTGCATCCTCACGAGCACGATCAAACTCAAAGGCCACTGAGTCAGGGTCAGAAACCAGCGATCAGAAAGAGCAAGAAAAGGGGGCCGCGGGCACAACGACAACGTCCACACTTCGTCGTCGCAAGTCTATTCCTAGATCTCGTCGACCTCTGATTAATTCTGTTAAGCCGCCCACTGTGAAAGACGATCTTTTGGAGCTTCAGCGCATTCATCAGATCGAGGACTCCACCCTTGACGACCTGGAAGAGCTGTTTAACTTACAACGACTTCCTTCCCCAGACATTGAGTCGATGCTTGACGAGATTTCCATCAAACGGGAAGAGGTCGCCACCAAACCCGACATTACCAAGACTGAACGAGACCAAACTCTCGAGCAAATCGACAGAATGAGCAAGACACTCAAAGACGGATTGCTCAATATTCGCAGTGCTAAGCAAGGCATTGAGCGCTTGGAGGACAAGGTATCTCATGCGGAGGGCAAATACAAAGACCTTACTTCCATCACAAAGTCTGAGCAGGTAGTCGAAGAACTGCAAGAGCAGCAGATCAAGTCAGCACTTCGACCTCATCTTGAGTCCTCGCACAAGGGTTCCGATCGCGCTTTCGAGTCTTCTTCAGCGAAAGTCAATGTCATCCAACTGCCTGTACCTCATCTCATTCAACGCAACCCCTTTCGCATCACATCCCTGGGTATCATCTGCATTCTGCTTTCAATATGGTACATCGCCGAGTCAGCCATGTGCGAAATTTACTGTCGCCCAACAACTTGCTCCACAACTCCTTGCGTCTGGTCATCGACGGATCCCACCTGGGGCGTTGCTCTTCCCGTGAAGATTGATGAGTGGGCCACGAACGGATGGGGTCGCCAGGTAGCGCACCAACTATCCGAAGACGTCTCAGATCTCTGGGCCGACGCGCAGGATTTCATCACCGGCACAGATATCACAACTATTGATATCAGTACCCTCGACTTTTACGGAAAACGCCAACTCCGTCGACGTCTTCGCAAGCATGGACTGAAGAAGCCGCCCACTGAGTCGGCCGAGGACAAGGCTAAATGGGATGCATGGCATGCAGCACGGGTGGCCAGCGAGAGGGTCCAGGATGCTAGGGAGATGGGGTATGACATTAGTGAGGAAGATGAGAGTATGGGAGACGATGAGGCGGTGTGAGGAAGTAATACATCTTGGCCACTGTACATTATAACTGTAATTTACATATCGAGCTCGCTGCTGGGTTATAAGCACGCTGGATACGGCCCTGGGGAACGGAGAACCCCGTAGGTAATTGAACTTTTACAATCATCTTGTCCGCTCCTTACCTCAATACATGATGACTGGATACATTTCAGGGTGTTTTGTTCCATATGCCTGCGGTTCACCAAACCAAATCCGGCAAGTTCATCGCTCCTCGATGAGATACAAGGCTGCCTACTTTCATGGCTATAAATCTTAGACTTTTACTCTAAACTCCAACCCATCATCATGCGCCACCTTTGAACCCCATGCTTAACCATCGAGCATCTGGTTCTCTTTCCCTTTGAGTCCCGTCAAATTGGGATTTCCGGTTTCAAGATCTTACAGGAAAGTTCTTCCTTTCTTTCATTAAATTCCATGTTCAAAAGTAGAACTTGTCTCCTACATAGTAATCGGGCTCAACACGCGGTCCCCGCGGGCTTTTTGGGCAGTCCCACAGAGGGTCCTAGTTCAAGCGTTGTTCGGCGGCCCGCGGAGCGCCGGAGGCTTCGCCAGTACCGAACTGCCCGGCATCATGGCTTGTAATTTCCCACCGTTTCTCGGTTTCCAATGTTCGGTACGGCAAGGTACATACATTTAATTTCCTCCTTATCTTCTTCGGTTAGGTATGCGATCTTCTTGAACTTGGATTTATAACTCCTTCACAGCTGAACTAGGGAGGGCGGTCGACGGCCGATCATTGGACATCTAATACGGATACCTGGCTGGTAGACTGTTCTCTTTGTCAAGCAACTGACGCATGTTATTGCAATTCTTGTTGAAGACGATTAGATCCGTGTCACTGCCCGAGTCCCGTAGACCCTCTCTTCTCACCTGACAAGGTAGCTCACGTGTGATCTGGAGTTTTATCAGCCGAATTCAAACCCATTAGTCTATAACTCTGGGTCTAGGCAGTAAATTTCTATTTATACCGAGACAGATGGGATTTTATCATCTTGAACATGGGTAGTAGCCAATTATTTCGAGCCTTATTTGTAAGTTACTATCATCTAAGGTATCTTGTTCGACTCACAACCAGTTTCTAGAGAGCCATCAGAGAAACCTAAACTATGCGATGTTCGTATGAAGCAACGAAAAAGGCCACATATTCTCTGGCAACTCATATATACCTAGATCTTAACCCATGGAACAGATCTCAGATTCACGGACACCCGTTCGTACACTACGGTGATGAGTTAACATAAGAGGAAACCATAGAACCGGCATTGTGTCTATTTTACTTACGCATTCAGGCTTGCAAACACCCGGGGTGTGTGAGCAGCAACTGGAACCAGATCCCGGGATGGGCCCCTTGGGACGGGCGACGATCTTGGGCTTCTCCACGGTGGGAGTGGCCAAGGCTGCGGCTGCGAAAAACGTAAGGAGAATAGTCTTGAAGTGCATGCTGACAACTGCGGGATGGACTGGGCTGTGAAGCTGTTGAGGTCGACTGATGATCTAGTTGGATGTTTTAATGATCTACTACTTTCTCACTTGGCTACCTACTTCATGGTCGACCTTTTATAATTGTGTCTTCGGCTCTTTCGGAATGCTGGGCCACTGTTGAGTCATGCTGAGGCTACCGTGCCTCTATTTTCAACAGCGGATCTTTGATAGCGGAGACCTTTGCGAGATGTTCGGACCGATGGGTTGTTCATCACCCGACATATAAAGCAGCTCCGTTCCTGGTGTAAGTAATATAGTCAAGTTTGGAGCAAATTTAGTCCTCGACAATGAGGGGCCGGCGGGAGGAGTCTGTCTGTACGGCACTGGCCCCATATGCCCATCATGTAAATCAAGCAAATATGTTACACTGGCATGAAACGCTCTTTTGAGGTGACCAGCTAGATTGGCTACCACTTCAGAGCTGTGATAGTAATATACCGTACGGAAATAACACGGAAGGGTTCCTGGTATTACATGGCCTATCGTTATTCATGCTCGAAGGAAACAGTGGTTCTCAAAGAAGCCTCGTACAAGGGCCTTAAAAGGTATATCATTACCGACTCAAAACTTGACCTCTGTTGGCTATTGTCGTGAACTCTTAAGGTATGTATGATCATGCCCGAGGTATCTTGGGAAAATTAAATGTTTTCCACTTTCGACTCACAAGGCTTTCTCTTGACTACATCGCGAGGCATAAGGACTGTTGGAATAGCCGGAAGTCCGGGTTGAAGTGGCTCCGTCGCTGGCAGTCCTGCCGGCGTCCGGGCTGCCCACTGACGGTCAGTCCGACAGACGGCTATAAGTTCCGCAACCACTTCAACCAACACTCCTACTGGAACTTCATCCATAGACATCAGACACAAGACTAGCAACCATTATCCCCCTCAGTTATCCCTCTTACAGGTACCCCTGTGATCCCAACAAGGACGCAATTGAAGATCGACCCTTCAACTTCCAATGGTGGATTATGTTGTGCCTGAACGTAGAGCTTCAAAATGCAGCCTTCGCGCGACGAGGATATAGTGGTAAAAGGCTTTACGGGATCTAGCCATTTGGACCCAATTGTCGATGGGTGTTGGTGTCACACGTTTTACATCCGTATAAATCAAAGCAATCGAGGCTTTCTTTCATGTAGTCATGGACGGTAGTGTCTCTTGTAGATATGGGGCCTCATGCGTAGGGTACCTTATGCATGATTGTTCGGGCACAAGGACTGTCTACTCGTGAGACGGAAGATTACATCCGCAGCATGAGCACGCCATTGGTCTCTTAGCCGCGTATCAAGATAGTCAGCGTCTCTATCTCATTGCCTCTTCTAACGAGCTCCACCCAAAGAGTTGATTAAACGACATCGTCTGAAAAATGTGTAGTGCAATCAAATCTGCATCCCTTTCGTATGATACGCCGTAAGAAAAGCAGGCTGGGCTGCAAGGCCGAATGGTGGGGCCAGCCTAGCTCAGACAGGACATTGAATGCCAATATTTTACATCACAATGCATCGTGGCTGCTTACGGTGGGTTACGTCAAGTATTAGGACGGCTAGGCTGCAGCTCATGCAATGTAATCAGAACAAATGTCGCTCTTGGTTGGTCGCCTGCTTGCCACCACCCCCATGATAATAACTAGGCGGCAGGGGAGGAAGCTCTTGTTATAATGCAGGTCTGGACCATTTTATGTCATTGTTGTCAAAACACTGGGAACACAGCGCCATGCCTTCGAAATGAAGTTATCATCACCAAATCAGTAGGGATTCAACGAATCACATGATTTTTTTTTCTTTCTTACCATCAGAGCTGGTCCTCTAAGAGAGCATCATGGCTTCCGAAGTCATCCCCATCGGATGCGACAACCCTGGCTATTTCATGACTGGACAAATATGCTGCTACCCAAACAACCAAACACAGAGAACTTGCCAGACCTATATCGGTCCCAATAGAAGATATAGTCTGTTGCCCTCTGCGTGTCCCAGCGGGAATTGTTTGAAAGATTGTCAAGACCCCACGCTGCTTTACGGTGGCATCACCACTGAAAATGGTACTTTAAATACCGAGACTATCCAGATGTACATGGTTTGTGCCGCCGTTCCAGCCATTGCGGGCTACGAGGCCAACGGTGTTCTCCTCCCCGACCAGGCTGCCATGGTTAGACAGTTTCTCCCGCCCGAAGACGCGACTGAACAGAACTTGAGGAGGGTGACGGCCACGGTAACAGATTGTTTAACACAGACATGTCTGAACTCGAGAAATGAAAGCATCTGTTACGAACAATACTGCGCGCCGGGGCGACTTCTAATCAACGGCACAATGCCAAATCAAACGGCCATAAACCAGTGTTTAAACAAGCTTTGTACAAACGGTTTTGAAGTTGTGCCATTCGGAGATTCAGATATTATCGGTATCGGGGTAAGTAAATATTCTCCGTTCCAAGCCCGCTCGACTGGCCCCATACGAGGACTTTCTAATGTATATCCCACTGCAGGTTTTCTCTTCGTATGTCGTCCAGCTCATCCTTGTGGCAGTTCTATGGTTCGGCCTAGTGGTCAGAGCTATCTTCCGTCGGACGAGAAGTGGGCGTTATAATGCGGTTAATCAAGCACCAGAGGAGCCGACCGAAGGCCGTGAGAGCAAGCGGCCCCGTCTTCCCCGCGAGAGCTGGCTGCGGTTTCTCGTCGAGTTTCACACGGCGCAGTGCTACTTCGCTGGCACGCTGATGATTGCCATCTTCGTTTCCGGTATCATCAAGATCAACGTCGCCATGATCCTCCTGCTCCTCCCATTGACTACAAATGGCGTTGTGCCCGTGGTCTTTGCCTACCTAATGCTGGTATACCACCGCGCCAGCTCGTCTGCCCTCACAATTCTTACTACCGCTGTTTATACCCTGTCCACAGTGGCTTTCTGGATCCTCTTCGCCAACTTCAAATCACAAGTTACCGCGAATGATTTGAGATACAATGTTTTTGCCGAGTTCATGTACGGGATTTCCGAGGTTGAATCCTGCGGCGGCTTTTCCGCCCTGACAGCCTGCTCGGAAAATCTATACATGGGCAGAGAAAAAGCAATTGATGCGGCTAGACTCCTACAGACTATGCCTCCCGTGGCCTGGGGTATCTCGACTGTAGTCCTACTCGGTGTCTTAGTCGCGGAAACAAGGGCACGGGTCAAGGAATTCCAATCTCGTGCTGCGGCCTTACCCCAGCAGACCACGCCGAAAGAAACTCATGCCGACTCTAAGAAGATAAATATTGCCTTGTTAAATTCTGTCGCTTTTTGGCTAACATCACTTGCTCTCATCGGCTGCGTTGTGATGCAAATGTCTCTCTTGTCCATCGCCACGACCCTGGACATGTTTGATCCTAAAGATTGGGGCTTTGGGCAAGTCATTGCAGTTACTGTGTGGGTTCCGCCCGTATTAGGTTACTTGTACTTCCTATTAAGTAAGTTACGTTACCCTCGTACTGAGAATGAGCATCAATGCCTACCAATCCGCCTTCTCTGGCTTCTTGACTGTGTAGTCTTGCTGATCGCTTCTAGGAAAACAAGTGATAGACATGAGAAAAAGAGAGTGACGGCGATGCGAAGGTGGAAATAATACGAGATGCACGCGCGATTTCTGCTTTGAATACGACGGCAAACCTCTTTAACTACAAAGATGTTATCTCGGCACTGGGGTGCCCTACTACACATAGCAGAGCTGTGATCACATACAAAGTTTCTTGACTCAACTCTTAAGTCTCCAAAGTTTATGCCTTTTCGTCAGTCTCATGCGTGTACTGCTGCTTGCAATTTGGGATCACGAAGAGTCTTGTGGGTGCGCTGCCAGTCATGTCACTGTCGACCTACGTTCTTCAGGGTGCATCACATCGAATAGCTATGCATTGAGGTCTTAATCTGACCAACCTTGGAACGAATTTTGCTGCAGTACTTTCATAAACATTAAATTTAGCGGACGAATTCTACAATCCACCTTTACAGCCTTGATGCCATGAAAGCATTTTGATTTTAAGGATTATCAGATTATTGTGCTATCTCCAACTGAGGCCACCACACACACTACTTATAAACGGACTGGTATGGAAGACTATCGAGCCATCTTCGCATTGCCTTAGAGTTTCCGACAGAAAGTTTTGATGACCCACAAAGCCGACCTTCTGGTATGATGCCGTTGGCAGTATAAACAAATATCGTGTACTTGCAGGTTTTAGATTGCCAGAGCAATCACTCCAACAAGGAACGCAATGCTGAAGTTGATTGTGGTGCCGCTGCCGCTGACAGTAACAGGCGTCGAGGTTGGCGGGCTCAAGGTAGCGTTTCTACTGCCCGTGGCAGAAGCGAAACCAGATACCTGAGAAGTTGGTTTGCCATTGGCAGTGCTCTGAGCTTCCGTGTTAGGGGCAGAAGTGGCAAGTTGGATATGGGTCTGCGCAGTAGCATGGCTTGAGGCGGTTCTTGTGGCGGGATCCGAAGGGGATGAAGACGAAGAGGTCGAGTTGGCTGCATTGCAAGACAGATCCCAGAGGGGCTTGTTGGTTAACGAAGAGCCAATGACACCAAAGCTCGGGTTAGGAGTAGTTGGAGAGGAATCTTGGAAGGTATACCACCAGACGTTGGTCTTTCCGAACAACGGGCATCCGATCTCATCCCAATATATCTTAGCGTTCTCGGGAGATGCAATAGCCTTGCCAACAGTTTTGCCGCTTGCAGGCCAGCCAGTTTCGGTGATCCAAACCGGCTTGTTTCCAGCATTCGCCAGGGTTCTCTTGAGACCATCGTTCCAGCGGTCTTTGCTGTCAGAAATCGAATTGGGAGCAAAGTCGTCGAAGAAAGGGTATGCGTCCATTCCGATCCAGTCGCATGCCTGGACAACGGCCTCGTTGCTGTTGTTACCCCATGCAGTCCATGTGTCAACATGGCCTAGTGGAGCACCACCCAACGGCGAGTCCTTGATGACTTGGCGGACTTGCTGAATATACTTCAGGAGTGTTTCCGGACCAACACCAGGGTTCTGGCCGGCCGCGACACCCATGGGCGAAAAGCGGTAGAGATCCTCGCTACCGATAGAAATACCAGCGATCAGACCGTCAAGCTGGTGGCCATATTGGGATATAGTTCTTTTCAAAGCCTCGATCTCATTTGCAAAGGAAGCATCTCCGGCGGATGCCCACAGGCCGAGCAACAACGACGTTCTCGTAGCAATCGCAGCAGGGATGGCTGAGATGGGGTCATTGACACTTCCACTTTGGATCATGGTATAGAGTCGGGCGGATGTAAAGGCGCCGTTGGTGCCTTCGAGACTAGCGGCGGTTTTGAACTCGGCTTCGTAGTCAGACTGAGTTTTCGCCCGTCCATCAGTGAAGGTGGCGCCATAGTTGAACCCTTGGAAAGCGCTGGCTGCGGACGCCAGAAGGAGAAGAGCTGCTGAGTAGTCGAGAGGACGCATCTTGAAGATTGTACGGGCTTGAGTGGCTTGCTCGATAGAACTAAGGGCAAGTGATATTAAGGAGAGCAAAAAGCTTAGTATTAAGTGAGAGAAGAGTACAGACACGGTCAATATGCAAACGAGTGGTGACTTGGATCTGTGACTCCAGCGGGCCGTTGACTTGAAAAATGGAAGTGTGAGGTGAGGGAATCATAGATTATGATACATTTTGTAGACTAAGATTGGGGGTACCTTTTAAAGACAATACACAGCTGCTATCTCGGGATCACTTTCCTGATTACTGGATTGTTGCAATGGTAGGAGTTAAGCCAAATTAGACTGCAAAATAAAGTTTTAATGCTGCGCTGCCGTGGCCCCTTACGCGTAGCATATAATTATCTCTACGCTCTCGCTATGAGCTTGATTCCCTGTTTACACCATTTGGTAAGTTCAAGATACTTGCCTATTTGATTCAAGAATGGCAATTGCTATCCATGCTCATTTCACTAAAGACAACCTGTAATATTGTAAGGGGCTAAGGAATACTACAAGTAGCTTCCAAGGACCCTGATTCGTTACGAGTCACGCATCAGCCGGGATCATTCAACAACTTCTTCATCGGCGATTATTCTAAACCCCTGAACTTTCATCCTGTGGGCGTTGTAGTTTTTCTACGTAAATTCAACAGGACGTTATCGTGCTTATGATTCAAACTTTGGCGTGGCTATTTCTCGGCTGAAAACATTGTCTTGGCTCTTCAATGCCATAGAAGTTAATCTTCAAAGTTAAAAATAAGCAAAGACTAATAATACCTGCTTGAAATGAAGCAGAGAAAACCAACAACCAACATCGGTGTAGAAATATTCAAAGTCTGCTGTCATGTCGCCTACCTACGTAGTGGGTAATTGCGTTGGGTGGTCTGTCGTTCATATCCCAGGGGCACGCCCTCAGTAGTTTTCCTACAAACAGAATCAGACTCTCCAAGTCCCAGGACCTAGTTATCTCACAGTTTCCGGTAATATGCCTATTGAAATTATCTCTCTACCGCTGGCTCACCCATCAATGCAATCAATGATTTATGTCGGCTTTCGCATTGGAGATCTCGTGGTCATTACAAAAATCTCCATATTTGGCAATTGCCCAGCCCTCGTATCCCATACGAGGTGGCGGCAGTGCGACAAACAATGACCCAGCCGATGCAACCTTTTCGTCCGGCGCTTCATTTCATATGTCCGTTGTTAATGGGAGCCGTAAACTTAATATAATTGAACTGACAACCTACAAGGCTTCAACAGTGTATGATTCGGCGCGAAATCAGCCCGATTCGGAGACTTTTCAGGTCTTTCAATTCGGACATGTGCATGCAGACTCTACCTTAAGCCGAATAACTCCACCCATACAGATCTGTCCACATTTCTGCATGGGCTAGTCTTGTGGGTGCGGTCCGAGATTCAATCTTGGATTACTCCGTCTCATCGCTCATTGGTTGTGGGCTTAATAGCGCCTCGACTACCTCTTAGCACTCAACCTCAAGATACCTTTCCATGCGTAAATCACCGATATGACGAGTCGGAGATGGTCCTAAAGACATAAAAATAGTAATATCCTTCTTTCTTGAGACTGCAATTAATTGCAACTATTGGTATATCTCGCCTGGCTGCTACCCCCACAACGGCCCAAAGGGGATTCACAGCCCCAACTGTCCAGAAGCCGCAGCCAGATGCTCTCGCCGCAGCCTCCCACGTCTTTAGAAATGGTATTCAAATACAAACTTTTCGGCCCCAAAAGGAAGATATCTTTGAGAAAACTCCAAAATACCTAATTTCCTGTGTGAACAGGAGCAACTGCAGCGCTTAAAACGGATAAAGTAACTTCTCTGTGAACCTAACTTCAAAGGGATGCCAATTTGAAGTAGAGTAAAACATATTTAGGCATGGTAGGTTCTATTAGTAAAGCCCTGTACGGTCAAAGAGGAGGGTGGCTGCAGGCTGGTGGCTGATATTGGTACCAATGAGGTAGAGCGACCAACTAGGAAATTTCAATCTAAGCTGACAAACACGGCAACGGCGCCCTGGGAGCATGCGACATATAGTCATTGTATCCATATTGAGCAAGAATTTTGTCATCTCGATGAAAGAATTAGGCACTGTGTCTGAGAAGTCAGCCCTTTGCGAAGGTGTCAGCATCGCGCAAATTGAAGCAGCGGGACACCTGATCACACTCGAGCGCCGGCAATGCCTGGAGGAAACGATATCCTCTTGCTGCAACATCGATAAGGCCTGGTCTTCATGTCCAAGTACTCGAAACGTACCACTTAACATCAGAAAAAGGGGTCCTTGGCCGATACCTCCTGCCCCGTCTCGAGCGCTGCAGGATTCATTCAATCTGGTTGGTGAGTCTGTAGTGGGTGCGGAGAGAGGTACTGCCATTGTGTCAGATGTTGTCTTCCAGTAGATTGCGGTTTGATTTAAAACTCCCTTGCGTGACCAAATAGGCAATTTTGGCCTGAGATACCTATGATATTGAGTATTGCATAAAACAATGTTGCTTCAACTTCGGAGACTCATGCTGCTATGCACATAGAATTACAAGGTTACATAGCGCCATTACAATATCGCATTATCTCACTCATCGCGAAAGAGAGACACAAAATATCTCAATCAAAAGCAAGACGCGCATCATTTAGCCAGCAGAAGCGGCTTGGCAACTCCGGCCACTGAGGAAAGAAGTGGCCAGCTTTATTGCGAGACTGCGCATATTGTTACATAAGAACTTGCCATAGGTCCGAGAGACCACAGGTGGCTACAATGTGAAAGATCGATTACTATTTAAGGGGTTTTCAAGCCCTAAAGTCCTGTGAACATTTGCAAGTCACCTAGAAGTGGGTTACCTGACCTTCGCGACAATATGCATCCCTTATCATCAAGGATTATCGAAATAGCTAAGGCTAGTATAGACTCAGTAAGTTGAATGATGAATCCATGGTATTTTAAGAAAAAAGGTCGCTTACTGCTCTTCAAATGATTACACTCGCTTCATGAAGGTCTCTGGCCAGAGGTTGCGAAACCACATGGGTAAGCAAATTCACTTGTTCAAGGCTTCTAAACTACCTAGTGTCCCTCCGTACCATGCAGGGAATCATAACTGATATAGAATTTTACCTGCAGACATCCAAATACACGTCGACAAAGTCCCAAGAAATTTGATGCTGACAACCAATCCTGTGGGCACTTTCAACGAAGCATTCAGGTTCCGAACTTAACTCAACCTGCGACGCGAAACCCTTGAGAAGAACAGGAGCCTCAAGATATGAGAAGATATTATCTCGAATTTTGAGATGATTGACAACGAGACTTGTATAGTGTCCCGAGAGTGCGGCATCAACTTGGAACATATCCGAAGCCAGTTGACAAGCCTTACTGGAAACAATATCATTATCCGAGGCAGCCGACACACAATTTCGATAACTAAATAGTTTGCTTCGTAATGGGACAGCATTTGAGTTAGAGCACTTGAAAAGCATTATGAAGAGGTGGCGCAGCTTGATACCACACAGCTACAACATATCCAATGGGGTTGTCTGCAGATGAGCCTCATTACGACCAAGAGGCAGGATGTCAGTTCACATGACGTTTACTGTGTAACCGATAAGAATGAATTCGACTTAACAACCGGTTCCAACGGTCTCTTATCGGCATCAAACCAAGAGCGCGCTTCGCTCAGCAGTGAAATTTTAGGGGGTAGTGTTTGCTGGCGTCCATCTAGGAAGCCTCATCACGCGCTTTCTAAGCTGTCTTTCAGTTTAGGTTTGTTTCGCTAACAGATGACTCAGTCACCTAAGTATCTGAGGGAATAGCTAAATACTTATCTATTTTACACAACTAGCCAACTCTTGATGGACCCAACTCGGAAAAAGACTTGTTCAGTACGTTTGGCGGATGGCACGATTTATTCGCGAGGCCAGGGGAGTCCAGCTGCCTCTCCACCACTTCCATGATCTACACAATTTTCAAAGAAAATGAAGGAAGTGTCACATTCGACAAAGACTTTTGTGGGAGGAATGGGGCCAAAGGTTGGGACCAGACTCTCTGAGCTGCTGCCGCTTCCTGCTTTGTCCTTCGACTCTAACACATCGAACCCACACATCGCAGTTACTCAATCAAAAACTGTCGCCTTCCAACATATTAAGCCTCGCGAAAGTCTGCAAAGACCATGCCGCTCCATAGCAAGATATGTCTGAATCAAAGCGGACTTGCCATAATTCTGAAGCAGATGTGCCTCGGCCTTTGGTTTTCAGACAGGAGGCCAGGGAAAATAACACTCAAATTGTCCAAAACGACAGACTGAAATGATGCCGACTCATCTGCCAAGACCCAGAAGAAGCACGGTGCACTTTTCCCCGCCTCGAGGTTCCAGAAGTCTGGGAACAGCAGTTCGCTATGCCAGATACCGATGGCGAAAAAGACGAGAACCTCAAAGAGCTAAAGCATGACATGTGCCAGGTTCAGTCTTCGTAACACTTATAGATGATGACGAGCAACAAGTGAGACTCTTGGTCCTGCGCCAGAGCTTGCTTTGGTCCTGAATGGGGTTGACAACGGCGGTATTACAAGTGCGGTAATGTTGATATTACACCATTCGCTGAAATTCATGGAGTCCTGTCTGTTGAAATGAAGTCACCAGCGCGTAGAACGAATAAAACTGCAAGCTGTTTTTGCGCTCGTTATATGGTGTCTTTTCATAGATTATACATTCAGTACTTGTGATAATTACTTCATATGCAGACTCCCCATCAGTGTTGAAGTTGCTTGTTGATAGCTTAGCATCCCATAACGGGCAAGACGTTGCGACGGATAAATCTGTCGTCACGTTGCAAACAATCCATTTGTGCTCTATAATATCAAATCAAATTTTTAATAATCTGAAGTAAAACAAAATCACGATGGAAGCTATCTGTGAAATGCCCCTACAAGCTCAATAAAAGTACACCGTTGGAATCACTGTTGTAGCCGTACGACGTGGGAAGAGGGATTCCTCTCAAAGCATGGCAAAAGCGTTTCTATCATAAAAAAAGATACATCTGAATAGGTTAAAGTGAGTGGAAGAGATCTATGACATCCGATTACCTGTTGTGTGGACAGTTGAGTTTGTATACCTACTCACGTGAGATGTGGTTGGCCGGCAGCCGGCAGCTGAGCGGCCACGGAGCTATTTCAACCCGGAATTCCGATTATTGCAACATTTACAACAAGCCTAAGTATTTTGATCCTTTCTTCGTTCCTGGAAGAGCTGCTTTCAAATTATACACACCGTTACATCATTGAAAGCGCAATGTCAAATAGGTATAGAACGATAGCGTGGCACACGTCTCAGGTTAGATAGCTTGTATTTTAAACTATCTCAGCAGGCGAAAATGCCATAGTCTCTAAAAAGTCTAAATGAAAAATGCCTGTCGTTCCCCTTTTTCTTCTCGCTTAGTGGCAGCAAGTAACAATGCACTGGAAGTCGGCCTACGAGTTGATCGAGAGTAAGTAAAGACTCACTAACATTTGCAAGAAGGGGGGTTAAACATGGTTGACTTACTCCGGGGGGGCCACGAGAGATATCGCCAGGGGCAGTCTTGTAGGTAGGGTCAATAGCCTGGCAGACCTTGATCTTGGCCGCGGGCTCGATATTCAGGCAGAAGTTGCAGTTAGGGTCACTGGTAGTGCAGAAGCCTTCGGCCTAGAGTTTTTTTCAAAAGAAAGATTAGATGAATGTTCAAGTGATTTTCATTCCCGGTTTGTGCCAAGTTTACCTTGCAGTTGAAGCCCTGGGCAACAGCTCCGGTGAGCATGGTGAGGGGCAGAAGGACGGTAGCGAGAGTAGCGGCGAACATTGTGTGGGTTTAAGTTTCTTGAATAAACTGGCACAAGTGTATGGTAATGACTGATAGACTCAGAAGTAAGTTTAAAGTAAAAGATGGAGTGGATGAAGCTTCGATGTATGTCAAAAGCTTCGGGGAAGACTCGAGCTTATAAGCATATACAAACTCACAGCTCTCAAGACTTGAAAGCAGAATCTTGCAACCAACTTAGAGGTACGGATACCGGCATTCGGTCACGGTGTTAACGCCAGCAGAGAAAAGTATAACATATTGCTACCCGATTGCAGAATTATCTGCGGCGCATTGCATCTGTTCGAATACTCCTTGAAAATCTGGAGTTACCGATCACGATCACTTAGTTGACAGGCAAAGTCATTGAATTTAGTGTCTTGAGCAAGGGTTCGTAATAAATTTTGGGAACACTGAGTCGCGTCGAACAACGAGTCATGTCGACCCCGCGGGGTATCCTTGAGTTTTGCTTGGCGCCACTAATACCAATTCAGCAGAAGGACCAAGCATTGAAACCCACTCATGGAAAAGGTTGGGGGCACAAAATTGCCAGGAATCAGTAATTATTATCTTCGAGAAAGAGAGCTTAATGTCCTTGCAGCCTATAATAGTCGTCTAGAGACCTCTGAGATCTGATTAACTCAGCAGGATGCCTTGAACCTGTAGACTCAGTGGAACTAAAGTTTTGGTTTCCAACTGGCATTGACAACAACAAATGCAACCACAGATCACAGATTTCTTCGTATGCAAGCGTAGGTGTGATCATTTTAGATCAGTTATTCATGAACAGTCAAGGATGCTCATCTCCCCAAGTTAGCTTGACGTCAGAAAGAGCGCAGGGGCAAAAGCTAATTGGCAACTTGCTTGTTAGCAAAATGTTCAGTTCGACAAGTGGGCACAGGTAGATAATCAATTTAGGTTCAGCCTAGATAACCAGATACTGTCGGTTGAGGAAACAAAAGCTACTATGTACTGTAGATCCTTCAATCAGTCATTATTTTCAGCGAGAGATTTCATTGACTGTAATTTTCAAGGTAAGGGTGACCAAATAGCTGTTGGCCAATGCCCGTTCCTTGGCATGATGTCGTCTCAACCAGCGATGTATTGAGTCATGGAGACTTCCCACGTGGACTTGAGACCTTGCAAACCATGCTGAAAGACAGGTAAGCTATAGTTAGTGAGTTACTCGTGTCAATGAACGAGACGGCTCGGTTCATCCGAGCTGCGGTGGAGATTCCATTCAAGCTCCAGGAGAGCGTCGGAAGGGCAAGGACGAACGTTGCTCCATTAACGGGCGTTAAACCCATGGTAATACTGATATTATCTTCAAATATTTATGCATGTTGATTTTGGATGCGGTCGAGACTGTTCGCAGATCTACCCGTTATGAATTTGTTCCTTGAACGATGCAACCTTCTGCTGACATTGAAGTTGTATTTTACCAGGATATAGTCGGTATCTGAGCACATCGCTGCCGCATTCAGAAGTTTGAGAATGCCTTCACGGCTTCTTGGGCCGCTTCTGACTCGGGGGCTTTTCTTTGAACGCCAGAATAGAGCGATAACTTCCTTTCATAGCTGCTCAACGCATGGGCTTGCCAGCCTTCGCCCATATTAGTTACAGTATTGGGACTTACTGGCGAGAGGAAGAGCGTCTTGGGTTGACTCGTGGTAGAGAGGTTGGAAAGGATAGGTAGGCCAGTAAAAGTTGAGCATGTGAAAACACACGTGTCATGGGCAATAACATTGGATGATAAGCAACCAGCTTTCGAGACTAACATATGAGGATCGACATATCAGTAAATTCACCTCTGATAAATGCCACCAAATTGTGCTCCGTCTGTTAGTGTCTGGTGGCCGGCATATCATCCGCAGCGCTAGATTCGAAACAGCAGGATGGAGATGTCCGCATTTTGACACCGCAGAAAGTTTTCTGCGGTGTTATTTCGAGAAACCCGATCAACTAATTGTAACCAACCATCTACCCTCCCTGCCCAACCCCGCTTTGTGTCTGTTGCGAGACCTCATTGTTGTCGGTTTCTATGCTTTCCGCATTCTCTAGTCATGCGTCTTCTTTACTTCACACAGCCACCCTCTTCGAGACAACTGCGGCTCGTATACGCGAAGGTTTTAGAAGCCGTCTCCTCGAATCTTCTGAAGGTCTACCAAAGTTTAAACGGATGATGCCTCGTTAAATCCGAGTAAGGTAAATTTGATCTTATCACTAGACAGACAGGACGGTAATACCTATGATTTACATTGAGGCCAATACCTGCCATCCGAGTTTATGGGACATGCACAAGTAAAATACGACAAGAAACAATAAGCAGTCGGTGACTGCACCTCCTAGACAAGACACAAAAAGCTCACAAGTGCGAATACACCATGAAGTTACCGAACAAACGGATGTATGAACGCTATTGAATGCAGGGGTATCAAATGCACTTATCTCTATAAACTCCATCATTTCGCCCTGACCTTACGAATAACGACTCGCGTCCCATCAAGCTCCCACCCCACACCGCGATCCCTCACCAACACCTCCCAGCTCTCCCCCGCACACCTTTCAAGCCACTCCTTGTCGACACCTAAATACGTCCGCCCAAAGCACTTCAGCACGTGTGTCCGCATTTCCCCCTCGGCGAACTCCAGCAACTTGGCGCGGTGCCCGTCAACACTCCTCTGCACCTTCCGGAAAGCGACGAAGTTGTCGTGCGCCAGAGCCGCAAGAACCGCATCCACTTTGGCATCCTTCAGCCCATAGCGACGGCGTATCGCGTAGGCCTCGGCGAGGTCCTGGCGACGGCACGCCGCATCGAGTACGAGGTAGCTTAGGACCTCCTGTAACTCAACGCTCGTCAGGTTCTGAGCGGGGTGTATCGTCCTCAGTACATGAAGGATCGCGGGGTGGTAAGACTCGGGGTGCTTTATGAGGACGGACAGGCGGATATTGAAGAGGTACACCTGGATGGCGAAGTCGTCGATGCGTTTCGATGCGACGATGCCTTCGCGGAGCTTTCGCAGCGCCATCATGACGTCTGATAAGCCCTTTGTGTTGGCTGGATCGTCTGGAGGTAGTCTTGGAGAGGATGCGGCAGAGGCAGCCGGGGATCCCTTAATGTCGAGCGACGCGAAGCGCCGAAGGAGCTCGTCGCGCTCGCCAGCGTCGGAGCAGAATGTCATGTATCGCTCGACAATCTTTGTGTAGTATCGCTCCTGGGTCTTGAAGTCAAGAAGTCTGTGTACCGGTTATTACATCAGCCAATGCTCTTTTCTTCTTGCGCAGGAGGCAGTACCTGGTGTCACCCTTTGATGGCAATCCGATGCTGTCGAGGGGGTCCAGATCGACGGGTTTCAATCTCCCCCAGGGCCCCGAATGCGAGCGGTTGCCTCTGCCGCCGCCACCACCGCCGCCGCCGCTGTTTCCTCCCCTAAACACTCTGCCCCCTCGTCCGCCGCGATTCGACATGTTGATGGTATGGCTACTCTGGCGTCCCGGTTGGTGGGGGGAAGTATGAGCGGGTCGAGGGGTGACATGTCGTCAAAACAAGACGGGATGTACATCCCACCATTCTTATCTTATCTAATCGCCGATCCGACGCCAATAAGGGCACTTGGGTACCCCAGAGTCCTTCTGTGAGTTGGGGGGCAGATCTGGGCTGGGGTGTTCTTTCTGGGTTGAGTGCCAAAGTACCCAATCTGTGTTAAAACAGCCCTAATTGAGAGAGAGGCACAATGACATTGTTCAAGAAACAATGCAATTAACCCCCCAACGGAATGCTCCTGAGACCGAACATCTGATGTCTGGCGATTTAGTTGCCCAATGCCGACATCCATCCTTACCCCAACCTCGCCTGGGGGGGTTAGACGCACGAAGCCGCGGGGAACCTCGGCAGGTCTAGGGAGCTCCAAATGGGAAGCTCTAATTGCGACGCCGATTAAAGCTTTCCTTATAACTTCACGCCCACAGCTTCACCAACCCCCAACAACAGACGAAGCATATCCCTCCCTTGAAATCACCCACAACTAATTACAAAGCTCCGCGAGCGCTGCCAAAATGTCGAACCGCGTATCGCAAATCGCCTCCCACTTGAATTACCCAAAGGGCATGCTCGCCGGCCAGGTAGCCATCATAACCGGCAGCGGGCAAGGCATCGGCGCCGAAGCAGCCCGACTCTTCGCCAACGAGGGCGCAAAGGTCGTTGTGGCCGATATTGACGCCAGTTCGTCCCCATTTTCTTGACATAATCTCATGTTTCCCCGCTGGCTACTTACACCGCATCACTCCAACAGAGAAAGCCCAAGAAGTGGTAGACAGCATCACCTCCAAAGGCGGCAGCGCAATCGCCGTGCCAGGCGACATGTTCTCGGCAGAGTACATTGACACGCTCGTCGCCAAAGCAGCCGCCTTCGGAAACAACAAGATCCACCACATCATCAACAACGCCGGCTTCACCTACGACGGCATGATCCACAAAATGTCCGACAAGCAGTGGGACACCATCCTCGCGCTGCACGCCACGGCGCCCTTCCGCCTGGTCCGCGCCGCGGCCCCGTACTTCCGCGTCAAGGACGGCGAGAACAGGTGCATAGTCAACATCAGCTCGACCTCGGGCATCCACGGTAACGTGGGTCAGGCCAACTACGCCCTCGCCAAGGCCGGCGTCACGGGCCTGACCAAGACCATCGCGAAGGAATGGGGTCCCATGTTCGGCGTGCGCTCCAACACCGTCGCGTTCGGGCACATCAAGACGCGGCTCACTGACGCCAAGGAGAAGGGCGCCTTCGTCGTCGGGCCCGACGGCGAGAAGATTGCGCTGGGCATCCCGCAGGCGCAGAGGAGCGGCGACGGGGCCAAGCAGCAGGAACAGGCGTACGCGGACATACCGCTCCGCAGGCCCGGCACGCCCACCGAGGCGGCGTCGGTGGTGCTGGCTGTCGTCAGCCCCCTGTTCAGCTACGTGACGGGGCAGACCATCATGGTGACGGGAGGCCGGAACATGTAATAGTAGACTTACTAAAAGAAAAGAAACAAACAAACACAAAAGGGCATCACAGAACAGAATATAATTTTCCATGCGACTCGCAAGTAATTAGGTATCCGGTACTTAGATTCCCGTGCCCCCAACGCCCCAAATGCCATGCGTCCCAACCGGCACGCGCAACAAACCAAAAAACCATCGGTATCGTAGCAACTCTCTCTTAATCTCTCATTTCTTTTCTTTTTTTTTTGTTCCTCTCCCTCTAGACCTTGAGCCAGAGAGACAACACGCCCTTGGCATACTCCACAATCTCGTCTCCACCAAGCTTACTATCACCGTAGATACGGTCGACAAAAGTAATAGGCACCTCAGCGACAGAGCACCCCATAGCCTTGGCGCGAACCATCATCTCCATCTGGAAAGTATATCCCTTGCTCTCGGTGCTCGAAATCACCTTCTCCAGCACGCTCCTCTTGTACAGGCGGAAACTGCCCGTGAGGTCGCTGACGCCGGGCCGCAGCACCGTGTCGGCGAACAGGTTGGCGCCGCGCGACACGAACTTGCGCTTGAGGTCCCAGCCGTAGACGCCGCCGTTGCCCGCGTACCGCGTGCCCGTGACGATGTCGTAGTTGCCCTCCTTCTGCTTGGCGACCATCTGCGGGATGAACTTGGGGTGGTGGCTGAAGTCGGCGTCCATGATGATGACGAAGTTGCCCGTCGTGAACTGCAGGCCGTGCACGTACGCCGTGCCGAGGCCGAGCTTGCCCGAGCGAGTCTTGAGCACGACGTGAGGAGAGTAGGCCTTGACGAGCTGGTTGGCGACGTCTTGGGTTCCGTCAGGAGAGCCGTCGTCGACGATGATGAGTTCCCAATCGAGCTTGCTGTTTAGTGCAACCATTCAGTCAGCATATCGTGCGTAAACGTTTGGATTCTTTTCCTCGTAGGAATAATTGAGGTGTGGATGGTTCGAGGGCGGCTTACTGCTCGGTGAAGGTGCGGTTCAGCAGCCAGGTGACGATAGGGAGGTTGTGGCGCTCATTGTAGGTCGGGAGGATGACCGAGTACTTGTTGGCCGCCATTTTTGTAGTCGATAAGAATTGAGAAAGGGGACAGGCTGAGGGAAATCTCGAGGTGTGTTCGAAGCAGACGTTGCGGTAAGGAGCGTGGTGAAGTTGGCTAGGCGTCGATAGAGGCTTGCGGCGATGCTGTCCTTTGGAGGTGGAATGCCAATCCAGTTAGCAGCACCTTGAGTGGCTCAGATGACTAAGCTTGGCCTAGCCCCTGAATTCCAGGGGTGGGCCACCAAGCCTGGGGACGGGAGGGGCCATGATGCGCTCCCACCTCGGTTTAGCCTCAGGATGTCAAATGTCAATGTCGCATTGCTTGTGAAAGTTAAAATACTGCGTAAGACATGGTCAATCAAGGGCAGTGTTCGAGAGACTAGGAAACTTTCATGCAGAAACTTAAGGATCCCGCCCAGAAAACTACTGGTTAGAAACTCAGTGGTGATCATGTGAAGGGTAGTCATTAAACCTATAAACTAAACCACTGGCACAGCATTGTCGCCGAGAGGTTTGAGGAGCACCATTGGCTCCATGCAATAGCAGTCTATGTCTCGTATCTTTGGTCATTATGATTTTGTTGAACAGAAAAACGGCCAGGACGAGTGCCAGCCATCAAATCTCTAAACCCGTACCACACCAACAATGAGACCATCAATAGTACAACGCCGAATGCAATGCCGTCACAAGGACACCGGATCAGGGTCACAAGTCGACCCTCCGCTCTATTATCGCTCACAGAAAGACAAAGAAAATCCCATTATTCCCGATTATGCAATTACCATCCGTCGTTACGCCGCCTCGAACCACGGAAGTAGTCATATTGTGTCGGGTCGTGCTCCACAGTGTCTGCGTCTGCCTGAGGGAGTCCGCTGTAACCCCTCGGTCCGCCGCCCAGGGCACCAACCGTGGGACCCGGTGATGGGGTGGCCACTGGCATGCCGGCGGCATTGCGCACCAGCGCAGAGTCACTGCCGTTATCCATGTTGTATAGAGGACTGCGCGAGCGGTCGCCATACGTCGACTGCTGTGCAAAAGCGGCTTGTGGCGCAGGGAGTCCTCCAGTAGGGGACGAGCGACCATTGGCCGGCGACATGTAACCTGACGGTGGGGTAAAAGCCTGGAAGCCAGCATTGGAAGCCTGGCGCGGCTGGGCACCGGTCATTCCACCTTGAAGAGGTCGGCCAGTGGGCGTTCCGGGGCGAGAGCCATTGTCGGAGTAGTCTGTCATCGATCCGGGAGTGCCTGGTCTCATAATGTCGGGGTTGCGGCCGAAAAGATCGCCCTGACCGTGCTCTTCCGCGAATTCGGCTCTGTTCTTGTAGTATTCGAAGTCCAGGTGAGATTCAGAAACAAACTCGAAACCTGGAATACCCGCTGACTTTCCGGGCTTGCCTGAATTCATAGGATCCAGCACATAGGCGTCCGAGTATCCGGAAACACTCATCATGTCGCTGCCGTTGATTTCCCTTCCGTCGCTCAGACGGCCCTTGTAAACGGCAGGCAAAATGGACTGCGCCTTCTGGTGGACCATGGGGGTGATAAGCGGCTTGTACAGAGCAGGGTGGCCGAACCGCGACGCCAACCTCTCGCTGCGCAGGCGCGTCTCCTTTTGCACGCCGGCCTCAGGATGCTTAGAAACGTTATGCGTGGAGTAGTAGTGAATCTTGGCGTCGAACATGCGGGCGCAGACAATCTTGAAGATGATCAAAATAACTGGCAAAGGTACAATAGCCAATGCGACACTGTGGTAAGCCCAATCCGATCTGGCCCACGCGCCAAGGAAAAAGGTACAATGCGACAAAAAGACGCCAAAGAGGAAACGGTTGAAAAGAACACGCCAGAACATGCCGCCAGACTCGGTCTTGGTAACGAAAATGTAGAGCAAAAGGTACTTCTTGAGCCAGTAGTCAATGGCGTAATACAACGTAGCGGCCGGAAGAACCAGGGGCTGAATACCAGAGAAGGCGAGTGCGATGGTTGCGTAGTACAGGAAGTAGTTGTAGTACGAAGCGAATTCGAAGGTAGGCGGGGCGGTCAATTCGATCAACTCTCTGGGCGTCGGGCTTGAAAACTTGCGCACGAAGAAGCTATAGACGAGCTTCCAAAGCTGGGCGAGATCAATAGCAGCACCCAAGTTGCGCTGCAGAAGCCAAGTCACCCAGAAGGGGCTGACCTGGCAAAGAGCCGTGAAAACGGCAGCAACAATATCTTGGTCAATGATTGCCTTCCAGGCATCCTTCTTCTCCCCGGCCTCCTGGACGACAGCAGACACAAAAGACCAGACGGTGCTGAAAAGCGAGAAGACGATCAGGTTGTTGAAGACAAAGAAGGCGTACAGTTTGGCCAGCACATGCCTCTCACGGCCAGTCTTGGTCTGGTCACCAGCTTTCATGGACAGGCGGCGGAAAATCATGGGAAGAACAAGATAGACGAGAGACATGATGGCAGGGGATGCAATACCCTGGACAACAGCCCACCATTCTGGGTTCTTGCGAAGCTCGGTTCGGAAGTCAAGCCAAACGTTGCCAAGGTTTTCCAAGTTGATTAGGAAAATGGCGATCATGGCGTTGGGAACAATCCATACGATGGTGAGAACCGCAATCCACAAATTGTTGATAATCCGCCTCCACCGTCTAGTCGCGGGGCTCAGGGGCAGATTGTCCCAGATGATGTCGTTGGGCTTCGGAGCCAAGGTGATTCTGGTGCCATGAGGGTGCTTCTTGCGGGTAGCGTAGGCAATGTTGTGTGCCTCGGCGATGTCAGAGTAACTCGCGAAACCGTAAGGCATGGTACTGCGCTTGTCGACACTTGCTCGGACCTCTTTGATCTCGATCTCCAATTCCTTGATTCGCTGCGTCAAATATTCGATAGCATCGACCTTTTGTCCCTTGGGATAGGTTTCGAAAGAGGGATCCTTCTTAGACGGCTTGCACATTGGGCGGGCGGCGGGCAAACGATCGGGCTTCTTGAGGTACTTGGCCAGCACCTGCTCCAGCTTGCGAACGGTGTGATCATGCTGCTCAATCAGCTTGGGCAAATCCTTGACGTTGCGAGCGATGGCGGTGCGGGCAAAGGAAGAGCTCGGCACAACTTCGTCAACGATTCTTGCAATGCCCTCGTCAGAGCATCGGTCTTTGGGGATATCGTAAAACTGTCGCAATTGTTAGCTCAACACGCATATTGAAACCTTGCCTCATAAAACTTACCATCAATGTGCGAGCGTGCAGACTGTTCTGGTACTCCTCGCTCTCAAAATAACGGCGGCGTAGCAGCATAACCTTGCGATAGTTCCACCACAGAAAGCCCATGACTGTGAAAGTGATCATGTACGCAACCGCGACCTGAGCCCAGTAGGCCTTCTCACCCCAGACAGCAATAGGCGTAATGACCTCGATCCATTTCCTATCCTTGAGGGCAGTAGCATCCGCGTTGTTCAGGTAGACAGGGACCAAGATGGCGATGGTGAAGACAGAGATGGTGGCAAAAATGAACAGACACATGCGGACGAAGCGGAGGAAGATGGTGGCGTCCATGCCAACGTGATGAACAAGCTCGGCCTCTCCCGTGTTCCATAATGGCGGAATCCAAGACCAGATCTTTTTGCCGATGGGCGGAGGAGCATGCTTCTCATCGGCATGCTTGAGCTTAGGAGCATAGACGGATTGATTGTACGGTCGAAGGAAGGAGAATGTAACGGCGATGGCAACCGTGACACCAAGAGAAGTACCCAAAGCGGACCAAACGGCGTTGTTTTGCAGCTATACACAATGTCTGTCAGCGTCCGCAATATTCAGGGCAACCTTTTCTTCTTTTCTTTTGCTGCCATTGGAGGTGGTCTAACCTGTCCGCTGAAGGGATTCTTCAGCAGCTCCAAAATCTCCTTGCCCGGATCGATACTCATTTTGGCTGTCGGGACCCCCTTGGGGCGAGGGGGTTGAGAGACGTCTCTCTAAAAGTGTTTTCGGAGACGGGAGGTGTCGGTGTCCCTCGTTGATGATGCTATCTTGGGCACGAGATGGGACTGTTCCGACTGCAACGTCTTCGAAGGGAGGAAATCGGTCGTCTGTTTAGAATTGGAGAGGAACCCGCGATAAGAGCTCGTCCAACGTATTTTGTATTGGGGGCCTTCAACGGCTATAAATCAGAGCGACCCTTTTCGTCGTGTGTCGTGTGTGTGTCGGATGATGATGCCGGGCGCACAAAGCTCTATTGTCGGCTTCCCAAAGGAAAGAGGGGGCAGAAGACAAGTGAATGACGCGGGCTACCACAGCGAGAGACACGGGAGGATGATGGATCGTCGGGGCCCTGAAAGAGCAAAGGTGCCCACCGCGGTTACAGTTTGAATTAGTGGAGCAGCAGCGGTATATCGAAGGGGGGAGACGCAAGAACGATTGGCGGAGGTCGGACTAGATCACGGAGGACGCGGAGAGGGGGGGAGGGGAGGGAAAGAGAGAAGAGCGAGGGAGAGGGAGGAAAAGAGAGAAGAGCGAGGGAGAGGGAGGAAAAGGGACAAGAAGTCGATATTGGTCAAGCGAGTGTAAGGGTAGATAAGAGAGGTTTAAGGTAGGGGTCAGAAGGGTTGGAGTAGTGGAGGAAAGAAAAGGCCGAAAGGGAAGCACGAAGTTTGTTGAGCGCGGATCACAGGATTGCGTATGTCACTCTGGCCATCCCGTCTTTGGGTGCGCCGATACCCGGGTCCTGGCCTGGAGCTTCCTTGGAGGTACCTGCTGCCCAGCTCCCAGGAACAGCCGGGCAAAAACAACATGGAGAATAGTGTAAAAAAAAACATTTTAGAAAAACCCAGTTTAGGGGATTGGCTCACATCAGGTCCCTGCAATTCTGCGCTAACGGGGCCTTGGGGCGTGGCTCCACTTCATCCGACCCACCACCAAGAAGTCCTGGAAGTACGTACCGCCATTCCATTGTACCTGCTGGTCATGTCATTCGCTGTTCTTTCTCGCTGGTGGTGGTGGCGGCTGCTCACTTGGATCTGATCAGCGGCGGTGGTGCTCACCTCAGTTTTGGTTGTAAAGGGAACCATCAAAGTCCTAAAGCATGACTTGAAAGCCGCCGAAAAGTCAACCCTCAGCGTCTCTAAAAATAACATTTACACTTCCTATGTGTTCTTCACTCTTTTTCTTTTTCATCCTAATGCATGTCAAGAAGCATCCGCAGCTGCAGGAACGTGTAAAGTGTATTGTGATGCTGTTTTTCCAAGTGTCTGTAGTTTTGCAGACTACTTTCTTTCCCACGAGACTCAGAAGAATACGTACCGGCATCGACGGTAGTGGCTTCCTGGCTTGGCTTTTTTCCTATTGACGGACACCAGGTGAACTATTCAGATAAAGTCGCCTCATTGGCCAACTGTAGCTGCCATCTCAAGCAAGCGCCTCCACCGGTAGGCGGGTCCACTGCACCGGCTCTGGCTCTGTTCTTGCCGCCCGCCGCGGTCTAGCTGCCAACTGGCAAGGACTTGGAGGAAGACAGAGAGGGAAAGAGAGAGCATGGGCCCTTGAGCACGCACAAATCGGCAGGGCCGCCTGCCGCTCGCTGTGGCTGTGACTATTTTTGCATACTTGGGCCCCGGTACAGTGGACTTGTGGGCGCCCCGCCCGTGTGCAGCGTGCCAGCAGTGCAGACCATCGAGACCACCTGCACACCTTTCCAGGAACAGGAGGAATGGGGTTGGAGGATTTTGAATACGAGGCGCGCGGAGGCCCGTCTACTTTTCATTCTCCCTTGTTTGAGCCATTCCGTTTCGCTGAAGTATTTTTTTTATCCCTTTGATTATGCAGACTCTGTGATTGTATGGAGATGCGAGAAATGCAGAGAGTCATGCGAATCAATAACCATCTCCTCGCCCCAACTTGCTGCCCTCTGACCTTCTCTATACGTAGTGACAGTACGTAGTAGTGATAGGTGTTCCAGGAACAGACATTGATCTGCACTGCGACGGTTCCAGCCCCCCGTGGCCGTTAAGTACTATGTAAGTGTGTGGCCCTGCGCCAGAAGGGCAAGAGAACAAACCAAAGAAGGGATAAAAACAGAATAACGCATTTTCAAGAGGCAAATAAGTGCCATCCATCATTCCACCCATACAGAAAACCGATTCCCGACAGTCCAGCTCTTTCTGCTTGTGGTTGAATCCTCCTCGAGTCTCTTATGCCTGTTTACCAGGAACTGTGTATTAAGTCTGTATTAACTCTCTCATGAACTCCGACAGGCAACACCTTACCCCATCGCGTGTCACATAGAACAGAAAAGGGGCTAGAAAATGCCCCCGCAAAGCACCAAGACCACCAATACCGAGAGAAGCGGCATCTCTGTAAGCACCGCAACTGGTCGGTCCTACTATGATGTGCCAGCGGCACCCCGGACTTGAAAGGCCCCCGTCAAAGACAGGGCAACGCATTGAGAGGGGTCCTTTGGGGGCCTTTGGGGGGCATTTGCCAATTCCCCCGGCCCCGGGGTCTCGCGACCTTTTGTGGAGAGAGGGCAGTGTAGTGTCTGTTACCTGTATGACGGAGTCCAATTGGCAATTTTTGGGTGAAATATTGAAATGCTGGGAGGGATAACATAAGCTTGTTGTCACTCCTTTTAATCTTCAATGAGGCGGTGATGGCTTGACGGATACTTAAATGGCAATGCTAACGCAAATCAACAGCCTCACTCAAGCAATACACTGTAATCAATCCCCCATGACTCTTAATAGAAGCTCCAATAGGTTGTGGCCAACAATAGAGCCAATGCAACCAACTACGTCGTTCCCCAGTCGGGATTTTATCCAGCACAGCCACCCGTCAACTATTCTCATTCAAAGGAAATGAATTGAAAAAAAAAAAAAAAAAAAAAAAAAAAAAACCAGTACTTTACGACCCGCCCAAATAACCCGAGATAAGCATTTTACTTTTTCCAGGGTTGCACCGCTGAAGCAAGTCCCTTACTCGAACCCATCGGTCGATTTCCCCTGCATGCCCTGCTTTCTCGCCTGCTTGCTTGCTTACTTGCTCAATTGCCCTTTTCCGTGTTTTTATTCCCCCCCTCCAAATAGCGGCACCGGTGGTCTGTCTACAGTACAGTACATACGTAGTTCGATACCCATGGATTGCTGATTCCTGTTGATCCCCCGCCCACCCATCGCCAAGCCTTCCGAATCCCACCACCCGCCCTGGTCTTTTTTCCTGCTTCCAGAACAAACTAGTATCCTCACGTGCACATATGGTTAGTGCACAACATAGTAGTAGTACCCTACACATAAAAAAACACACACCGCACGCACGGAACGGGCTTAAACCCACGGAGCCCTGACGGTAAAGTAGATAGTGGACTTGGCTGACCAGCCGAGAACGCCACCACAGCGCCGCCCCGTTTCGTTCTTCCCTACGTACGTCACCGTCCAAGCGGCGGCCTCTCCATGCCGTACCATGCCGTACACTATTCTGTCTTTTTTTTTTTTTTCTTGCTTCGCCGTTCGTAACCGTTGTTGACTTTTGCTGGCGGTTGCTCAACACCGCCTAGTGGGTTTCCTTTGTTTTCACAACTCGTTCCAGTTCGTGGATTCCCTTCCTCTAAGTTGATGTTTCATTCAGCCTTTTTTGGTCAGCTCGGCGTTTTTTCCGTTATGAACTTTTTTTTTTCCTTTCATTTTTTAAAAGCTCGGATAAACAATGACCTCTTCTTCCCACGCGCTCAGCGGCTGCAGGCGTCTACTTGTCTCGCCATCTCTGAGACTTCCCGTGTAGCTGAGCACTGTTAAAGATCTTCAGGACATGCATTCCTCAAAGACTGATCCTACTAATACACTAGGACCACCACATGTCTTTTCTTCAAGGTGGCCAAATGGTTCACATGTTGAAGACGGCGTTTTGGGTACTCCGTACTCAGCTATGAATCCCTCACCCGTTGACCATGGTGACGCGGAAGATGGTGGGCCCTTCGCGGTCTGGACCGAGAAAAAGGGCCCTGTAATACGTCATCCATGCTGTAGCGCCTGGTGATCCTTCCTTCCCTTCCCCATTATCGATAGTTGCATCTATCTAGACGGCTATCTGACTTGTTCGTAAGTGAATGTTGGATCCGGTGATTGAGCTAAAGTATCTCCTGGCGATTCACAGAGGCACTCAAAAAGTGTGAAAATGACTGAATCATGGTTGAAAAGCTACCTGTACAAGCATCATTATGTACATAGTCCTCCCCATTTTCATAGAATGCTGCTTCAAAACCACACCAAAAAGACAAAGACGAAAAACATAATCCCGCACCTCCTTTTTGCTTGTCCAAAAACCCGCGGGACAAAGAGAGCAAACCCGCCAGACCGGCCTGAACCCGGCCGCGACACTGGCCGTATTGGGCCGTGTTTACGCAAATGAAAACATGGAGCAGTGACAATCACTACTCCGCATAAGTTTCTCATGACCAGAGAAACTCAAGCAGGTCCCTGAGAACGAGTCTTACGCGCAGTTTTTCCAACAGGCGACAAGACTTTTTTGACGTTCCTGGCCACCTTGTGGCCCACAGACTCCTTTTCCTTCTTTGGTGAGTCCTTGCTAGGGCTTTCCTTGACGACATCCTTCTTCGGAGACGTCTTGGCTGCGCCGTTCGTTGGGGGTCGGCCGGGCTTGCCAGTCTTGATCTTTTTGTCGGCCGGCTTCTCCTCAAGCTTATCTTCTGCTGCGCCGTTGGTGCCGTTGGCGCCGTTGGCGACCTCGAGGTCATCAGCCTTGCGCTTGTCGCCAGTCTTGGCCTCCGGAGGAACAGCTTGCGGCGCCGCCTCGCGCTCTCCCGAACCGGTGGGTTCGATTTCGTTGAGGGCACCAGTCATCTCGACATCTTTAGTAACGGCGCCATTAACGACATCAGGCTTCTCGATGACGGGCTCCTTGACCGGCTCATCTTCAACAACAGGCTCCTTTGCAGGCTCCTGCGCGATGGGCTCCTCTACTGACTTTTTCACAGTCTCGGTGGCTGGCGCGGTACTCGTAGCTGGGACGGCCGCGGCTGGCGGCTGTTCGGGAGGAATGGCCTTGGGCTCATCGATGCCGGTCGTGGCAATAGGACCGTCCTTGTCAGGAACATCTTCGACGGAAGCCGGCTTGGGCGCATCGGCGGTAGACACGTTTGCAGCTGGCGCATCAGCTGGCGGAGCAAGAGCAGGAGGCTCCTCCAACTTGGCGGGCTCAGTGGCCGAAACGGCAGCTGTCTCCGTCGCAGCTGCGGGTTCGTCCTTCTTGTCCTCGGCTACCTTCTCCTCAGCCGGCTTTTCTTCGAGGGGCTTCTCTTCAGCGGGCTTCACCGGGACAGCCGCTGTTTCCACAGGCTTCTGTGCTGTCTCAGGGACTGGATCAGGAAAGAAAGTCAGCACGTCAAGATTCGAGTATTATGAGGTGCAGCAACAGCGGCCAGCATCATCGATGCAGTAAGGGATAACAACCAGCACAACGCGCAATTCGCGCCCATAGAGCATCCTTCGACTGCGATAGTGCTTTTAAGCTAGGTTTGGTGACAATACTCACCTGCGTCGATGCCAGCAACAGCAGGGACAGCTCCAGGAACGGGATTGGGATCCATTGCGATGACGTAAGGGGTGGTGTGGCAGGCGCACAGTGCGCAGTAAGTATGATGGCAGTCGTCGGGTTAAATGTGGTCAATGGCCGCCCTCGAGTGTCAAAAGGCGTGAAATTTGATGGGGTTGAAGGTTGGTATGTCGTTTGGCGATGAATAGCTGGAAAGATTGAGAATGAGGATGGGTGGGAGGGAAAAGATGAGAGAAAAGGGAAGAAGAGGTGAGGTTGGAGTCGGAGCTTTGGAGCTGCTCCTCAGCGACTGGGCTTTTGTTACTGCAAATGCACAGCAGGAGCAGGAGCGGCAGGTCATCGCACAGAAACATGGGGTTGGGGAGCGAGTCCTGGGTCTTGCTGGTCCCACGGGACGAATCAGCAATGGAGTGAGAGGTAAGGGCGGCTCGGGACACGCCATGCCCAGCAGCTGTTCGTGCGTCTGCTGGCGCTGCTGCTGCTGCTGCTGCTGCTGCTGCTGCTGGGCTCGGTCCAGTATTTTTTTTGCGTGTGAAGGTGCTTGCGAAGTGTTCCAGCTGACCCTGAGCTTCACTAAGCAGAACATGGAGCGGACCTCGAGGAGGCAGAGTGAAGCTGCAAGGTTACAAGGAAAGGGCTGCGAGAAACAAGGTTCCCCTCGCGGCAAATTGGGTGGAGAGGAACCTGTGCCGTCATGTCAAGCTGACGTGACAAAAGCCCCACGGCAGACCTGCGATCTTGGATGTTGCAGGGCTGGAGCTTAGCCCCGGTTAAGAGCCGGTTAAACCGAAATGGGGCTGCTGGCAGACTCGGACTTGGTTTTGGATGGGGAGGGAGGCGAGAGCAGACCACTAAAGATGGGGGGGTCGAACCCTTTCGACACTTTCCTTACCAGCTTTCCCCAATCCGAATGGACTTTTTCTCGATTCTTCAAGCGTACAAGGAGCGACCAGTGTGTAACAATGGCACAGAGCATTGTTGTCGGTAGCAGTAACATGGTGTAGCAGGTTCGTCTCAGTGTTTATGAAGCCGCAACTCTGTGACCCCCTTCCCCTCCGTAGCTTAGCTCTTTCTTGCATAGGATCGCAGAAGAGGAAGGCAGGACCGTGCGCATTCCGTTCGATTCTACTGTGGGAGGAGGAGCTTCCTCCGTGGCGCTCTTTGCTGCTTGAGCTGGGGGGCTGGGAAAATGGCAGGGCCAACTGCAGAGTGTTGCAGCAGGTCGATGCGGGGAAACCACTTACAAATGGCAGTCCTCGATTGGCGATTCTCCACTTACTCAACTTTGTCCAATCAAAATTGATGATATCTTGAACTATGTCTAAGCTCCTGCACGCCATCCGTGATCTACTGAGCTGCAGCCGCCTGCCTGCATGTGCCTTCCTCTCCGAAATAACCTCATTCAATTTGTTTCTCCTTCTTATTTTCGGTTTTCTGTTCCATTATGTGGGAGTTATGAAACATGGGCCTTCATATTTCATTACCGATTTGCAGGTAATTCTAGAAATCTGCAGTCCTCTAAAATTCTTGCAGATGCAGCCTTAACTTTCTTGGAATAATGACAGGCCTCATTTCAGCCTTGTGTGTTCACTTGATAGAATTCATGATAGTAAACACCTCAAATTCTCGTTATATTATAATTAAGCTAGTGAACCTCATGTTAAGTAAGTCTGGTCTACATCTGATTCAATCCGGGCTGGAAAATAGCCCGTTTGGGTTTGATTTGAGCATCACGCGGCAGTACTCACTGTCGACGAGACAGGCTTATCTTCCCATGCCTACCAAGATAAATTTCGACTTTGATTATCCGTACCTTATCTATCCAAAGGCAATAGTGGAGGTACATGGGATATTCCCTGAAGCTCTAGCGCAATTCCCCCTCAGGTCGGTGGTCCTTGAGCGCTTTAAGGCTCGCCCGTGCTTATTCAATCTGTCTCTCCCATTTGGATTTTGACGCCCTCTATGATTGTATTGATATGTGTAATACTGCCACTTCTCACACCCATCACTGATTCAAACAAGAAAAGATGTAGTGTTCAGTCGGTTTCTAGAAGACCCTCACTCACACAGGCCCCAAGCACACTCCCCATCATCCCGCCAGGCAACAACTTCTACTTGTCAAGTTCCATGGGAGCTGCTCACCTCAGACTTGGCCACCAACGTATCTTGTGTTTTGTAGTATTGCGCCGGCGCCTGCTTGGGCGCACTCTGGGGAGGTTGGATGGTGAAGAGGACGGGTAAGTTGCACAGGCCCGATAGGATGGTGTTCGGGATAAGTGACAAGCTTGACGGGATTGATGTGGTTGTTACCGTACCGACTGTGGGTGACGTACTAGGGAAATATTGGCGGGGTTACTAGCTGGGAGGCTGAAGAGGGATAGGATATGGAGCTGAAACTATCTCCAGGCGACACGAAGGGTCCTGCTGAAGATATATACGACGTTGTGGTGGGAGATATAGCAGCAGTCAGCGAAGTAGTATAAGAGCTACTAGTGTTAACGTCTGATTGGGCAGATGAAGGTACTGTAGAACAAAAACTGAAGACGTAGGTGATAGGGAAACCCCATTACTTGACGAAGTAGATGATGACGGTGAAGTAATCTCGGATATGGGTTGTAGAGTAGTTGGAAAGGTAGACAAATTGTCTGTTAGTTATGCTTAGTATGTCACTTAGAAATCAGACTCTGTTCCATGGCAGAAGTTTTGCTTCTTTTGCTCCGGCCCACCACGGAAGGGAAAAGGAAGCTGCCTCAAATTACAATGACTAGAAAGGGGCTGGAACTTATTTGAAAACTTAGGTAGTTTGAGTGTGATGACCCATAATCAATTTGGTAACCAAACAGTTTAGGCTGGGCTGGCACTCACTATAGTAGGCAACATCACCGACGAATCGACCGGTAGTAAAATAAGCAGGAGATCCTTCTGAAAAGCATTCAAGCCGAAGGCATGGAGGTTAAAGTCGAGCATGCCTCGGTTGTTTGCACGGGGGATAAACAACGTGACGGGCAGTCCGACAGCGGCCATAGGTTCCGCGACCATTTGCTCCAGCACTTTTACTGCGACTTCTTCTTAGAATATCAGACACAATATAATACACCAGTTTCCCCCTCAATTTTTCCTCTTTACGGGTAGCCCCTGTGGTTCCAACGTTGGTATTTAGGCCAGGCCGCCCAAAGCTGAATGGCTGTCTTTGCCATCTATTAGTCTTCTGCCATCATTAATTCAGTTAGCCACTATCTCTTCTTTGGTGTTTCCTTATGCTCTATGTCATGTGCATCGCTTTACTTTCAGCTCATCTTTTCATCTCGCCCCGGCATTCTACTTCCATACTTCATGCTTAAATATTTCAACAGTCTATCAGAAGCGTAAAGGTCACCGCAAACTGTTTACTTTGAATTGATATACACCTTATCAGAATATTTTCCTCGTTTTATTGATTAATTGCCAAGGTGTATGCGAAATATGTTCAACGCCGAAGTGCGCTTGTCGTTGTCCCACTACCTACCTAGGTAGTCCAATTCAAAGCTGCCACACATTGACTGGCAGTGGACCAGGGCAGAGCACCGACTTTAGGACCAAGCAGATCGATAAAGGTATCGCAAGGTCATTTGAAAGCTGCTTGCAAGTCATCTTTGGCGCTCGTTGCAATTTCGCCGATGCTAGCACGCTCATTCTGTCCTTCCAATTACCATCTTGAGTCAACACGATGATACTTCCCACAACGACCCACCTATCAGTGGGTTTGAAATGTGGCGTTGTGGCAGAGTGGTCTAATGCGCAAGACTAGAAATCTTGTTCCTTCGGGAGCGTCTGTTCGAATCAGGCCAACGTCGATTCTTTTGCTTTTTTGTCTATCTACATAGACAAACCACGCATACTTTGACGGTGGACAACGCTCCAGACCAAAAATGTGACCTGGGTTATACGAGGCAGGCACAGCGTGGGTGTAGGATTCGTCGCCAGGATTTTGTGGTTCCTTTTTGATGTATTAGTAAGCGATGAGCACACAACAGACGACGCCACCAAGACTCCACCCTGCTGACACGACAGACTCTCTCCTCATGGATGATCGAATCTCCAAGTATTGCATTGCCGTGTATCTTAGCTATCACTAGCGAACAGCCAATTGCTGAAGCAAGATTTGATAGGTTGAGTTCCACAAGTTGACAATGGACTTAGCTAAGCCTAAGCGTGTCAGGCGTAGGAAGGTAAGCGGCTTAGTATTTGGTTTATCATGATTGCAGAATGCACAACAGAGGCTTACAAGGAGCAATTGGTAACATAAGGCATGCGACCTTTGTTATCACAAGAAGATCAAATGCGACGCCAAGCAACCAAGATGTTCAGGATGCAAGCTGTATAACGCAGAATGCACTTTCACTGGCCCAACTAGACCAACCGCTGTCACACCCAATCAGTAGGTCAATCTCTTGAAGAACCCGAATTCGAGCTGATATTGTGATTAAGTGTCAAGAAAATCGAAATATTGGAGGCGCGGCTAGCGCAGCTTGAGGCACAAAACAGACAAAATCAGCCGTTCCAACCGGCAGATCCATCCTGGGACACCAGAGATTTTGAATTAAACTCTGCTTTGCAGACCTTTTCCAGCTCAGAAGAAGAGCAAACATGGGCTTCGGGTACCAGCTTGACGTCGACAGAAGCACTCTCGGTTTTGTCAGACCAAGAAAGCATCAGTGTGGTGGGCCACAAGCCTGAGACTCTACCCCCGCTTAGTGTAGTCCTACCTGTCGTTGAGGACTATTTCGAGAAATCGAACCAGGTGCTGCCTCTGTTTGATCGGGAGGTTTTCATGAAGATGTTGCGGAGGTGGTACGCATACCCAGCATACCGCAAGACAGACGCCTGGGCCGCCATCAACATTGTCCTTGCGCTCGCTCAAAGGCACTCGTATGCGTCAAGCCTGGAGGAAACGAGGAACATGCAGCGGTACATCAAAAACGTTCAGTCGGTCCTCAACCAGATGGCAATCAGTGATCCAAGCCTGCTCGTTTTGCAAGTTGTTCTTGGATTAGTACTAGTCTTCCACGGCTCTTCAGACGCGGGGCCGGCCTCGATATTAGTCGCTACAGTGGTCCGGCTGGCCCAGGGCCTCAAGCTTCATACAAAGTCGACAAGAGAAGACTATGAGCCTGAAGAGGCCCTTCAAAGGAACAGAGTCTTCTGGATCGCGTTTATCATGGATAGAGATTGTGCGATGAGAACAGGCCAACCGCCCATTCATCAAGACTCTGACATTGATGTCGACCTTCCGAGCTTGAACCCTCCAGACAAGGCTGGGCTCATAATCGGCACCTCTGGACAGACGTTCAACTACTTCCGCACCCGTGTCCAACTTGCTTATATCCAAGGCAAGATTTACTCCATGCTGCTTTCTGTCCGGGCTATGAAACTGTCAGAGTTCGAAAGGGGCCAGAATATGGTTCGTCTACGTCAGATGCTTGAGAACTGGGAAAAAGGGCTGCCCGAGGACTTCTTGGCGCATAGAGTAGCGGAAGTTGTACCGACAGAGTATCTGAGGTATCTATCGTTGCTGCACTATACGCATTTGCAACTGATTGCAACAACACATTATGCAGATTCGCACCACCTGGATTGGTTGCAGAGGTTGCTAAATTGCAGCAAGAAAGAAGTACCTGATGCCCTACCTGAAGCTTTTGCGTCACATTTGCCAGATTGCTGGGAGAATCTGGTTCGTCAGGCGAGGACGTGTATGCAGCTGTACGCTGCGACACCGGAAAACGATTCGGCTCTTACTTGGTAACTGACAACAGCCGGATATCTATAACGCGAATACAAGCGAGGCTAACATTGTGATTAGGCTGGTGTCGTGCGGGTACTTAACGAGCATTATGTTCATCACTGTTAACAACTTGGCGCGGCCTGAGAATCCGAACAGATTTACCGATCAAAGCAACGTGGAATCTGCCCTGTTACTTTTGGAGAGACTGATAAAAGCTACTGGCGATAACAGGCTGAAGAGGATACATGGCGCTTGCAGAGAGTTAAACGAGAAAGCCAGGAACAACGTGATGCCTCCGTCTTCTACCGAATTTTTTGATCCCCCGGGGCTAGATTTCGGTGACGAAGATCCTCTAGATGACGGACGTTGGGGTTTAACGGACAGCTCGTTCTGGACTTCGTTTGAGACTGTAACTGCCATGCAGGACGTGTAATGGGCGTCTCGTATTTTACACGACGTCTGAAGTACATGGGGGTGCTCAAAGTGAAGGATAGAATAACGATAACATTATGGTAGCATAAAGATACTATGAAATACTCGGAAAATAGGCCTCTACAGCGTGTATCGGAAGTCAGGATGCCTGTCACCCTTCTTGCCTTGGTCAATCTCCCGTACTCTCTCATCGATGCTCATAGCATCCCTCCTGTTGTTGATTTTGTTCAACAGACTCCACATGGTAAAGTACCCGACTGATGCGACGGTAATAGTGCCTAGCGATACTGCATGCCCGATGGTATACCTTCCGTCGGAGGCAGTGATACGGTAGATTTGGCCAGCCATGAGCCCAGCACTGTTTCCAATCGTCTGTTGTAGGCCAATAGCCGTTGCGCGCTTGAAGTATCCAGCGTTGCTGTTGCTTATCCACGTCACGTTAAGGCCAACAACACAGTAAATGCCAGTAGCTGTGACGAACGTTGCGAAGTATTGAACGCTGGTAGCCTTCATGCTAACCCCAAGCATCAAGGCGTATCCAGTTGCGGTGATTAGAGCCATGGGAACCATGAAGACGGCACGCTTATTGAGTTTGTCGGAGATATACGCAATCGTGAGGTAGACAGCCGATGCCCAGATGTAAACAGGTACGGTAAGAAGCTGCGTCTTAATGCTGCTGTATCCAAAGCCGCGAATGATCACAGGCAAAAAGGTGCCAAAGCCGAAGGAACATGTGTTTGCGCAGAACTGGCATCCTGCGGATAACCAGACCTTGGGGTCCTTAAAAGCAAGCTTTACCTCAGTTTTATCAAAGCTCTCGGACTCGCCCTGGTATACTCTTGCCTGCTCTGCACGAATTCGCATCAAATTTTTGTCTTCTTCCGTAAGCCACTTTGCAGTCTCAAAGCTGTCGGGAAGAAGCACGATGACAGCGAAACCAACAGCAAGGGAGATTACGCCCTCGATGAGGAAAAGCCATCTCCAGCCTGCCAAGCCGCTCGCACCATGGAGACTGGTAAGACCGAAGGCGAGGAGGCCGCCGAAGGCACCCGATAGCGCAGCGGCCACAAAAAGGTATGAAATTCGACGGGCTTGTTCCTCGCGTTTGTAGAATGTACTGAGATAAAGCGTAAGACAAGGAAAGAGGCCTGATTCGAATGCCCCAATCGCCAAACGGGTCCCAAGGAGGCCGGCGTAGTTAGTTACGAAGGCGGAGCCGACAACTGTTGCGCTCCATGAGAGGATGAAAAAGGGGATGAGCCTGCTGGGGCGGGCTTTCTTAAGTATTAAAGACGCGGGGATTTCGAATGTGATGTATGTTACTGGTATTACGTTAGCAATTGCGTTTGGTCAAGTTGTAATAGGACCGAAAGCTTACCGTAGAAGACTGTGACAGCAACGTTGAGTTTGTTGCCAGTCAAGTTTAAGTCTTCATTCATGCCGGCAATTGCGGCATTGCCTGTTTTATAAACAATTAGTTCTCGGAGCCATGTTGTATCATGAAACACATACCAATGTTGCTGCGATCCAAGTATGCGACCAAAAAACATATAATCATCATCGGGGCAAGCCACGCATCCAGTTTCCTCAGCAACTTCTTCTCTGCAACGGGGTCGATTGTGAGGTGGGAGCTTGCAACCGCCGAATTGGACAAATCGACGTCCCCGTCCTTTGCCTCGATAGGCACTTTTTCCGCAGACATATTTGACAAAACTGACTCAATTTGGTTGATGGTTGAAATGCTGTCGCTTTGGTTTGACTACCTCGAGCGTTACCAACATTTCTCCAACCAACATACAGGCTCTTGCATTAGACATATATCTATCAAGGCGAAGCCAACAAGCCAAGCAACTAAGGTGAGGTCACCGGATTCAGCCATTAACCCGCCATCAGAATTTGCCGACGCTAGCCTGTCTCAGTCCTTTACGTCGGGAAATGTGCGCAGTTATCATGGCGCCGGCTGGTAATCCATGTAGTTTAGCGGGGACGAAGAAAGCTGGGGAACCATGGTAGGATTCTTATCTCCAGGAGCCAACGAATGGCTTAGGAGCGCCGAGCTTCCCCTCGGTCAAATGTGGGGGAATCTTGATTAGGAGTGACTGATCCCCTCTCACTGGGATTATGAAAAGCCGACATCGCCTCGACTAAAAACCCCCTGCCAAATTCCCCGATCACACAAACCGACCACCTTTGATAGCTGCCTGTTCGGCATTCTCCCCGACAATAGGACCCATGATGGATTCAGTCTCGCCTGCAATCAACACCCCGAACCTGAAAAGTCCGATTTCTCGCAAAAGAAAGCGAGGGAGGCACGCTGTCGCGTGTGAGTCGTGTCATCGGCGAAAGCAGAGGGTAAGTGATAGGACATTCAAGGTCGGCTTGGCATGGCCTGTTTTTGCAAACTTCGCGAAACTGAAGTTGATACGGGTGGAGAGGTTGGATGAGAGTCTATCAAGTTGAATGGGCGACCATGTCACATCTCGCTTCAACCGCCCTTTGTGCCTGATCTTTGCTGCTGAAGCTTGTTCGAGTTAAGCAGTTTGTGTTCCGTACACCATGTTTACTAACGCAAGCATATCAGTGCAACGGATCGCGACCCTGCTTCAACTGCGAACGCCGTGGAGTAGGCGGCTCTTGCTCATACAACCATCTCGAAGATGATGGCGAGAGGGCGGCTCAGCGGCCGCGACAACCGATGGTCACCTCGCCCGTCACGAGCTTCGCAGCACCAGTGACACCTACTCCATCAATTCCAACACAAGAGACTGAACGGCCGGATGTATCGTCCACAGTGCCTGGCGCAATCCCATCGAGACCATCCAGCAGCGGAGGTAGACGACAAGGCGAAAGCGGACAAGACCAGCAGGCAGAGTACCCAGTCGGAAACCTCTTCAAAAGCCGCGATGCGCCCTCGTTTTTCGGCTCATCCTACTTCGGACCTCAAGCGGCGGCGAAGATCATCCAAGCTCCAGCTCCCGAGCTTTCGTCTGGTCTTTGTCAAAAAGCCCAGGCGAGTTCAACACATTCTTTCCGAGACGAAGGTGGTCCTTTCTCTCAGATATGGGAGCTACTCGGTCTACTTCCCAGGAAGAAGTCGACCGTGGATAGGTTGACGGATTGCTTCCTAAATGAACTCAATTGGGCCATTGATGCCGTTCAGCCAACCTCATTCAAAGCCAAATATGAGAACTTCTGGTCTCGGAAGTTCGGTTTCGACGACTTTGCTACTATAGACCTCCGCTGGTTAGCGCTGCTTTTCATCGTCATGGCGTACGGAGTCCTGCTTGACTGTCCGAAACCGCGTAACAAGGAGGTGCAAAGAGAAGTTTATGAGACATCACAACGCTTCTATTGGGCTGCCCGAAGAGCCATCGTTATTGCCCCAACTTTCTATGGTGAGTCCACCGATCTCGTGAGAGCCGGTGTTTTGGTGACGCGGTACCTCATCTATACCCGCCGAGTACCGGAGTCATGGCTCACCACCAGCTTCGCTATGCGAATGGCCCAGGCACAAGGAATGCACATTGATGGCGAGAGGTGGAGGCTGCCACGGAAGGAGACAGAGACGAGACGAAGATTGTGGAGCAACCTCTACATGCTGGACAAAACAATTGCCCTCGCCCTCGGGAGGCCATTTGCAATCGTTGACCAGCAGTGCCTGGTTAAGCAAGCGTCAAATGTCTGGCTAGACGATCTTAGTGACGACGAAGCGGCCAACATACCGGAAGCGCCCCTCTCGGAGCCGACTGCCAGCGTCTTCAGCAGACTTGCTCATGAACTTGCTGTTGTCGTAGGGAAGATCCAGGAACGCTGTTTCGGCTTGTTCACGGTTTCCTACGAAACAGTCTTGACATTGGACAAGGAGATTGAGACATGGAGAAGCCGTTTGCCTCAATACTTTGAACTAGATGATCCCGACACATCAAATGATGAGCGGCTTCCTTTTCTGCCCTGGCAGAGGCTTCATTTGCATAGCATGTACCATTTTGCTAGGGTCACGCTTCACCGCCCTTTTCTTTTACGTCAATCCATCACAAACCGTTACAAGCATAGTCACGATGTGTGCATTGCCTCTGCCTGCGCAGACCTCGAAATGGGTCTCAAGTTGTTCAGCCAACCCCTCAACGACAGGTTGAAATGGAGTCTAGGCCCCCATAACCTCTTCAATAGCGCTCTGGTTCTTGGCATAATCGCTGTGCGAGATCCTCATTCTCGGAGGTCGCACGCCATCCTTGAAGATCTAGCTGCGTATTGCGAAATGCAACGGAACGATGTCTGGCTCAATGAATTTGCTCTGGCAGAGGTGAAGATCGTAGAGCTCTGTGTAAAGAAGGCGAGACAGTCGCAGCCGCCGGTTCCCAATCCTATGGTTCCACTCGCTCTGGCGTCACCTGCTGAGCGACCATTACAGTCAGTTAGCCATCCCAGTATGATGACTACACAGCCTCAGCAGTTGCCAGCTGAGAGTCCCGAGTTTGATCCCTTGCTGGTTGGGTTAGGACTCCCCTACAGCACGTCAAGTGCTCAAATGACTTGGGATGACCCGGGGTTCTTTCTACCGGAAAGCGGAGATCTGTCTCAGTGGGAGCATGTCATCAACACCATCATGCACGATCAAACCAATTCTTGATTGGAGAGAAGAGAACACAGCGTGAGGCCCGTTGCGACAAATGTCACGACGACAGTTGATGGGCGCAATTCAGTTACATATTTCTGTTGTATTGAACTCTTGAGTAGAATAACAAAAGACTTGCTTGAGCTTGTTGCTTTGAATAACGATCCACCGCTACCACCTTTTTCGACCCTTTTTGAATCCAAAAAGCGTTTATATCGCTTCGATATCTCTCGAGGAGAAGCTTTCGTTCGCAGCCAGCTAATTTTCACTCGTTACCCCAAGTTGCGTTGCCGATGTCAGCAGCTGCAGCCCCAGCCAACGAGATATCCATGTTTTCAGGATCCTGGATATGTAACTTGTGTCAAGTGTTTTGGCCTCTTCTACTTTAAACCTGATTCCCCTTATCAAGATGGAGAAAGATGAAGAACATACCTACATGCTGCAATTATTTCCTAGAGCCTGGTGGGCTGCGTGCTGGAAGTCGTTCCAATGTACCCAGTTGCACCGATTATGGATAGCCGTTAGCTGCTGGCACCGGCCTGCTGCTTTCGGTGACTTGTATAAAAGCGTCGCGAACAGTTATGCACGGTCTTATCTATAAATTACAGCTTAGCTGCACATTCGGAACTCTCATAGGCTTTCAATCGAGCAGGTTCTTTATGCCGACCTATGTCATAGGCTTAAACAAGAGACAGTGCGCCCTAAGGCTCATGCTGAAGTGCGTAACATCTCATCGACATGTCAGGGTAATTTCGGTTCATGGTCATAAATAATTGAATAGATTTAATCCTTAGTGGAACCCGTTAACCTTGACTTCGGTCACACCGTTTACACCATTAACTGCCTTCACACCATTGAACCCATTCGCTATCTTCAGTGGCTTATCTTCATACTCCACTCGGTTCACAAGGCTCCCAAGGCCGTGGCTCATGACGATTCGAAGATCATCCCCAGGCGCCAAGAACACTGGTGGAGTCCTGCTCACGCCGATACCATGAGGCGTCCCAGTCATGATCACGGTGCCGGCTTCCAATGTCGTGCCTTGAGACAAATAGGCCACAATCTCGGCAATGGAAAAGATCATGTCATCTCCTCTGCCTTCCTGCATGATTTGCCCATTGAGTACTGTCTTCAACTCAATGACAGAAGGGTCCGGAATGCTGCTGGTACTGACGATACACGGGCCCATCGGAGCGAAACCGTCGAAGCCCTTGCCGAAGCCCCACTGCGCGCCGGCGAATTGGTGTTTCCTGCCCGTTACATCGTTGGAGCACATGTACCCCAGGACATAGTTCATGGCATCCTCAACGCCGACGTTTCTTGCGTCGCGACCGATAACAACGGCCAACTCGGCCTCGTAATCTGCTTGGGCGTCTGTGGCTTGATGCGGGATAAGAAGTGGCGCATTCGATGCGTTCAAACAGCTTGCCGGCTTAAAGAACAGCGTAGGATGTTCCGGCAAGTCGAGGTCCATCTCCTTGGCATGTTTGCGATAGTTAAGGCCGATGCAACGGATGGTGCCAACCTCCTTACGAGACAAGGGTGGGAGCAACTTCTGGATGTTGAGAATCTTTGATGTTGGCTCTGCTGAGGCGTCGAGTGCCGATGAACCGGTAAAGACCCGAACTGATACGGGGACTGATGCTGCAAGGGCAGCTCCGACTTTGCGGTGTAAGTTGCTTGGCCTTGATTAAAGTTTGGTTACGTACCGTCAACATTCTCATCAATGGGCTCGCCAACATACTCCCTCCAGTCATCCTCGGCAATGAACCGCACCAAACGCTTCCATCTCTAGTAAAAACTGTTAATCAAAATTCGGTATACAAATTGTCTTCAAGAGCGACGCCTTACAGGAGATATCATCGTGTGGTGAAGCCAGTTTCTGACGGTGTGCTGTGCAGTATTCCAGGTTGGTCAAAACGGACCGGAAACAGAGAGATACGTAAGTTGGATATACCGAGACTGTTTTTGTCACCCCTGAACTGGTCCAACGCATATAAACGCAAGAAATCCATCACTACTGCTGTTGCGTGATTGGCATACTGCCTTGTACGCCGACCCGGCCATCGTCCGTCCTTGTGGCAATTCCCCGATGGCATCGGGAAATTCTGTCGGCTTTTGTCTGAGACTGGGAGGCGGGATCCGCAGAAGATAAGCGTCTAGCATGGGAACCCCGCAAACCTACATGGTTAGGATCAAAGGTGGCTCGGTAGATTGATAAAGTCGAGCTGGCAATTAGGTAACTTCCCTCTACAATCTGGGGGAAACGTGGCAGATGCCCTTATAATCAATGATGTGTAAGTTCGTTTCTTATTCCTTGAGCCGGAACGTATCTTTGACGGGTCCGGTTTGCTGGATCAAAGTGGGCAACGATGGATTGCCGAATTGAGGCAATGTTCTCCACTTCGGGCCGGAGTTGCAGCGACTTTCCTCACAACCTACGATGCTGCTCTCCGAAGAATTCCCACAAGACGGGGGTAATTTGGCAAGTTTCTTCATACAGGAGCAGGATGCTAGACGTGCTGATTGGGGATCTTGTTCAAGATGTGTAATTGGGCCAGTGAGCATCATCCGGTCCTGAATGAGTCACAACGGGTCCACTCCATCAGGCCTTAGGGCAGTTGCACTTGGAAAATTTCATCAATCAGCAAGCACGGTAGCTCAGGGGTAGAGCGCTGGGCTCATAACCCAGAGGTCCCTGGATCGAAACCAGGTCGTGCTAGAATTTGATTTTTGTTTTTATGACAGAGGTTAACCTGTGTTCTTTTCTCTTCAAAAAGTGTATTTTGCAGAACCAACTGATTTTTTCGAAGCAGCAAACGGGGACTACTTATCCACGCTTTGATTGGGCATGATCATTGGATGTGGTACTTCTATTGGGCTTTAACCGCGCATAAAAGCGGCTCAGGTTCAGACTTTAATTCACGGATTCATCGACTTAATTCAGGCGGGACAGTATGAAAGAGTTCAGGGTCATGTGACATACCCCTCCGAGAATCTGCTTAATTCTGTTGATGTCGCTTTTGTGTTGCATGAGATCACCGCAGCACCAAAGCTAGGGACCTCAACAATGGACTTCTTCGACTTTCCTTTAGAGATCCGTCTTAAAATCTACTCGGAAATCCTTGTCCAGGACGAGTCTGTAGATTTTGAAACGGATCACGGCCCTTGCAATCTTCGCCTCGTTCGGCTCCAGCAGGCAGGTTTCTCCCCGGCGGTTCTCCGTGTCAACAAGAAAATCAACGCCGAGGCTATACCACTTCTCTATTCCAAAAACCGTTTTCGTTTTCCCGATGCGTATATTTCCGAAAGTTATGACCAAGATGTGCCGTATGTTGCTCCATTCCTGCGACAAATTGGTTCCAACGCGAACCTTTTGCGTCATATCTGCATCAACTTCCGTGTTCCACTCGTCTCTTGTTGGACACCAACTCTGCATAAGGATATTATTCAAACTTTTGAACTCATCCGGGAAAAATGCACAAACTTTTAAGGACAGTCGAGATTTTATGCCTAACATCCGACGGTCAACTTCCGTTTTGGGGGTTGGATGTAGCTGCAGATATACTAAGGATGCTAGACGACAACGGTTTTAAAGCGATTTATTCGCTGGAAAGAATTTTGATCGTTTTTGGGGAGTATGAATTTGATGAAGAGATCAGAACCTTTTACGACAATCTAATGGAGAGAAGACCGAGCTCTAGGTGGAACATCGAGCTCACACAACTCCCTCCAAGAACTTGGATCTCAGATGATGACAGAATTGAGTTCGACAATTACGAGGATTGTGAAATTTATAATCTAGAGATGCTTCGACTGGAAATGGAGAAAATCGACAGAGAAGAGGAGCGGCAGTATCAGTACGAACGGTTGAATGACCCCTATAGGTGGAATGATTCAGATTTCGATTGAATTCTGCTCTGAGTTTTATAAAAACAACATCAGTTCCAATTTAACGCTACTGCTTCTTTCGAGTAGTGGTTAAGGTTGTGTTATGACTTTGCGTGGATATCAAGTAAGTCATGGTGACTACGGGTGACTGTTCATAATACTACCTAGATTTGACCATGGAAGTACACGTCTTGACGGGCTCCTTAATTTTGTCATCCAAGTTGGTAGTTTGATGTACCAGCATAACTTTGATAGTACAGATTAGGCTTGTGGCAAAATTAAGTGCCGAGCGGAATGCCAGGGGACAGGATTTCAACCCAGTCTTGACAGCAGGATACTGGATAGTAAATGATTTGTAGCTACCATCAAGGACACGATGTAGGACATTGATTTGCGATCGAGTATACATCGATCAATGTACGCCGTTATGCGCAAGATATTCTCAAGCATTGGACATGTCTAAGCCAGTTGACATGGAGAAAATACTCTTTCGCCAAATCACCCTTCCTCGAAGAACCCTTCAACGTTGTCGGCAGTTTCTTCTCCATTCAATATTGTAGATATCAGAACAACTGACGAAGCTACTTTGTGTTTTATTGCCCCTTTTGTTGGGCTTTTCTATGAATTGCCTAATGCATTCTTTGTGAGAATCCTTGTGATCTTGATTTTCCACGTCGTCATTGAAATGGTTCCAATTATCGAGCCCCGTTGTGTGGGAATGCCTTCTGCTCATTGATCAGCATCTTTGATCATGTTGTAGACGTTGATTTCTACCCTTGCGGTCACTCGAACTGTTCGGTAACTTCAAATTTATCTTTGATACAAGTACTACTAATTCATTAAGATGAAAGAGAGATAATAAAGGCTACAATGGCCTTGTTCTGCCTCTTGTAAGACTTGGGTAGGTCCCGCTTGGGCCAACCATATGCTATGTTGCAAAGGGTCAGAACAAGTCCTCGTCAAGGGGCACAAATATGGCTTTTATCGATAGAGGCGGATAACAGTCATCTCCGGTTACTAACGATATAAAACATCGAATACCCTTGTGGTATTAACGGTCCATAGAATCTGTAAACCATCCGGAGATAGCTTCCACTAAACATTATCTTCGTCGTTCCCGGCTGGAGCACCCGAATAAGCACATTGACCTCAACTAACTTGAAAACTTCCAATCGTTGAACAGACTTCACGCCAATTGAATAGCGTCATTAAACATGGAGTCGATTCCCAGCACTCATCCTACAGCAGCTCACCAACCTGTCGATATAGACGTACATGAAGCGCAGAATTGCGATTCGCTCATCCTATCAGCCCGACAACAGGCACTACACCCCAAAGCTTGTACGAAAGGGCCGGCAGCACTCAATGGTCTCCTAATGAAATGGCTTTCCCTTTTAGGAAGTAGGGAATCTCAGAACAATACGGGTTCGCGGGCAACGGTGAATTTAATTTGGAAGGAACTTCTTTCAGGAAGGTACGCGCCTTCCCTGGTTGCTCACCGGGATGGAACTCAGTTTATTCTCACATTCACTTCAAGTGAGCAGATGGCGCGAATCACCAACAATAACAACAATTTTCAAAGTGTTGTTTATCTTGACACTTCCCAATTATCCTCTCAAGCACTCTCAGGAGTCCCTCTGTTATTACCGTCTTCTCAGATACCCTGTCATACCACTCTCTACTCAAGACAAAAAACGAAAATGGCAGAGAACAATCAGATCACACTTGACGATGTGATGATTCCCAAGATGCTTCACCTTACGCCTCTCGATCAGATTGCGCCTCGAATTTACGTCCGTACCATCTTTGTTTTCACACTCACAGATGGCTATGACGCAGGCACTGCTACTGACTACCTTCGGGAGTGCTTTCACCGGGCCTTGTCTCGCTGGCCATTCCTCTCCGGTCAGATACGTCCTGCTGCTGAGGGTAGAAACCGATTGGAGCTCCTCTATACAGGTGATACGTGGTCTATGAACCCTTCGAACCGCCCCGAAATCTTTCGCTACGAAAAGATCTGTCATCTCAACGGCCACAATTTTAAGGAGCTTGTGGGCCTGGGCATGCCCCCCTCGACCATGAACAAAGATGTTCTCTCGAACTCCCCTAATCACCCCAAGCCTGGAGAGTCTTGTCCTCCCGTGACGATGAAAGTTACAGAGATGAATGGCAAGGGCCTTTTCGTGTGCTTCTCAACGCACCATGGCATCTTCGATGGGGGATTCATCAAGACGTTCCTTGAGTACTTTGCTCAAGGTGCCAATGTGGCATCCAAGAACAATTTCATTGATCACACCATTTGCAACTACAGCGGTCCGGACAATGACAAAAGCAATTACCTCATGGAGTCAAAAAGTATGTCATTCTTTGAGGACACTAAAGTGAAGGGCAAACGATGGCTAACAGAAGTCAAAGAACGTCCCAAGATGGATTGCTACAAGGAGCTTGACATCAAAGACGTTGACTTTCCCGAATATGATTTCACAAAGAATGCCCCGGTACCCAACGGCATCAAAACCCCAAAAGCTGTTTGCAAGATTTTCAAATTCGACAACTCCGTCATCGAAGCTCTCCGGGTTAAGGCACTTGCCTACGTCCGCAAGAAGTATGGAGATGGCGCGTTCGTCTCCATGGTCGATACCCTCTCGGCCCTTGTCTGGGTCTACGTCACCCGAAGCCGCATCTCTCACCTTTCTCCATCTGACGACTCATCCTTCAGCACCGCTGTCGACGCTCGACCTCGTCTCTCGCCCGCTTTCCCTCTCTCTTCCTGGGGCAACATTTACACGCAAAACGTCGCAAGAGCCAAGGTCCAATCTCTCACCATGCTCGACGAAGCTGGAAAACTGCCCAATGACGCCACTTCTTCAATCTTTGAAGCAGCATGGTTGATTCGTCAAGCGGTAGATAAGGTGAACAAACCAGACTACATCCCGTCGCGTATCGCACTCGCGGCCTCCCTCAAGGATCCCGCCATGGAAGGAGCGGCCTTCCGCAAGGCAAACCGCCCGGACCACGCTGGTCTCGGCTGCAGCGTGTGGGTTCACATGGGCGCTGACGTCGACTTCGGCATCCCCGGCACTGGCGGAAAGGCGGATTACGTTCGCAAGACTTGGTCGGCGAACGATGGAACTATGAATATCATGCAGCGTCGCGGTGTGACGCGTGGCGATGCCCCGTGGGAGGTCCTGCTTGCTTTGAGAGAGGACGACATGGACCGAGTCTGCTGCATGAATGCCCTTGGACACTGGGCCATGTCTTGGTGTGCCTGACATGGTATCTGGCACTGGTTGCCAACGTGATCAACGATGGATTTATAAAGAACCAAAGGATTGATTTTGGGTCTGATTTGGCGTTTGGGCAGGGAAAAGGTCCGAGAATCAGTACCTACGGGCCACACAATTTATTTTCTTTGACTTTGACCAGATGGTAATTCGGCTTGAGGTGAATGGCTACCATGGTAGTAGTTAGACTGAGGTTTACCGAATTGAGAAAAGCTTGCAAAATGACTTGAACGCTTTCAAAGACCGCCACTTCTCATGGCTGACATTTTTTTTTTTTTTTTTTTTTAGCTTAGATGAGTTCCTAATGAAGTAATGTTGTATGTGAAGACGAGAGAAAAAGTCCCCCAAGTAGTACACAAGTTGAACGAAGTATCTCCTCGACCATCCCATCGATTCCGATTAGAGCCCCTTTCCGGCAAGACAGGAAATGCCAATCTGATAGCACCTTTCTATCCAAAGTCGAATGGGTACCTGAGTGGTTTCTATCCAGCTGAGTGTGTTTCCAATTCCTGTGGTCTAGCGTTCTGTAACAAAAGGGCTGGCTGTAAGGTGGCATACCAAATATCTTGAGAGAATATAAGTATCATGAATTTTAAATCTTGGTAATTTGACGAGAAGAGTGGGCATTGGAGCTCTGGTGTCACTTGCTAAAATAAAGTCTAGCCGCGATGGATGGGACAGTCACAGTTTCTGACGTCCAATGAGCCATAAAGGGTCGTTTAAGTATTCATTATTTTACGGTTGTTAGCTCATCTCAAATACTTCCAACAAGTGTACGTCAGGTAAGAAATAAGAACTTGAATTCTATCCTCTGTTAAAATGCCTACGTAGCTGATGTAAGCATAATGCAATCAAGATTCACGTCACACTACACATTGCACAGTAACAGTGGGTGCCAAATATTTTATTGGCTACTACGCTCCCTTTTCCAAGGAGTTCAATCTCAATATCAGCCCTCCGTCGGGCAACGACCAACCTCCCACCGAGTCCAAATCCGTCTGTCAATAGCGTTTTCAAGGCCGCATGCCACCTCGCCGCCAGCTATCATTCTTGAGCAAGCCTAATTAGACCTCCCCGTTGCGAAAAAGAAAACAAAAAACACAATTCCGTTGCGGCCGGTGACCATCCGAAAGTGTTTCCCCTCCCTGATTCTTTTTTTGATAGATCGTACACATACGCTCAAAGGCCATACACAGAGTAATGAGTAGAGAGAAGAAAGTTTCCCCTAAAGAGAGAGAATGCATGAATTATCCTTGCCGCCTGCAGTAATACCGTCTGCAAGTCCAAAGAGAGATTCGTTTGCCGACAAAAGCGCAAGAGCTGACAACGTGCCAGGGCTCAAAGGCCAAAGGCCACTCACTCAGTTCATGTCAAAAGACCGAGGGTGAGATAGCCGGCGACCACTACTTCTCTAATGGTAGTTTCCGCCCCAGCCGCCGCGCTGCTGCTGCTGGCCGCCACTGCCGTAGTATCCACTGCCGTAACCACCTTGGCCGTAGGATCCAAACGGAGCGTTGCCGTGCTGTCCGCTAGTGGCGCCGCCCATACCGTAGCCACTGCTTCCGTGGAGACCGTGTCCCTGGAGGTGGCTGGGGTAGCCTCCGTAACCACCCATCTGAGAGGTGGACTGAGGAGGGGGAAGGCCAGTCTGGCCAGAGGGCGTGTTGTTCGTGGCCGAGCCAGGACGAGCACCGCCGAGCGAGGGCGAAGGGCCGGAGCCAGGCTTGCTGTCGCCGAAAGGCTTCAAGTCATCGCTGGCAGACGCGGAGCCAGCAGGCTGGGCGGTGCTGTTAAAACCTTGACCAGCGGGGGACTGGAAGGAAGAAGAGCCACGGCCGAAGGTGTCCTGCACGCCACCGAAGCCGCTGGCACCGGCAAGGCCAGGCTGGTTTCCGGACTGAGCGGAACCAGCGCGACCGAACTGATCACCACCCAAGCCGGAGCTCAGACCGCTGTCGGCACGGTGGAGAGACGACTGGCCGAATCCGCCGGCGGGGGAAGAGGCGTGGTCATAAGGGCCCTGGGGCGACATGCCGTAGGGGTGGCCGTAGAGACCTCCCTTTCCGTACGGGCCACCACCGTATCCTCCCTGGCCGTAGTGACCGTAGTTCATGTAGTTCGAGTAGTAAGCATTGTTGTAGTAAGGGTGGCTGTTGTAAGGGTAGCTCTGCTGGCCGTGAGACTGAGGCTGAGAAGCCTGGCTAGCTGGCTGCTGCTGACTCTGAGCAGTAGGGTTAGGTGTCGTCTGTCCGCTGTTCTGGGCATCGTTCGTGACGCCTCCGTAACGAGACTGGTTCTGCAGGCCGCCGCTCTGAGGGTATTGGCTGAGGTTGTCAGCTTGCTGAGATGCGTTGTAACCGCCGAACAATCTCTGCTGGGATGAAAGGCTGTCCTGGTGAGCCTGGGCGCCCTGCTGGCCATAAGGCTGGTTGTAGTAGTTGTAAGGGGGTCGGTTTTGTTGGTCGGCGGTGTAGTAAGAAGAGTACTCGCTAGGCGCGGAGCTGAATGCTCCACCAGGTTGCTGGTTTTGCTGCTGCGATTGGGTGGGGAAGCTGTCGAACTGGTTCTGAGTGGCAGAGGGGTTCGGCTGGTTGAAGGGATCGATAGGTTTCTGGGGGAAAGCAGAGGGCTCCTGGGCGCCAGCCTGGCTGAAGCGCGAGTAGGGCGGCTGCTGGGCGGCCTGCTGAGGAGCTAATAACATGTCAGTAACTGTAAGAAGAAAGGCTAGGGTTGAGCCAGATGACAACACTTACTTTGGTTCGAAGCGGGAGGCTGAGGGACGGCGCTGGCGGGACCTGAACAAGAATTAGCAAAACAGCCCACAGTGTTGGGCCTCGAAGCATTATTACCAGTAGGGGGGGCAGCAGCCGCGGGAGGCAGACCAGGAGCGGGCTTCTGGGTGCCAATGGCCTCGGGCACGGGAGCTTGTTGAGGAGCGGGAGGGAGAGAGGTTCGGGGGTGGGCGACGGGGGAATCGGCGGGGGGCTGGGTTCTGGTCTCGGGCTCTTCACGGTCACCATCGATGTCGTCCTCGTCGTTCAAGCTAAAAGCACCAAACTGGACAGCGGCGCGGTCAACCTCGCGGTTGCCAGGCATACGGACAGCCTCCTCCTGGTCCAGAACGCGACGCTGATAGCTCGGGGTACGGGCTCCTCTCTCGGTAGTGGCCTTGATGGCAGAGGTGGCGAAACCGCTGTTCGAGGTGGCAGCGACGGGGCGGGCAGGCAGGTGCTGCTGTTGCGAGGCAGACAGGGGGGTTGCGGTAGCGCTGGCGGCGGCCTGACGAGGATCCCAGGAATCGGCGGTCGTGCTGGCAACGGTAGCGGTCGCGGGCGGGTGCGATTCGTCGACGACCTGTTCAAGATTCGTCTCAGTGAGTTGGTCCTTGGAAGGCGGCAAAACCACTTCAGGTTCAATGACGGTTGGTACTTCTGCAGGAGCTGGTTCTTCTTGAGCTGGTTCGGCGGGGGCTTCAACAGCGGGCTCAGGCTGCGGCTCAGGCTCAGGCTCGGGTGTAGGTTCAACGGCAGGGGCGACGGGAGGGAGAGGTTCGATGGGTTCGGCGGGCTTAGGCGCGGGCTCCTCCTTGGGCGGCTTCGGGGCGGGCTTGGGCGCGGTCGACTGACGGAGCATGCTAGCCCACGTCTTGGCAGCAGGGGCGGCGGGCTTGGGAGCCTCGGATGCGGCAGCGGGAGCGGGAGCGGGAGCCGCGGCGGGCTTCTCGGTGGTCTCCTTGGGGGCCCAGGGGTCCTCGGTAGGTGCGTCCTTCGCCTCGGATGGGGTGTTCCATGCATTCGACTCCTCGGTAGGCACAGAGAGCGGCTGAGCGTTCTCCTTGGTGTGACGAGTGCCATTAGTAGCTGCTGTGTGTGAGGACCTGCCCCGGCCACCGCGAGCGCCTCCTCTTTCAGTGGTTCTGCCGCGACCACGGCCAGCATCCGAGACGTTGCGTCCGCCACGAGTAGATCTGGCGTTGGATGAGTCGATGTTTGAGGAGGCAGTCGTGGGCTCCTTAGCCTTGGAGCGTGGGGCCTTCTTCGTGACCTCGCCCCATTGCGAGATGGTGCCTAGAGAGGGAAAAGAGGAAAAATTAGCATAACGGGCCCAGGTGCGGCAATGCGTTGATTAGGAGACTATGCGGAACAATGGTGACAGGTGTGTTGCGCAAGGCTGAAGATGACAGCCTGATGAGGCAGGAGGATTTTGTTATGCGCCCACACACATACCTTCAGCAATGCGGGTGACGGTAAGATTCTCGTCACCATCTGTCTCTTGAAGAGCGTAGAGGATATCCTGCTCAGACCAATCGGGGAACAGTTCCTTGATGAGAGGAGTCTTTGATCCGTATTGCTTCTTCAGCTCGCCGAGTTCGCCTTGGTCCTCAAACGCAGTCGCATCATCGGCAAACTTATCGCCATTGGGTCTGCCGGCAGTGCGTCCACCCCGGCTGGCGAATCCACCTCTTCCACCGCGACCAGAACCTCTGCCGCGCGAGGCGGCAGGCCGAGTCTGTACCTCAGACATTGCTGAGTGTGTTCTTTGTAGGAGAGGAGGGGTTTTCCACGTGTGGGAAAAAAAAAAAAGAGGGAGTCAATTAATCGCCGTCCCGTATCGACACGACAGCTCTGTTGGTGGGGTTCTGCGGAACTCAGGCCGTTGAGGGGGAAGGAGGGAGAAAAAAAAAGGAAAAGAAAAGGTGCCGCAAAATGGGAAAGACGACGACGTCGTGGTCGTGGCTGACTAGACGAGACAGGTGAGGTTGGTGGTGGTGGTGGTGTAGGTGGGAGAAACGAGGTGGATGATGGATGGATGTGGAATGTTGTGCAAAGCAAAGCAAATGCACTGGGGAAAAAGTTCAAAGGGAGGTTTTTTGCCCAGGCGGCCAGCACAAAGCAGAGAAAGCGCCCAGTCACAGTCACGGATATGGTGGGCAATGGGTAGCGACAGCAGTAACAAAAGCCAGCAGTGTGTGGCAGCGGCATTGGCAGCAGCAGCAGCAGCGTCAGCGAGGAGGAGGTGGCCCGTGGATGATGGACTGTGGGCTGTGGGCTGCCCTGCAAAGTGTGGAGAGCAACAGGTCACACCCTCACACGCCCTCAGCAAAAGGTTTGATGCAGTAGCTGGCCTGGGCTAGGCTGGTGGTCCCTTTCCACCCCCCCGGAAAAAAGGTACATGCAGCCTTCTGAGGGTTCTGCTCTATCGCTGACTACTCTTACTAAGTTTGTATGTATGTGATATTGTTTTTTGTTTAAATGATTTCTTTTGATTTTGTCACGGGTTGCTGCTGTAGCTGTTGTGTGTTTTTATTTCCTCACTACACTACCTACGCTACGATACTGGTACCAGCCAGGCTGTTTTTGGGCCTGAGCGACCGCCTGCAGCGAATGACGCCTCTCTAAGTCCGGATCTGGCTAGCGTTTTCCATTTTATGCGGGTCTGCGCAGATCCACTGCCTCAATCGTCGGGCTGAGTGGAGGTACAGGTACTTTGGTTTGCCACTGAAAACTGACCAGATGGCAAGTAGCTGCCTGTATTGCAGCTGCTGTGTGCCGTTGTCCATCTGAGTACCTAAGGCAGGTACCTCCGTACCTTTTTACGGTTGGTACCTGACTTTGGGGACCTTCCTCCCCTTGCCTTGGCTGCCCTACACTATTCGCTAGGAAGGAGGATGAGGTAAGAAGGCGAGGTAGTCACGCACCTAGTGTACCTGACGTTGGAGATGGGGAACAAGAGGCAAAACAAGGAGATACTACCCAAAACTATAGTACGTAGTATACGACACCTGAGTAAAGGCAGCAGTAAGGCAGAGCTCACTCCGAGGAGGAAAGCGCAGCCAGTTAGCATGAGAGATGGACGGAGGGGATATTTAGTCTCATCTAGCGAAATGCGGCCATGGCAAGACAGCAACACGACAGGACGGCACAGAACCGATGAAAGAAGTGCATCTAGACTAGTCGGCATGCTCTTAGGCCCCTTGGGTCCTTAGGTCCTTACCACTCGCTCACTGCTACTAGTTGGCCACAGGCACCGACCAGTAGGCAAGCATAGTTGTGAGCACAGCCGAGGCGGAGAATGCTGCAAGCTCCGACCAGCTGTTGCTAGCTGGCTGAGAAACCGTCGCCAATTGAATTCAGTCAATGAATGCCATTGTCTTGTCATTTGCGCCGTGCTGCTGCATCAGCCGAGAACGAGACCTCTGTGCGTTTGCCGCCATCATCCTCAACAAACTAACAAGCTGAGCTCTTTTGGTCTGTGTCGTGTCGCGTCTGTCGTCCGTTGAATTTGAAGCCATGCGACACAACACGCCCGGCAACTCCTGGCTAGATTCACCACGAAAGCTCCCCCCGGCAGCTCTTGTGTCATCTGTTCCAATACCTGTCGAGTCCCCTTCCGGGCACGAGGCTGTACTCGTCACCCAATGCCACCCCCGGCCCGCCCTACTATGTAAACTGGAGGGCGATTCGTGTGATTCACAGCCAACGGGGGTTCGAGAACATGGTCGAGGTAGCCGGTACGCGCCAGATCTAACGTTACACTGGCTGAACGCGGTGGTATGGTCCGCTCAGTGCGGCTTGAATCATGAATCTGGGCCTCGTGGCATGTACTCGAGACATTCTCCATAGTCTCCAGGGCCCAAACAGAAAAAAAACAAAATAAAAAAACAGTAGTGGTACCAGTGACTCCATCAAGTCTCCTACCTGGGGCCAAGGACGAAAAGACACAGACGCAGTTCCCCACTGACTCCCATTGCCTCGGTACGTACCGTGAGCTGCCACTTGTGTCTGTGTTTGCTGTGTCTCTGGCTTTCCCAGCTGCCTGAGGTGTCCGGGGGGGCTGACTCCGCATTTTGAGGGTCACATGACCCCGGTAGTGGCATGACTGAGCCAGGCTCCGGAGCCAACATCACTCCATGGCACGACCATGATGCTAAACTGACCCAAACTGGATTTGTGATACGATCCCGGCTACTGCCAATCACTGATGCGCTCCTCGAACATCCCACTGAAGCAAACACAGACAGACTCAGCACACTGCATCTTACAACTCCATTACGAAAGGCCCTCAGTGCCGCAGAAATTGCTGGTTCTTGAAATCGGAAACTCCTCACCATGTTCACGACAAAGCCTCTAAGCTCTTTCAAAAATGCCCTCTCTTCGATCCACCAGCCTCTGCCTCTCTCTTCGCGAGAGTCGCAGAAGCTTCTCAACGTCTTGAAAACCTCTTTCCGTCAAAACCTCGACAAGGAGCATGGCTGGGCTCCCGAGACTACCGAATCCTCCGTTTCCCAGACATCCTCCAAGCACCCTTCTACCTCGCGCGACTCCCACCGCCGCCCGACCGACCGACATCTCCGCTCTATCCTCTCCAATCCCCTGTTCAAGAGCGGCGGGAAACCCAACGATGTGGCTTTTGCAGCACCACGGGACCCCATGGACGTTTTCGACGAGGCTGCTTCGAAGGGCATGATGACGAGAAAGGCTGCGACCGGCTGCTTGCGTGCTAAGCGTCAGCAGATCCTGCAATCCAGTGCGTTGTCAGTTCACGATGCCATGGCGGCATCTATGGCCGGTTTACGGGTACTCCAATGGCTGAGATCATCTGGCGAGGAGCGAACATTGGAGTTCCTCACAGACAAACACTTCGTCTACGAACTGTCGCCATTTCTCATTTCGGAAGGGCTCGAGGAGGTGGCGTGGATGTGGGCGGACAGGATGGTTCGAGGAGAAGGTCCAGCAGACGACAATAGTGTCATTGTTGGATCTTTGATCTCCAGTATTGTGGCCGCCAAGTCAAACATTGAGGACAAGAACCTCGACACTGCCTTCTCGGCGATGCTTAGAGCAGACGAGACATGGAAAGCAAACCCTCAACTACCGCATATCCTCCTTCGTCCCTGGCGAGTACTCTCCTGGCGGTCAACAGTGGAAGCATGGAAAAGGCCGCTGCCTTCAACTACCTTGTTCGAGTCTTTCGTCGGCACCGCCAATCATATTCAACGGCCCTTGAGGGTCGACCGCGCACACCTTGACCTTCACCACCCGACAAGTCCAAACCACGAACGCGCTGTAAAGTTTCTTCAGGGTTTCCAGGACTCGCGACTCATTAAACCGGAGACTAGCACTGGCATGGTGACGAGAGCCATTTTTATGGGTATGGATGCCGTTAGCCATTTGACCCGTCTTGGTAGGACAGACGAAGCCGAGTCACTGCTACGTGTGCTGCAGGCCAAATTCTCGGAGGAACTTTGGCAAAAACACCGCATGCGTGGCATGGCATTAGTATGATTGATGGCGCCCATACAGACCAACAATCACGACGCTCGTCTTAGACTGGACAATCCGGGCCCTCTTGAAGGTTCACATAGCCAATGTTCTTTTGGACATACATCAGCTGCTTAAGCGGCTGGCTATTGGACCACGCCTGGCCGAACTATCCGGGTATCGAGGCTGCCACGCCCGTGCCTCGACGACGGCAGAGACGCTCAATTGGGCGTTGGTTACCTATAGCCTTTGAACCCTTTTTCAAGGCTGCCAAGAGAGAGGAAGACGCGACAATTCCCTTTACTTTTTAAATCAAACCCTCGAGAAGGATGTAGTCATGGCCCTGCCATGATACGCCTTACACACGTAGCCAAAAGCTACTAACTGTGCACAGAGCACATTCATTTGTTGAATAGGAGATACCCGCAATATAACGCCCATCATGTTTACGCACCATGATTGAGTTGTGATTCCTCCCATCACGTGATTGCTGCATGTCTTGCACACTCGCCCAACGCCCTCTGATGCTCCGCTTTATGTGTCAATCTTGCACGCAGCGATAATGTTGCCTGTCCTCGTTGCAAGCCCTAAATTGAATTTCTCACCAGCAGCAGATATGTGATTAAGACAGTGCTGATTCACATATCCAAATGCACAGCTTTGGAAAGGCCTGCTGCCAAGCCTGGTGTTTTGATGGGGTCGTCACATACATATAAATTAAGACCATCAACATGATGTAGAAAAAGAAATGTACCACAGGGATGATGTTTTTCAGCTTGTAGCATACCCTCGTAGCAGAGCGGGCTCGCCTGTGCAAGCTTTGTTTAACAGCGTCATCGCCCTTGATTAACCAAGACCTTCAAGTTCCAGTCGAACCCCCTCAATGTCTCAAAGAGGCGAAGCCGGTGCGGTCAAAATAGTTCGGCCGTGAGTAGACATGCCATGTGAAAAGGTGACATGAGGCTCATGCTTACGGGGTCCAGGGTAGTGGAGCGCTCGATGGTGTAACCAGACGGAAACGAGCGTGCCCTACATTAGTGCTTATGGTCCAAGGATCACTCAATCGACTGCCGTGATTTATCAAAAACGTCAATCTTTACAATTATTATTCCCTTGATAAGCTCTGTCTGTGGTGAAGCTAATTGCCAAAACCCATCCAACGCCGGATCCAACTCCGAAAATCCCCAGGAACCCGCTCGCAAAGCATTCCTCGCCCGTTTCTCCCTTACCTCGCCGAGACCCTAAACCAAACGCTCAAGCCTTCTTCGTGACCCTCACAACAATCTTACCGGCGCTCGAGCCTTCCTTGAGCTTCTCATAAGCCTTCACGGCATCCTCGAACTCAAAGGTCGAGTCAATCACGCTCTTCACCTTTCCTTCCGCCATCCAGGATGCAATCTGCGACAAATCGGCGTGGGAGTTCTTGGTCAGGAAGGCCTCGAACTTGTGCTTGGCGCCGCCCAGGAAACCAGGCAGGAAGGCGCTCGGCAGGACACTCGTGACCTGGGCAAAGGAGATGGCACCGCCGACGAACTTGAAGTGGCCGTCGGGCAGCAAAAAGTCGTCGGAGGCCTTGTAGAGGTTCGGCGGGGAGTTGCCGACGTTGTCGACGACGAGGGCGAACACCTTGCCGGCCTCCCTCAGCTTGCCGACGACGTCGGCGGTCTTGTAGTCGATGATCTCATCCGCGCCGAGCTCCTTGCAGAGCGCGGCCTTGGCCGTAGAGCACGACACCGTGACGTGGCACCCGACCGCCTTGGCGATCTGGATGCCGTAGGTGCCGGTGCCTCCCGAGCCGCCGTTGATGAAGATCCTGTCGCCCTCCTTCACGTACGGCACGATGGTCTGGTACGCTGTCAGGGCGGCCGTGCCCACGGCGCCGGCCTGTTCAAAGTCCGCCTGGCCCGGGATCGCGGCGCAGCCCTCGCGGTCAGCCACGACGTACTCGCTCAGCGAGCCCTGGGCGCCCATCGGGTCGAGACGGCCGACGACGGCGTCGCCGGGTTGGATGTCTGTGACGGCGGAGCCGACGGCGACGGCGCGGCCAGCGAAGTCCATGCCGGGAGACTTGGGGAACGAGATCATTGCCTTGGCGACGAGCCCGAGGTCAGGGAACTTGTAGTCTGCGGGGTTGATGCCTGCCGTGACGACCTGCACGAGGATCTGGTTGTCCTTGAGCTTGTCGGCGGACGGCGTTGGCACGGTTGCGAGAGTGAGGGACTGGATGAAGGTGCCCGGGGCAGGGATCTGCCAGCGACGCATCTCAGAGGGAGGAGATTGGGTGGCCATTATTGCGATGTTTGGCTGCTTGATGATACTTGATTGTGTGTGTGTGTGGTTATGTGGACGTCCTTTCGATAAGTTATATTGGCTGTCGAGGACTGAGGTAAGTTGAAGTCGAAGCTAAATTCTTGAGCTACCTTGGAGATAGTGTAGATGATGACCTTGTACGAGCTTCAATCCCAGGCAAGAGCTCCAAGGCAGGGTCATGATATAAAGTTTGGTGATCAAGGTGGGGTATACGCAAACACTGACGGAATGCGGGACCCAACCCCATTTCCAGTCCCTTATTCTTTTTTTTTTTTTTTTTCTCTCCCTCTTCTCTTTTTTTCTTCTTTTAGGCTTTTGCCCGGGCTTGCTGTGTCAATCAGATGCCATCCTGGGAAAACAGCTGCCAGGCCCTTTTTGGTGGTGCCACCTCGTCTGCTGCTGCTGCTGCTGCTGCATTCTCTCAGCTTCTCACCTTATGTCACGAAATGCAATTACCAAGGGGAAACCCTATGAGAAAACCCAGAAGGTACAAGGTAGGGAATTGATTCTGGCGCTAACCGTTGCTCCCCGACACACCGTTCTTGACAAAACGGCTACGTCAAATTGCGTCACGACTCGCCTTGCCCCGATCCGGGCTCCTCACCCGGGTTGTTGCCCCGGGAATACCGAACCAGGCCAAGAATGCTGGCAGGTTCGAAATCCGTGTTGGTGGGGGGCCATGCCCGTCGGCTCATCCTATCGCGCCGGATACCGATTGGGTAGAAAATTTTCAAGCTACCTAGGTACGGGGAGGATATGCAAAGTGGGTTGTATTTAGCCCGGTGCTCGGTCAACCCTGAGTGCTGTGAATTTTTCTCGAAATGAAATTTGAGAGGTAAAAGGGACTCCATATTTGGAAGAAACTGCTTCGTTGGCGCTAGAGGTCGGGCCTCGGTTGACGGGACTTGGCCTCAATTCCTCGTGTCATTGCCATATGATGTCTGGATATGAGATGTGCACCAAGTATCAAGCGAGTCCGGTAAAAACGCGGCGTTGCCATCTATTGCTTGTGCGAATCACAAGCACAACTGGACATTGTGACTTAATATTTGTAAAGGTAGTTGTTGCGACTTGTGACGGCAACAATTATACCTTGCTATCTTGACTACTCTGCATCTATTGCTGCGCGACTAGGTGCAAACATAGAAGAGTCATTATTCAAAAGCTCTTGAGTAGAAAGAGTCATATTGACAGCATTCGTTCCAGCTTGGTTCCATTTGCCAGGAAAAGCCATATCCCAATGCTGTCCATTTCACAACCAAGTTTCATACTTCAGCTGCAAATTTCCTCAGAAGTGGTACTGCACAGGTATCGGATGGCCATCAACCCGTAGTCTTGAGTTAACTTGCCCATGTTTATGGTGTATTTGAGGGTTATTTGATTTTCAGTTTCTAGAACACAAGCTCTTCTCGAGGCCTAACTCTAATCGCTCTGTTTGCCTAGCGATTCACAAGAAGGGATTACCTACTTCGTACCAAGTCGTCCTTGGGATGGACACATGTTCAGGCTGCTCATCTTTATGGTGCCAATTTCACCGGAAACATTGAGACTTTTCATGACGTCTACACCTTTCGCTAGGATGTAAACGCAGTAATATTCGATCTAGGAGCAAGACTGTGTTGAGATTCTGTGACTCGTGGTCGGCGTCGCCATAAACGTATACAGCCCCTTAGTTGGAAGAGTTCACGGGGAGCCTTGATGCGGTGCCTATAGCTGAAGAAATAAAAATGTAGAAACTAACACGTCTTGTTTGGGTAAAGCCATCTGATGACCTGGGGCATTTTATATACAGACTCAGAGACCGAAACAGGTTCAATGACATGTTATGTAGCAGTACTGGAACTTAGAGCATCGACTTAGATGTGCTTACAAGGTAGGGAAGCGTCTCGGCTGAAGTTTGCAACAAACGAACGAGATTGGCTGCATTAAAGAAACCATTAACTGGGTTGAAAAGTCTCTTGATCAATTTTGGGTATCTGGCTAGACGTATGGCGCTGCCTCAGTTTTGAATCTATGCTTTCTCCCCTTGAGCCTGTGTTTTGTCCTGGACACTGTTGTCAATATCCGACTCAACCGAACTAGTCCCCAGGCGCTCCTCTTGCTTGTCTTGTCTTGCGACGAAGTACCAAGCGCTGGATACGGATAAAAGCGTCCCACAAAGCAGACCGATGGAGCAGGAGTAGCTGACGCGGTAGGTCGGTCCAAATTTTGGCTGGTAGATTTGAGGGCCCTGCGAAGTTTGTTAGCCGTGACTCCTAACCAGAGTCTTTGGAACTTACCACTATCCCCATCAACTGACAAGAAGCCTAAGTCATTATTTTAGTATGATTTCGTACTCCCTCGCGCTGGAATTTGGCTACTTACGTTGGTGATACCGATAGCCAGACCAGCGGTGGTTGTTCCTTTCGCAGCTCGGATACGCTCTGAATATGTCGTCAGTTTCTGGCCATACATGATAACGGCCACTTTGCTTACCGGGCCAGATTATAGCAAAGAAACTTTGCGATGCGGCCGTAGCAATCATAACAAAGATGTACTTGGCGATAGGATGTTTGACTGTGATGAGCAGAATGTAGCAGATGATCTGAGCACTCTCCAGGCCGAGACCTGCAACCCACGGACTAAGCCTCCGAGTGTGAACAAGGAATGCTAGAGATAGTAAAATAACAAACACGAGCGTGAATGGCGGCTTTAGGTCGTTAGTCCAGTTGTTTTAGGGAACTTTGAGGCAGAATCAGCGTACCATTGTCATGACTTGAGAGATTGCCGTGTTTGAAATGCCGAGTTCGTAAATAACTGTAGGCAGAACGAAAGAAATGCCCCATCCGCCGATGCCGTGTGTAATCCAAATCATCAGAAAAGGAACGAAGGTAGGATTGCGGAAAAGGTCCTTGATTTGTTGGAAGTTTACCGTCTTGGCCTTCATACTGGGCGCCTGGTCAGGAAGGTCGGCTAACACTACCTCCCTCTCGGACTCGGTGAGGAACGTAACAGTTTCGGGATCTTTTGGCTCGTCAGAATTGCCTTTGTTGCAGAAGATGAGGCCGTGACTCACAGTTTGGCAGGAAGAAGAACGTGTAGATACCGCAGAGAATGGCAGGAATGCCTTCCAGGATAAAAAGCTGTGTCCGCCATCAGTTAAAGCCGCAGTAAACGAGAGCTTAAGCAACCAACCCATCTCCAACCAGCAAGACCGCCAACACCATTCATGAAAGAGATGGTATATGCTAATTGTGGTTAGCCAGTATGTCCTCAAGCAGAATATAGCTTCGATATACCTAGTAAGCCGCTTATTGTCCCAGAGAACATTCCACAGGCATAGAAAAACCCCTTGTCTGTTAGTCGAAATCAAAAAAGACATCCATTCGTTCTCACAATTCGAAGAGGCAACTTGTGCGTTGGGTACCAAAAGCTCAAGTGATACAAAACTCCTGGATAAAACCCAGCTTCGGCAAGTCCAAGAAAGAAGCGACAGGCTAAGATGCCTGCGTAGTTCTGCGTCGCACCTTGACACATGGAAATAATTCCCTTTTCTCGTATCAGCTCTCATATTCTCGGCCAATCATGTTTGGGGAAAGAATACCCATGTGACCATAATCCGACTCATCCAGATAGAAGGCGAAAACCTCTTAAGTGCAAGGGTCGCAAGTGGTTCAAAGAACATGTAAGGGTAGTAGAATATACTCAAAGCCCAGGCCCACTGAGAACTAGTCAAGTTGCCCAGTTGCTTCCTGATACCTGTTCCCTGTTCCAAGTTGATAATGGCTGCGTTACTGATGTTGCTGACGTGGATTCGCATGATGAGGTACACAAAGGAGTACCAAATCAACAATCTCTTATCAATCTTGCGGTGCGCAGTCTTGAGAAGAGGCTTCTCCTCTTCCGGTGAAGGAACACCGCTGGTTCGAACTCCTTCTTGGCCCATCTTGAGGTCTAATTCTGCTGATGCTGCTATTCCAGAGTGTTGACTGCCTACCGGCGAAAGGCCTTAACGATGTTCGAACTGGAAAAGTTGACTATAAAACCCGTATATCCATTTACTTACCGGCCATTTAAAACACACTCCTCTCTGCATCTCCTACATCAAAGGCCGATTACGCAGATCCGACAACATGCCTGCAATGCAAGAAGCACGCCTTATTGCGGGGCCATGTGCACTGTGGTATTCCCATGCAGTTTTCCTCTGAGAGGATTCAATCAGCCTTGTTATGACTGGCTGAAAACTTGCGCATATCAATTATCGGTTAGAAGTTTACGGGGAAAAAAAGCCTGGGATTTTATTACGTCAAATGTGCCGTACGTAGACATCCAGGGGCCGCTTTACTGTTGCGTCCCCCGACTTATAAGTGAACTGGGGTTGTGGTTGAGGCTGTCAAAGCGAAGTGGGGCGGTTGAGCCTATATAGGTGCCATTTTGTCTACTCTCCGCAACAATCACCCAATCCGGAATTCCGATTTAAATTTGGCTTGACTGCATTCGTAGTGTAGTGGTTATCATCCAAGCCTTCCATCTCTTCCGAGGATTAGCTTGGGACCGGGTTTCGATTACCCGCGGATGCATAAACTTTTGACTTTTTTTTTGTTACTCCCAATGATAAATCTTGTCAACTGCAATCTTTAGTATGTGAATTGAGCCTATTTCTTTTGCGCAAAAGTGAACAAATGGCGTCGGCCTGCTAAGCCCAATCTGCCCCAAGGCCGACAGCTCAGCTTCATCACGCCTCAACTTGCGCAGAGTAGCAGGTTTACCCCGACGTCGGTATCACATTCGCATACTCTGCGGAAATAAACCGAAACCGTGCAGCCAAGAGGTGGAGGTTACTTCTTGATGGAGAATCGGATTGTAATCACTTAAGCTGCTACTCCAACCGCCATTGCAGGATTCGTCTCGCAATGGTCTGGGGTTATGACGTGCTCAAGCTTCCCGCAGTCGCCCTCCGATGCGGCAAGAAAGTACCGGCGCGGGGAACTTCGTGACATCAGACACTACGGGTATTTAGCAGCTGTGATTTGACCTCGTCGATGTTGTCGAGGGCGGGCATTGCAGACAATTGCGTTGGCCTTCATTCGAAATTTCAAATAGTTAAAATTTCACAATGCCGTCCGCTGTCGCTCCCGAGCAAGTTCCATTGCCAAAATGGCAGCGCCCAGCCAAAACAACACATCAATTGCCTTGGGCGGACATTAAAGTAATCGACATTGGCAAGTTTGATCAGCCAGGAGGGAAGAAGCAGCTTGCGGAAGAGCTTCGACAGGCAGTAAGACTCCTTGTAAGGGAGTGGTGAGCATCAGTTAATGAGGTACCTAGGTTCACGAGACCGGCTTTTTCAGTCTGATCAACACCGGATTCACTCCCGAAGAGGTGCAGCGACAGTACGACATTGGACAGGGGTTCTTCAAACTCGATGTCGAAGATAAGGCAAGGCCGGGGAACACCTGCGACTTTGGCAAGGGGAACTATTTCGGATACAGACCAGTGAGCGAGTGCTAGTTCACGTTTGACCGAATCTGTAAGCTAATGAACATAACGATAGGCACACGACAAGAAGATGCAAGGCACTGAAGTGCTCAATAACGTCGAGTCAGTCAATATCGCCAAGTTCATTCCCAAGTATGCCAACGAGCCATTCCATTCTTTTTTCGAGCCCTTCCGAAACGAGATTGAGGATTTCTCAAGGGTAGGTCTTCTTTATCCCTTCCTCAACGGCCACTCACTTACACCCAGCCAGCGATCCTCCGAACTAGCAAGTAAGGTTTTTACGCTCTTCTCTATCATTCTTGAGCTTCCAGAGGATTACTTTTCCTCTCGTCACGCATATGAGTCCCCTAGCGAGGACCATCTCCGTTACATGGGCTATCATACGCGCCCCCTGGCCGAGGATCTCAAAGTCGCCAACACCTGGTCGCGGGCCCATACGGACTTCGGTTCCTTGACTCTTCTCTGGAGCCAAGATGTCGCTGGTCTTCAGATTAAAACATCTTCTGGCGAGTGGAAGTACGTCCCGCCGGTCGACAACGGCATCGTCTGCAACGTCGGCGACACTCTCGACTTCTGGTCTGCGGGGTATCTCAAATCAACCACGCACAGGGTGGTGCGGCCGCCCGAGGACCAGGCGCACCTGTTCCGCCAAGGCCTGTTCTACTTTGTAAGACCAGGTGATGACGTTAACATTAAGCCGGCGGCGTCACCTTTACTGAAGAGGCTCGGCCTCGTCCGGGACGATGCGGAGGATTCGGAACCAGTGACCGGATTGCAATATGTAAGGGAACGAGTGAAGGACTATCATCACCATAATGATTATGCAGACATGAAAGGGAAAAAGTTCAAGGTCGGCAACTTGGAAATCGAAGACGAGGCAGATTGATCAGTGAAATCTTGGTCATTAGAGATTCAGCATGTCGTAATCTATAAGAAAGAACGCTTTCGCTACCTAGCTCAAAGAAAACATGTACGCTTTGAAAGGAATAATTACTGGTCATACTCGCCGGCGTACAAAATGTCGCCGACCTGGCCATTCGCAACCTCCCAAACTGAGCGCTCCTCCAGCTCCGAGTCTCTCTTCAACAGCAGATCCAGGTCGACACCGGTCTCCTTGGCCTGGTCCTCCTTTCCAAGTCTCACGTGCAGGAACACGGCAGCACGCTTACCGCTGTAGAGCGCATGCGGGACATTGGTGCTGTTGTCCGAGTTCGCGTCACCGATGGCGTAGATGCCGTTAACGTTGGTCAGATGTCCCTTTCCGACGGGGGCATTAAGACGACCGCCCAGCAATTCGACGCCGGCGTCAGCTCCGAGCGAGCTGCGCTGCTCATCGGGGTAGCTGACGAAGAAGGCGGCGCGCTCCACAGAGGGACCCTCGGTGAAGTCGACACGGAAGAGGTCGTGCTCGGGCGCGGTGGGGAGCGACGGGTCCGCAGGGTGTGCGCCGCCGTCCTGGAGGCGGGTGAAGCTGGCGATGGTGCGGTTCTCGATGGTGACGTTGTGCAAGCTGAGGAATTTCTGGAACTCAGGGGTCTCCTTCTCCGCAATCTTGCGAATCTCAGGAGTGTCGGTGCCGTTCACAAAGGCGATAAGGTCGGTGTTCAAGGTGAGGATCTCACGGACCAAACTGGCGACGTCGGTGAGGTTGCCGAGGAGGCCGAGGGGCTGGTCTGCGTGCTCGTTGCCATCACACCAGGGGCACCTATAAGGATATTAGATAAATGTAAGACAGCGAAGTGAAGGCGTAAGAAGTGTACCAGTAAACGCCCTTGCCCCAGATTTCCTGAAGTCCGGGGGTAGAAGGAAGGATGTCGTGCAGACCGGTGCCGAGGACGATCTTACGCGTCTTTACGGATGTGGTCTGGCCATCTGCAGTATAAGACACGACAAAGTTGTCGTTGTTGTTGCCTTCAATCTTGGTGACAGTGCCGTTGATCGCCGAGGTCGTCGGGTAAGACTCAATCTGCTTGCGAGCTGCGTAGCGGTACCACGCGGGGGTGACGCCTGTTGGATAATTAGCGAATATTCACACAGAAGGAAAATTTCAGAACACAATTACCATCGAAGCCAATAACATCGTGCATATGCCTCGTGGGCCCGTTGCGGTATTCGCCAGAGTCAATGAGGAGCGTGTTACGGCGCACTCGACCAAGAGCACTCAAGGTGCTAAGGCCAGCCGGGCCGCCTCCAACAATGACGGCATCGTATAGGAGTGTGTCATTATTGACTGGTCGAGCGAGAACCAAGCTCTGTGGCAGTAAAGCCGAGAGCAAAAGGGAGGAAAGAGAGTACTTCATGGCAACGGCAGCGGCGACGAAAGAGTGTGTATACCGAGATTAGTGTTCAACGAGTGACTTTAATGGACGAGAGATTAGTACACCGATGGCCAAGGGCATTCTATTCTTAATATACTCACCAAAAATGCTCCCATACCCAGCGTGCCAAGCGTGCGTGCCGCAACATTTGGATGGTGTGATGCGGTGAGACATCTAAAATTGAGCTCACCCAGGAGCAGATCTTCGGCACGGCACCGCGGCCTGCCCGTCCGTAGGGAATTCAGGTCAACGGGTTTTCATCATGTAAATTGAACGCTCTAGCGCCCTGGCGAGCTTGCCATTCGTGGGGTGTGAGTTTGGCTCAAAGAAGTAGGTGCCAAAGAGGCATTCTTCATTTTTTAATATCGATCTGCTTCAAGGGGTGGATTTGTTCTTTTTTAAGCTTTTTGCTCTGGCCTTGCGGTATTACCGTATCACGCCTTTGGTTGTAGTCAGTATACGCGAATGAGAAGCTGAGTCAGTATCCTAGAGAATCGCGATTGCGTGATCCTTGGTCTATCTGTCCCTCAGAAGGGAACGCACGGGATGCTACGTGGGTGGTACTCTAAAGAGTTAGAAACAGTGATGTTGTAGTAGCCAAACGCGAGTCAATAGCGGCTGAAGCGGCTCATCGACGTTCACTGCTCGAAAGAATCAGCGAATAAACTACCAGCCAATGAAATAACTCTTGTGTTCCCTGCATCGAAGTTGCGATATTCTTAATACAGTAGAATTATTGACCGCTAGAAAACTATCAAACCCAAAAAGTTAGTTATATCGAGTCCACAGAATCTCCAACCCTGGTTGGGGAGGACCTTGGACTCTTGGCCGAAAACTGTATAGTAACCCAGTCTTCCTTTTATTGTACTCCGTAGACACCCGACTTGTCACGAGAAAAAATCCGAAAAGGCATGATCATCGCCCATTTTTCAAGCTAGAGAGACTGGCACGCATTTTAAATCGGATTTTAGCCATTTGAACTGCGTCAAAGCTTGACATAGAGAGAAGTTGGCACAGGTGAGACACAGCAGGGGACAAGGAATTCCTAAGGTATTAATACGAACTTGCTTCACCGGCCCGTTCCTCTTGAAGTAGCGTCGCACCCAAGTGGCATAACCCCCAGGTTGCCATTGGATGTTTTAGCGAAACATGTCTCTCTATATCGGTATTTCTTGTGGATAGCCGTTGCTTCGGCTTTTGGTGCTATGTGAAGGAGTGATTCTTGGCCACAAGATGGGATAATCTGAGTGCATAGTGACTTGTGGGGCGGTTATAGCGCATCTCAACAAACTGGAGTAGCGTTCCACCTTGGAAAGTGATCGTCCCCCCGAGACTTGCAGAAGCTTGCAGCTTAAAGCGACAATTATGTACTAATTTGTGTGAATGTCCCCGTATCCACATACCTCATCGATGCACAGAGGCGATAGTAGTAAGGAAAGCAGGTTTCTGAGGTTTCGTCCCTCGAAAATTGAAGCCATAAGAGGCTTGGGAACAATGTTGATCAATTGAGTGGCTCAAAATTCGATGCGTGTACACGAAAGAAGGGTATCTAGCGATTGCAAAGACGGTATTCCGCCCTGGGCAAGTATACAAGTTAAAAAAAGAGAAAAAGACGAAACAACTCCATGTCGTATTCTCATGCAGTCATCAATTCTCACACACATCATAAACCCCGCTCCATCTTAGGGTGATTCCGTGCCGTTGACGACCCTCAAAGCACGCCTGGGTCCTATGACAACCGAGAAGAAACTCGGTTCTTGGCCCTCAAGCAATTGCTCCGTGCTCGATATGCTCTCGTTGTCAGTGTTCGCATGCCTACTCGAGCTTGTGCGCGGGTCCCTCCCGCTCCTCACATCTTCACTTCTCCGTTTTGGTGCGCTTCCACTTCCGCTAGCTGTGCCGGTTCCAGCAGACCCAGACCCAGGTGTCGGCTCATCCATCATCCACTTGGGCTCCACGCCTGTGCCGACCCAGGAGAAGGACTCGTCGCTAACGGTACTGTTGTCCCGACGGTGGCTGCGCTTCTCGTTTTGGTTGACGCCCAAGAGACCTGCAGCTCCCCCAAAGTGCATTGAGCTTGCGCCCGAGTAGCGGTTCACCTGTGAAAGATGTTGTTTGTAGGCGGCAACCTGGCGTCGATATAGCCAGGCGCAGAAGCCTAGGTAGAGGGCGAGCAGACCCAAGAGGCCTGCAATAACGCCTGCTGCGATGAGGCCGGGGTTGGGACCGTTGTCATCTTTTGAAGTTTCGCCAGATGTGGAGGTGCTGGTGGGGCCGAAGGCCGTAATAGTGGCCGTCGAGCCGTCTTGGGTGATTGTGAAAACCGGAGGTTTGCCAGTAGCGAAGGGACCGCCCGTAGCGGGGCCGGCGGCGGGGGTTGTCGCGGTCGCACCCCCTTCGGAGCTGCCTCCGATAACGCTTTGAACTTTGCCAGGTACTTTGTAGCCATACGAGCCCGCAAGAACAGAGTTGTCAGGGCTCAAATCTGCCGGATGGTCTCCGGCCTTGAAGCCGGTGGTCCACTCAAGTCTGCTGGCGTCGAAGACATAGACCCCTGGATTGTCGCACGTTTGTTCCTGACCAATGTAGCCTCCAACGACTATCATTTGACCATCGCGCATAGTACACGTGTGGCCTGCTCGAGGGGAGGGGACCCCGTCGCCTTTATCAACTTTGATCCAGGTAAACGATGGAATCGTGAGAATGTACATGTCGTTGTACTGGGTTTGATTTTTCTAGTTTACATTAGCTGCTGACTTTTATTGCGTTTTACATTCAAACCTTTACTCACATATGGTTGAAGGTTCTGACCGCCGAAGAAATAGATTTGAAAGCTTGAAGCATCTGGGGCACTCGCAATCGTAGCACACGGGTTGACACGAACGGTTGGCTTGTCACCGGTTGTCTTCTGGTGATACCACTCGGACGTCGCAATGTCAAAGACATCGAGTGTGCCCAGATCGTCGACGAAAGTATCCGCAGAGCCACCAGCCATACCAATCAAGACTCCCCTCTCACCCCATCCGGGGACGAAGACAAGCACGCCATCTGCTCTTTCCGGAAACGCATTGGATTCTTGCAGACCTCCCTCGGTAATATTGCGAAAGATACCTCCGTCGGCAGCGCCTGCACCTTGAAGGGAGTAGACTCCGGTGTTCATGAACCCTGGGTGGGTGAACTCCAGGAGACTCTTGAGGTATACTCTGGGCGTGTGGATTGACCAGCCTTGCGTCGTAGACTGATCCAAGTGACCACCGAAATACCAACTGAGGCCCAGTTCAGGTACGGAGAGACCGGCGCCTTCAGAAGACCGTTGGACAGGGATATTACTGTCAGTTGAATAGTTTCCTGCTGATGTTTTCGGGTCTCTGAATTCGAGCCACGAATTATCTTTAATGGAGTACCTCCAGATGGACATAGGATCAGGGGGGGCGTACTGGCCCTCACCACCAGCGTTGTCGGCGAACTGGCCGCCGTAGAGATAAAGGTAGTTGTAATCGTTCCAGAGGTATCCGTTAGCCACCGCGGGTGGCCCAGTAGGGTTCCCCTTGCCGTTGAAAGGTGGTGATCCACCGTCCCATGACTTTGTCAAATCGAGGGTAAGGAAGTTGTTATCTGTGAGACTTCCGTGTCAGAGTGCGCTAATGCATCTAGTGTAAGTCGACTTACTCCAAGTGTTTGTTGTCTGCGAGGCCTCAGTTCTTGCTTGGCCTCCATAAATGTACAATGTGCCATTCAAGATAGCGACTGTATCATGTTAGACAGATCTTGACCAAGCTTATTTGGATCTTACCTTGTTGGCTCCATCTCAGACAAACGTCAACAGAAGAGGCCTGCCGCGGCCGGATTACACCCGCGTCCGCACCGTTTCCAACTTTCTGACGACCGCCGTTATAGTTAAACCCAGGAAGAAGTACCGCGATCATAAGTGCAATCATAGCGAGTCTCTGAAGGCTAGAGACCGTAGGAGGTGGCGCGCTTGAAGCTGTCTTGACCCTTGGGCGTCGGTAGCCCGTGGCCAGCTTGGAGTACCACGACTGTTTCCCAATCTGCATTGTTGAACTCCGGCGCTGAGGCTGGCTGTTAGGTTCACGATGCCCTGTCTTCGTGTGTCTCTCATCCGTGTCCCCATCTCCATCTCCATCCCTATCGCCGTCTCCGTCTCCGTCTCCGTCATTTGATGTTTGGTAGCGCTCCGATGCTAGGGACCCTGGATGTCCAAATTCCTTCTCGCTTGCCATCGACGTCTTCCGCTCATGCCCATGTTGAGATGTCGGTGTAGCCGGCAACTCGTCATCGCTGATATCATCGTCGAGCCCCAGCTCCTTAAACACTGACTTCCTGCCTTTCTTTATGTTGCTGACCATTCCGAAGCGTGAGGGGCGTAGACCGGATCCTTCTCGTAGGCGATCGGATGTGTTTTGCGAATTGAACTTGGGTCGTACATGGGGTGCGCTGTGAGAGCGGTGGCCTTCGAGGGGGGGACGAGAGAGGTTAACAAAAGACATCGTGAGGGATAGAAAGGCGTGGCAAAGCCACGCCGGATACGAGATAACGCTGGGGCTGAATGCTCTGACGTTGGAGCGACGGTTGGGTGGTTTGGGGGTGCACAGCTATGATGTCGCCACCCTGCAAGTTGGTAGGGATTGTCACATTGCCCGCTATCAATGGAGCGGGATGGCAGAGCTGTGAGGTCACCTCCTTCAGGGTAGGAATGAAGTGAAAGGCAGATACAGATGGTACCGGGGCAGTAGGTAAGGGGGATGTGACGGGTCAAGAGATCCCCTGCTGTTTGTTAGCCTCGGGAAAGACAGCCTACTTCACGAAGTATCACCGGTTTATGAGAGATTTGAGAAAGGTAAACAAAGAAGAGAGTTGGAACTTTATTCAGACTAAATTGAGGGACAAGAGACGGCCTTTCCAAATCGAGGATTTGGCTCAGGAACGCATTACTTGGTTGAGGCGACTTCGTCCTGCCATGGATCCCATAATTTCAAAAGCCGCGAGGGGCTTACCATTCCAAGAAAAGGTGTCACTGAAGCCCTGACCGGTCAATGGAGCATGGTAAAAATGATGACCATGGAACTAAGCACTTCCGATGGGTGGTGCGGAGGCGTTTACTACATACAAAAGCATGGTAGTGTAAATAAGCTGGAATTGTCATGGCAGATGTGAAACGCCACAGTACCGCCTGTCTCTATCGATTAAACGCTGCACTCCGAAGCGAGGATGGTGTGGCACATCCGTACAGTAGTTGAAGCTCGGAGCAAAACTTGGCCAGGCTGGGCGCATGTCGGTCAATACTGAATTCATCCAGGAACGGCACGGTACGCTGTAGTGATTGGGTGCCCACTTGGCGAGGATGGCCGTGATGACTTCACCTCTCATCATCGGCAGGCCATGTTTCTGACCCGGTCGCTGCACCATTGCAACCTTAGGATAAGCCGGTCGGTTCCATCGAGATTCCAGCCCAAGGTTTGGTCCAGTAAAATCCAGCGAAAAGTAACATAACCAGGTGTCCACAAGGAAGTGTTCATTCTAGGCCAGGTTAAGGCAGCCAGTGGCATGGCCTGGGTGTCGCGTGTTTGTAGCTGTGGGCGGATTTGCCTGGCTGCTTGGAACCAAGAATTTATGAACGGTGGACCACACCAACCGGCTCAAATGAAAACGGAGGGGAAGATGAACTAAGTGGGAGCGGAAAACGGAACAAAAGCGGTTTAGAGCCCGGATTGTGACGTCATGGCAAGGACCCTTGCTGGTTTGGCATACTGAAAGGAACAGTTCGGCTGTAATCCGCTGACCATTCACCCACTGTATAAGCAGAATAGTGTTGAGAACATTGATTTATCTGTAACCTGAGGCTCAGATCCGTAGGTCGGCAGCTGCAAGCGGATCAGATTGCAATGTCCAGTGCCGGAGGTAAATCTCCGATGCCGTTGTTGGACAGATGAAGGAAGTGATCATCGACGTTATGCTGCTGATGATGCTGGTGTGATTGTGTCGTAGAGGCACTTATTATGCTAAATGTAGTTCCAAGATGGTGTTAGATCATCTAAGTCACATCGGAAGGGATGCCACATGGTTGAAGAACACTCGGAACATCAGGTGTCATCATTCTCAGACATGCTTCTAATTTCTGCTATGATTGGTGAAGTGATGTAGAGGGAGGAACGTAAGTAGTTTCGAACTAGGTAAGTAAATAGCTTGTCTATCATATAATATAGGATAGGTTCGTACCTGAATACAATTTGGGAACGGGGCGAGCACAGGCACGCCAAAGTAGGCCTACCGTAGATAAACCATCAATAGCATTTGGCCAGATAATAATAAGACACCTGGCTATGAGGCCATCACGACCATTGAACATCGCTTCTGACATAGCCAAGAATGGTTGGTACAGCCTAGCAACTGAAAGGTTGCCCAACAGCTCCCGACTCATACGCTTCTGTGATACCCTTCACAGTGACGTATGTTCCAGCAACACAAATGAATCCCCCAGCAGCAAATGTCAACACTGCCACAAGCGTTTGAACCCATCTACGGGCCCATTGCTTCACTCCATCAAAATCATAATAATTATCGTGCAGCCAAAATGCTCCGGCAATGCCATACGTGTACCAGGCAGCGAACAAGCTTGCCGCAATCCCGATGAGATAATTAAAAATAGGCACACCAACAGCTAATACAAAAGCAGCAGAATTTGATAGCACAATCAGTATCGCCCATGTTCCCCAGCCTTTGGCGGTGTGGCTATGCAGGTGATGACTCTTCCGAAAGATCCTCACAAATATTAATTTCGCAGCCGTATGCGCGTATAAAGATCCGGCGAGCAGAAAATTTGGTAACGCAAGACCGTAAGCTGCCTTTGCCCATTTCGGTTCTAAGCTGCTAAACGCCGGCGATGCAACGCTGTTACCGAGGTAGACATAGCATACGACGGCAAACACGGCATAGAAAGTTGTTGCAAAACCCTGGAGTACGTACGCCGACTTCATCGCATCTTGAGGGCGTCGCATCTCTGACATGAGGATGAAAAACATAAAGTGGCCGGCGTAGGCAAATACCGGATTCGTGATAGCAATGAAAGCCGTGTAAAAGTCTGATGTCACGGCAATGCTGACTTGCCTGTCCGCTGCTGGGTGAAGACCTGCGCCGATCATGCCTACGATTCCTGCAATGAGAATGGATATGACCGAGGGAATACAGAGCCAGGATAATTGATCCATTGTGCGCGGAAAACTAAAGATAAGGGTCGGTATCGCAAATATGCCGGTGTAGAGCATGAGGCAGAGCTTATTATCGCTGAGTGTCGCAAGTGCTATTTGACCTGCTAGGAGTTGACCTCCTGTTGCAAATATGGCGAAGACTATGGTGCCGAAAGCAAGGAGTTCCCGTCCAGGACGCCCGAAGAGGATTTGGCCTGCGTCTCCCATTGAATGGATTTCTGGATGTCGTAGCTTGAATTGGACGAGAAGCCAAGATGTATACGTGGCGAAAATTCCAAGAAATACTATCAGAACGACCCCAGGGACAATTCCTACCACCGCCAGTGACGAAGGTAAAGAGAGCATGCCATTGCTCACGATCTCGGCGATCATGAGGACAGCAACAAGATGCCACGATAGTGTCTTGTACTTAATCTGCAGAGGCGGGTTAGGATGGTGGTGGGAATCATCGCCGTTCGGGACACACTTGATGGTTTTCCTCGTGTCCAAAAGGATCAAGATCGTCATAGACCACAGGCTGACTAGAGTCGGTTGGGTATCCAACAACCCCCCCATCGTCTGTGTTGTAAGTTCTAGGAACCTTCTCCATCGTTGGCATTGACTCGAGTGCTGCTTCTTTCCAGCTTTTAGATCTTTGAAACGAGTTTTTGAAATGGTGGGCGATAAATCAGACCACGCTGGTGTCCATCGGCGCTTAAATAGAATAGATAAGCGTGATCCCCTCACCCAAGTGCTTATCTAACGTGACCGCTTTTGATAGAGATTGTAGAATTTCGCTTGAGGACATGCAGGGCGAGCAATATGCACGGTGAGTCAGCTGAGCGTTTGATATTAGCGTGAGTACCAAAGCTGCTTGGATCAAGAATCGGCCTCTAAACAGTGCATATGCCAGAAATTAGAGAACAGGGGAAAAGTGACACCCGCAGCTAGAATATGTGGCTTCGTCTTTCTTGAATCCTCTATGTCAAATTCGCCTGTTATAGCTACCGGGTGATAATGTTGTATTTCTTCCTCCGAGTGAGCATGTAGCGGAATCACCAGTCCTAATAATACTGGACGAGGGCGGTATGAGCCCTCGTATACCTTTATTTAGGCATTAATTTACTCGAGTTCGGGTTGAATTGACTCTTGCAGTCGCCTAGCTGCCGGCTGCCGGCGAGCCCAACTCCCTTCTACAGCCTTTTCTTCGACATATAAACAACGTCGCTTTACGACAATTTGATGGAAACCCTAACAACATGCGGGTATTGCTGTGATCGTAACAGATATAACTCACTATTCTGGAGCTAGTGGTAGAGTATGTTTATGTGCTAAATTTTTGCAAATGAAATGCGATTTCGTCGAATTTGATATCTTCTCAATACTCCTGTGTATTTTTCTGTGCTCTTTGCTCTGAAAAGGATCCTACGTATGTTCCCACTCAACTCAAAGTACTGATGTAGGTGTTGGAAGTATGGTAATTTGCAGCCTAGACTTGTCACCACTCTTCTCCTTTCTTGCTGACCCAGCCTTCTTAATATTGTCATGACTTAAAGCCGCGGTATCTCTCTACTTGCCCTTCCTTGGCCCTGATAACGTAGCTCAAGCTCAGACCCAGGCTTAGGCTCGTGTCCTAATTCAGATTCGCGGAGAGCGCTCTTGCTCTTGCTTTTCATTTTCTCGCTCTAGCTGCTTTTTCTCGATGTCGGTTTTGTTGTCTCAGTTTAATGTTAATACTTGAAATATGATTCCGGGTAAGATTCTGAAGGATCGCACTTACCTTTCCTCTTGTCCTCCCCCCTGCTTGTTTGATGTCTTCTATTAATCAAAATCTCATTTTACTTTCGTGGCTGCGTGGTTCTGATTGCTCGGGAAATACGCTCTTGCTCTTTTCCATCCTTCCCATCCCCTAATACTACCTTACTACATACTAGAATAATAGTTTACTGTTTCTTACCAGATATTATATTTAGCTTCTTAGGCATTTAGAGTAGGAGTGTCCTAGGAGATAGGTATGATTCAAAGCAGTGTATTGTAGCGATAGCACAATACTGCATCAGGCAACGTTCTGACAAACAAAAAAGAGCTGCCACCATGTCTAGACTCCTCCCGCTCCATATGAATACCATCATAATTACCATCAATTGGCCTTCAGGCTAGTCAATTGCGCCAAAGCCGGTTGACCTGGCATACGATGCGCCGTCGCCTAGGTAGCTGTGTCGGACAAAGCAGGTTGGGTTGGAACAACAACATTTTGGATGTCCCATCAAAGTCTGATCATCTACCGGATTCTTGACAGGTGCCCCTAAAGCCTCTCGATCCGGGGTTGAACAGTTCAGCAGAGGTTATAGTTGACGAAAGAATTGACGAAGGCATTAAAGATGAATCGCACTTTTCCCGATTAGAATTTGGCCAATGGGTCTATCAACGGCGCTACCAAGCAAGAGCCCCATAGTGTGGAGGTGGTGAACAAGGATAGAGGGTATCTATCTACAAGGCAGGGAGAGGGCGAGAACCCCCCTTCTCACAACAGGGATGCGATCCTAAAGCACCCCACATACATAGCATCTTCTCAGTACTCCGTAGCTTGAGCCCCTTTCACCTCTCTGCACGATCAATGTCCACCTCACCCAGGCCCTTCAATAATCTTCAATACCTTTACTGGCGATAGCTAATAGCTTTCATGATGGTATATGATCGAGACGAGTTTGTACGTCATTTGACGGACTACTACAACTTCTGTAACCGCGTCTTCTGGAACTCAACGGTCGTACAGGCTCCAGCTGGCGGCTGGTCTTCCATCACCCAGGAAACCTTGGCCAACCTCAAGAGGAACGACACGGTTATCGATTTACTCCGCCACATGCCCTATCCCGAGCATCCTGAAGAGGGTCTCATCTATAGACCTCTCATGATGGTGAACACGCCTGTTATCGACTACCGCCGCGGGGATGTGCAGCATAAGATCCGCGGGGACCAAATTGAGGGATTCGTTACGCCAATTACCGGGCAAGACCCCCCAATTCCGCCATCGTGCGTCGGCATCGCCATCTGCACAAATAGGAACGGTTACGAGATTATCTTGGATACCGAAGACGGCTACGTTTACTGGGGCGAACCGACCGGAACCCACGACGAGCCGAAGCAGGGGCTAAACAGCACCCTGGAACGGTTCAAGGGCGACGAGGCGAACAAGTGGCGGTCTGTGTTCAATGTGTACGAACCCGCAGACTTTTTCGCGACTTGCAAGGAGCGGTTTTGCGATCTCAACTGGATTGGTCTTGGCCAGTGGGACATGTCCGTAATGAGGATGAACATGAACTGGGAGTATGATTCTGAAACCGACTCCGAGTCGGATCCCGAAGACGATTTCAGCCACAACAAGCTGGCCAAGAAGATGAAGAAGGCTGGCTGGCCTGGCGATGGCGAGGGGCGGGGCTGGGACCGGGCGAAGTTTGACAGATTGGTCAGCCAGGGTAACGAAGAGGAAGATTAACGATGACCAATCTAGATATTCTGCCGGCAGACACTAGGCAATGTATTGATTCCCTTGAGGATGTATGTAAGGTACTTATCTGATGGTATTTGATTTTACCTTGGCTTTGCAGCCCAATTATAATAGGTATTAACCTTCATCGTTCTTACTAGGCGAAGCTGAGGGTTGGTGCAACCGCTGTTCAGGCCGGTCCAGGAGACAAATATCGGCGGCCCGGAGGCTGTGATTCTTAGCAATAAAGGCACAGGATTCACCATTCCGAATCATGTAGAACTTGTTGCCGTTGCCAACCATGCTGCCGATGTAACCAGTCACACCATCGACTGGAAGGATCACCAAGGGTGGGGCAATGCGGTGGCGAGAGAATAGGAAAACTGAGAAGAGGGAAAGATCGAAGGCCAGGAGCAGGAATGTTGGAAGGCGGCAGTGATTTTGTCGTTGATGTCTCAAGAGTGAAAATTAGTTAAACTTTTGCAATGAAGAAGCAGAAGCCATTTTTGACCGTTTTCTGAAGCATGGAGAAGGCAAGGATGAGGGAACCGATTGGATAAGAGGCGAAGATATTGGGGTCAGCAGTTCTGGAGACGTCAAGAAGAAGCTTCCTGGCTTAACGAGAGTCAACGGGACCCTCGTTATGACCGACAAGAATAACAAGATCGACAGCAAGGTTAAGAGAGAAACGAATGCATATGCCACCAGATTGAAGCTCATCATTCCGAACACCGTCTTCAAAATCAAGCAATGAGAGCAACCGGCAGCCAAAGACGATGGCTTGTGGGATAAATTGCGCTGGTCGAGCATGCTCCGCCGTAACGACCCTGAATATGCCCTCACAAACGCCAAGTGGTGTAACAGGAACCTCAAGGCCAAGCAATACAACGACGCCTACAAGATTGCTTCGTCATCTGCTTTGACTAAAGTCCTCAAGAAGGTGCGAGCGGACGGTAGTCGGCCGGCCATTGCCCCTCGTGAGCTTCAAGACCCTTACGCCATCCCGACGACATGCGCACCTGGATCTGCAGACAAGCGCGATGTGGATTTAGATGTCCAAAAGGAATTCGACGTATTTGTTAACAAGGACGGTGAAGAGTATGTGGAGTACTGGTCGAGTGACAATGTCGACTTCTCGTTGCTTGGACAGCTACCCGCGCTATCCGTCTCTAGGGAGGCTAAGACCATCGCCACCACAGTTGTGTACATTGAAGAGTAAATGGAAGAAAGTACCCCAGGGTCTGAGATCGCCGGTGATCTTCCTCTGGCGATGGAGGCGCTGTTGTAAGCAAAAGAATGGTCATTTAGCGAGACCTAAGGCTTCTAAGACATGTCTGAAGCTACAAAAATATTGATGGACAGACAGACCAAATCATGTTTTCTTATGTCACTGAAACAGTTTTCAAAGCATGAATAAAGGACGTTCAAATTGTGGTATCACGTTAACTGCGATTGCTTCTTCGATGAGTTGGGCTGACGTCCAAGATATCTAGCTAAAGCATATCAAGGGCAGCGCAACTTTTCGACCACCAGCTATCAATTCCAGTGTGGAGAAGACGTAACAGTGATCTCCTTGCCTTCGTAGACATCCCAGTTGTCGGCCTTTGCCGGATCACCAAGTGGGTTGAGTGCAGCAAAGCGCATACTGCGTGGGATTGTAAGTACATATCTAGCTAAAAAGACTCAGATGATGACTTACGTGTAGTTTCCAGGCTTGATATCTTCCCCATGTCCAAGGCCACCAAGCCACCAGACATGATGCCTAGGTGTTTCAATGGATGTCCGGAAGATATTGACCAACGGAAAAGCAGTGGTCCAACTTTTATCATTGCTCGAGGGGTCAAAGTTGGCCTGGCTGGGTGAGCCACGATAAGCGGTTGCAGAACCTGCACGGGTAAGAAAGAATATTAGCCAAAAGCCTAGGTCCTTGTACGGGAAATGTAGCCGTCAAGTGCTTACCGATATATCCATTCTCTCCAACAACAGGCGGATACGAAGTCCATCGATCCTCCTCCCAGCCGGCTTCGAAAATCTGCAAGAAAAATGATTCGTTAATATTGAGGATTCTTTAAAGACACTTTGCTGGGGAGCTACTTACGTCCCAACGCAACGTTTTAGTTCCCCACTTCATCTCGTAGGCGATGCGAGGGAAATCTTGAGCAGCGAGGGACAGGTCGAACGAAAACCTGCTTCTTCTCAGCACCAACTACGTGTGCGGATTCTTAGTAAGTTTGTTACTCACGATAGCGGCTTAGTCACGTCCAGTGCTGTGTTGCCGTTGGGGCCTTTTGTTCCTGATGGATATCCATTCTCGAATGTCTCATGCATCTCCTTTTGTAAGTCGGCAGCAAGGCCTTAACAAGATTTATCAGTAACCCCGTTCAAGTATTTTACGTCATTCAACAAAATATGAAACCATGTCATACTGACCCAGGTAAGGGATGGCAAGGTTTTCACCCAAGCTGCTCTTGACAGCAATATTTCCACTGTAAGTTGGAAGCAAGGCACTATTTAAGCCTTCAGGCGCCGTGAAAATGAATCTTAAAAATCATTAGTAGGAAGGAATTTGCCACATCTCTGAGCTCACTTACTCTGCTGCCTTGGTCTCTCCCGGTCCAACAGTAAAGCTACCCTCGGGCAAAGTGACACCAGGCACCATGGTTTGTGGAGAAAGAGGATACCTGGCGATTTTAGATGAATCAGATGCGTCAAGGGTGTCAAATCCGCCGGCAGGCTCCAGAGAGAAGGTGTAAGTGACTGCCTCTGCAGCATTGTTCGTGATGTCGACAGAATGTTTGCCAACAAAGTTGGCAGTGTCATTTAGAGCAAATCTTTCCAGAGATAGCTGGGTGGTGTAGTCAAGCACTTTAGATGCGTTGACAAGGCCTGTTCCTACCTGGGCAACGGAAGCTGTGAAGCCATCCACCACGTTGATGTCGTTAGACCACGGAATAGGCTCGCCGCTGGAAATAATTCTCATCATGAGTTGTTCGCTGAACTTGGATCCGTGAACCTTTTTTCCACCGAATTTGCCAATGTAAAGCGCAGCAACGCCGGCCAGGTAGGGCGTTGCCATGGAAGTCCCGCTAAGGATCGTCCAGGTTGGGAACTCAAGGTAGGTGCTGTATACGTTTCCGCCAGGACCAGCAACGTCTGGTTTGACGGAGAGATCGTTAAGGGCACCAATGCTAGTAAATTCATTGGCAAGATTGCCGTAAGGGTTGACGATTCCGATTGGCTTGGTCTGATCGAGTGAAAAGTCACCAGTTACCTTACCCCCTTCTTTGATGGTAGCAATAATCTCATGGCCGGCGTCGCCAGACACAGTACCAATGGTGGCAGTATCGTATCCGAAGGGAATACCGATAACTGACTCATCATTGTACGTAAGAACATACCTAGCTCCAAATGCCGCTGCATTACGCTGCTTGATGTAATTTTCGCAGCCTCCAGAGCGAAGAAGTATGATGGCGTCGGCAAAGGACGGTGTCCCAGCAGGGAATGATTGGCAGCCACGGGCCAAGTTGGAATCCCTATCAAGGGTAAGAGGAACAATTGGCAGGTTTATGGTCTCTGGAAAGGCTTCATCGGCCATGTATCCCACCGTGATAGTCTTCGAGATGCCGGACTTATCGGTGAAGGTTGCATTGAAGGGCTTTCCCACGATAACGGATGCCTCGGTTGATGCAACTGCAATAACGCCCTTGGCAGAAGAGCCTGAGCTACCATGATAAGCCCCTTCCCAGCCAGAGTTGCCGGCAGCGATGGTGATGACGATTCCGGTGGCCGCAATGCGATCACATACGCGTTGCCAGGCGCTGTCAGGCCATCCATCCGGGCCACCAATACTTGCAGTGATCACGTCAACCTTTAGGATGTTAATCAGGTAAGCATTCGAGCGATCCAGCTAGAGATTCTCACATCGGCGTCATATGCAGCCAAGAAGGCTTCGATGAGTGTCTCATCATCCGTGTAATCCTAAAAGAAATGTAAGTCTCGAGGCGTAGAATACGAAGACTGCACACTTACACGCATACCCATCACCTTGTAGCCATAGATCTTAGCTTTCGGGGCAACGCCCTTGAACCTGGCCACTGGTTAGACTATTTTGTTATCAAGGCAGTATCTGGGCTATCTTACTCTTCTGTTTCACCAGCAACAATGCCAGCGACATGCGATCCATGTCCTTGGTAATCATCAATGTCATTATCAGGGTTCTTTGGTTCATCAGGCCAGTCTTGTAGCTTATATCAGTATGGTTCTTATCCCAAAAAGAGATGTCAAATGCAACTCACAACCATCCCCAACCAAGTCGAGTCCACCTTCGACCTTAAAGCCAGGGCCAAAGCCGCCGCCAAGCTAAGATAGTCAGTGGAACTAAAGCTTTAAAACACAAAAAGGGGGAGCTACCCACAGCTGGATGGTTGTAATAGATACCGGTGTCAACAACGGCTACTTTAGCCCCCTCGCCAAGTATGCCGGCTTCATGAAGTCTATAAACGCCAGTGGACTTGTGAATATCGCGAATGGGAACTGCTGCCGCGTCTCTTTTGCTCAGGGACGCTTTAGGAGAAGGATCGAGCTTAATCAGCCGAGAGGGCCAAACAGAGTCGACATTATCGATACTTGAAAGGGTTTCGGTAGTTTCACTGTCAGACTCGATGCTGATACCTTTGAAGACTGGGCTGTTGAAGGTCTTCACGACATGTGTCCCGAGCCGACCCTTGATGACAGTAACTACCGCCTCGACGTTCGCAGCCTATTGCAATGTTTAATTTTCGTATTTCTTAGATGCCTTTGTATTGCTCATTAGGCTTCACGTACATCAGATAGTTCAAGAATGAACCGGTTGGGGATTATAGTATCCGTCGTCGTCGAATTCTCTCTGCGGTGAAATCGTTGAGCAGCACTTCCGCCAAGAAGGCAGAGGACCGGAAGGACTGATGACAAGCGCATTGTAAGACCTGCGATGAATTTCCTTGGCTACCGTCGGAGAGCAGCAGCTTGTACGCGACGCCGAGTACTTATAGACGTAGAACCGTGTTATTGGCGCTTCAAAATCGCGATTCGTGGACATTATGACCTGATCAGGGTCCTCGCGTTGCGCAATCCGAATAGGAAACTCGTCCGGTGGCACTTCAAGATCACGCAGCTCCCTGTACTTCCGAATTTAATTTCTATGACACCTGGGACGCCTAAAGGCGAGGCTTGTAAAGTAGGATCGAATACTCTGTATGAGTACAACGGAGCCGTTTCCCATTAATGTTGAACCACCGCCTTGAATGCCTTGGCCATCGGTGTGCCAAGAGAGCCACTTGCCGATAACGAGGGCTTCTTGTGGCTTGCATCCGAGATCTCGGTCATATCGGAACGACGGAAGGCTTTAGTGGGGTTTTCTGGAGCGTGCTCTGTTAACAAAGGGTCTGTTTTGACACTTTGATCAGTTGATTTTCATCCAGGACTCAATACCAAGACTTATCGCTTAGGCTTGTGACTGCATTCAGTGGGAAATTAGCTCGTATTCCAAGCATTGGCGGCCACCGAAGGTTGCATCGCCATCACTCTATGGTTGTGTTGCATGGCGTTGCGACATCGCTCTCTAAGCAAGGTCTAAGCAAGGTATACGACAAGGAACGTCTGGGCAACGAGTTTCCAGAACGGGCAAAGACCTCCGTCATGCGTGGGACAACTCTATTCTGCCCCCATTGGCAGTGGATTCCTCAGTGATCGATTCCAATCGCAATTTCCGACAGCCCCATCAACTGGTGGATTTGCTGATTGATAAGATCTTAATACCCAATCAATTCATGCCATCTTGCTGTACTTGAGAGGAAAACCACGAGATTAGAATCTGCGGTAACAGGCGATGAGAAATGAAAATCCTAAAATGTGCAGAGCGGTATTGAAAAGGTTATGTAACAATGTGGATTCATGCGGTCTGAAAGAATATACTCTTCGGAATCTGAAGGTTCAATGTACATGTACAATCGTGCACAGTGAATCGAAACCTATCCTGATGAACTACAACGGCCAGTTTGGGCTTAACTAAGACTTTTGTAGCCAAACGGATGACAAAGTCTTGCCATGGATCTCTTTTCTATAGAATTTGACTCTTGTAGAAGTAGCAGAGACTTTTTAGCTTACAAATTCGATAGTCGAAGTACCGTAGGTAGTTGGAAAAACACTGGGGTAAATGACACACTATCATGCATTCCTGTTGTGCAAGGAATGGGCCGGATGTACCGCAATCAGGTCGTAGTCAGTGGAGGATTGTATTACAGTTTGTACCAGAAACCTTGTACGTCTCTATGTCAACCCGCCACATCTCACTGCTAATACCACCATGAGGAATATTGATACCCTTTACCATATTAGCAAATTGCGTAAAACCATTTGCTACAAAAGCTTTGCTAGCCAGTTTCTCAATCATCCTTAATCAGAAATGTATCAAATGACTTTTTTGAGGTTCATATCCCAGACTGTACACACAAGATATTTCCTAGAACATTGCTTTTAGTGTTCCGGGAAAGATCATACAGTTAACGCCACAACGTTTGAAGTTTCCAGCGCCTTATACCCAGCCACATAATTCTGATCGGGCTGATTCCCAGTTTCTCAGTTGTTTTTCTTGGCATCGTTTTTCTTGGCATCGTGCGCCTTCTTCTGCGCGGATTCGACCGAGTGCCATGACGCAAGGGATTTCTCGCCGTTGAGGCCAAGATCATTCCTGTCCTTCCTCAGGTGATTCAAATCATGTTGATAATTATTTTCGTCATTGTTCTTTTCCTTTCTTGTTGCCCTTGACCCTGGGAGATCTTTCTTGTTTCGCTCCAGCTCCTTTTGTGCCTCAGACAGCTTAGAGCGGTGCGAGGCCAGAGACTTATTGCATTCCACACCACAGTTGTCGCTGTTGAGCTTGTCTAGGTTGCTTATATATTTTGCGTCGTCGGGTCGTAGCTTGTCCCTGTTGAACTTCTTGTCGTCGGCGCGTAGGTCTGGCTTCTGTGTTGCCTTATTTGTTGACTTGTTTGCTGACTTAGTTGCTGGCTTACTTGCTGGCTTATTCGTCTGCTTATTTGCCCTTGGGACAATCAAAAAGTCATTATTAGGAGGGTTGTGAGTGTTCCTCCTGTCGGAGTACTCAATGAACGCTCCGGCGTTCTGACTGTCCAAGTCGAGGGCATCGACCACAGCCTCATTCCTGACTTGAATATGAGACTCATCTGTTACTGGGATCTTAGAATCAATAGGAAAGTGTCTAGAGAGTTTCTGGCTTTACCTTCTATGTTTGCTTCGATATTGACATCTTCACTTTGTATGCCATCTCTGAACGCTTGGGCAGATGGGTGGGAGAGGCCTGTAGAGATGTCGACGGGAACTGCAGCCACAAAAGCTGCAAGAGCTTCCAAAAGGATGAAACTACTGAGGTACATCTTGGAAATGTTCGTTGCAACTTTTATAATGTTAAATAAATGGGAAAGTAATGCCGGGTGAGCAATATTCAGGTGTGTAAGAGGGGAAGAAAAGAGGAAGATATGGCAAGCCTTTATACTTGTTACCAGAAGCCTCAGGTACGAAATTAGTGGTTTTAATGCTACTTAAAGTACATGGAAATTCCCTTCTTTCTCGGGAAAGAAAAGTTCATTAGTTGTTGTTACTCACTTTTGGCAACCTCTGGCAAATGCGGAAATACCGCCCCCAGAGAATGGTTAATAGTTAGGTTAAGATTCACATTAGCGCGTACATAGAGTAAGGCTAGACCAGAAAGAAGTCTCAGGCACCATGTAGGACGCGTGGCAGCGAATAGATTCGTAAAAGATAAAGTGATCATGAATGAGGAGACAAATAGGGTGAACTGCAGGAGGCTGACGTATCGGACAACACAGAATGAAGGAGGGTCATGCAACCACATCAATTTTAGATCATCGATTGGGTTGTCAACCTTTGAAGTTGTTCGTTCGTTTCTTTCGCTCATGTCTGCAAATTCCTGCGGTCATTGGAGAAAAGCCTTTTCGCCCCTGTTCCTGGACATATGGTTGTGAGTTGGCAACATGCATCCTCCTTGTACCACCCGAGAGTTGAGTAATTTGTGTAGGTTGGGTGCGTCGTCGTTTGCGAGCAGCCACGGGCCCAGGACCGGTTTCAACTGGCGTATACATCAACCTCTGGGGGGCTTTACTACATATGAAAGACTTACATGCTAGAACCAATGGATATGAGGTATTAAAAGGTTTTGGTAGGCTTAAATTAGAGTTGCTCTATCGTAAGGGGAAATAATACAGTTAGAACTAGTCTTCCCTCCCGTAAAAATAAGCTTTAGGAACACACAAGCACTCTATGTATCAAATCCGCATGATATGTCAGCGGCATAATATCACCACCTTGGCTTTGACGTTGGGCAATTTTGCCCGTCTTTTTGTTATCGACCTAAAACCTTAAACTTCAGCTTTGAATAAATGATAAATATGCTAAAGGACTTTCAGTTGCTATGCGTTTGGGAGATCTTGCAAGAACTTTTACTATTGCCGAGTAACTCCACATGGATTAGCTTTCAGTGTCTCATTTAATTTGTGCGCGTCAATGCTACGATATATTATTCTAAAATTAAATATGCGATTAATTTGCTTGACGAGATAGTGCATGTGTTTCTGAGCGGAGAGGGGCCCGGACAACTTGCTGGTTGTATCTGGGAAGGGGAGGGGGAGAGGGGTGGGGGTGAAGGGGTTGTGTTTGGGGCGTGGGGCGCGGTTCAGTTCGCCATGTGGTAATATTTTGCTAGTCGTAGACTTGAAACATGCTAGTTTACATTCGTTCGCATTTTCAAGTAGAAAATGCATTCTGCTGGACGGCTTTCTCTATAGAGATTTCGGAGACTTTCAAAATTTCTGCAGGTCATTTTGCAGGAGCAAAACCTTCTCACATAGATGGTTGTAATTCTGACTGGCGTGAGTGAGTTAAGCTTTGAGGGTTACGTGGGTTGTCATAAGGGCGGGCGTTTGTCGTATAGATTCTTCCTAAAGTAATTTTCTCAGAAATGTGAGCAGTTTGGTTCTAGCCACAACTAAGCAGTGAGGCGAAACCATGCGTTCCGCAAACAGAAGCAGTCAAAAGAGCCAAGAGATCGAGATGATATGGTCCAAGACATACAAATATTAAGACAAAGTATGCTTAGATGGGGCACAAATATTACTGGACCTTCCCCAATTTGTAAACATTAAAATAAGATTAGGGACGCTGCGGGACATCAGGTACCATCGAGGGATTGTACGGCTTATGTTGTGGGGACCTCCAATCCTACTCGGCATCGTATTTCTCGCGTATGAAACGTACGAATAGTATCGCAGGAAGCACAAAGAGACAGATGCGGAGTCATGAAGGTTGCCGTCCAGGACGATCGGCCAGCACCCTTTAGTGCAAGGGGCAAGTAGATCATAAGTTTAACTTACTTGTAAAGCACGGCTGGAGAATGCACCTTCTTCGTGTGAAGGAAAAGTATAATTTCAGATAACAGGGCTAACGATCTTGCCCAAACTATGCCAATCCGCGGGATATCACCGAACAAGAGATAATTAGGGACTGTGACCCAGATCCGTCATGATGATATCCAGTCGTGCGGGATTGTCACAGTGGTGTACAGAACTACGAATTTGTAGCTTCTTGGAACCTCTCAGTCTTAAATGAGTACTACCGTCAGAGATACTTGCCTTGAAAAAAAAGGGACCGTATCATCTCATAATAACGAACCAAACCTTTTCAATCTGAGTCAAGAACCGATCTGGCCAAAGACAATCATTGCGATCCTGTACGAAGACGACCCCCACCCCCGAAAAGGTAGCCACATCTGGTTGAAAAGGACGGCGAAGAGATTAAACTTGGGTCATCTAGTATGCTGCCATTTAGGAAACTTCCCCCGGTAAGGTTTTGTCTGCCCTAAAGTTAATTCAGAAGAGTTTATTTCCTCTGGAAGCCCAAGCACCTGGAATAACCCCATGTAGTATTGTTGCCGAATGCTTACTCTTTGCATAAAAAACTCTCATTCTTATTCTCTACCGTGCCTTTAATCGCACCGAGTTACTGTTAGAAAAGTCCTAAGCCTGTCTGTTAGCATAGAGTACATACTGCAGTGACGGGCTCCGAAGCCCGCGGACTTCGACTGGTCTGCCAGGAACGGCATTCGCTCTTCGTGTTACTATTGGCAGATTCATGAGGGAGGCTAACATAGCGACGCACTGACACGGCAAGCTACTGTTCCACATTGTCAACTGTGAAAACAAGATTATACCCTTTCAAATGTTGCCTTATAGTGATAACAGCTGTTGCTGACATGGTTCTATGGCAATTAGTGTCTGTGGCGCTGTTTCTGAAGGGCGACCATCTCTCTGTTGTGCGACGGTTCAATCCTGTCATCTGTACGTATTTCGTAGACAAGCGATAACGGTTTACAAGGCAAGTTTCTCAACATTTGATGTTCATATATGGTGAAAATTACTTTAGCGCCTTCTCTCCTTGTCTGCAAAGCGTTCCATGCTAACAGGACAAGGTGGATTTTTTTTGGTCCGTTATTGCCACAATAGATACGCTTGCAATTACTGCAGGGTAATTGTGGTTATACTTTCGTCGTCACAGTTGTTTTGTGGCTAACGTCTAGCTCGCGAGTTTCAATGTCGATTTAAGTCTGCTACAAGTTCAGTTGACGCTCCCTGTGATACTCTTTGAGTAGTGCCTTAGCTAACCCATACCGAACCATCTATCTCTAACTGATGATCCTTTTGAATTTTATGGTTCGGAGGTGATACCGGCGACCAATGGCGTAGCAATGTCGCGTGATCAGCCATCACGAATCTACGAAAATATAAAAGAAAGGTGCCCCTAGCTATTCAGACTTTTCCGAGTAGTGCCTCGGGATTATAATTTCAGCTGTTCTTCGGGATAAGTATAAGCCAACTTAACCCCTCATTCTTAATATTAGTAATTTTCCACATGCCGAATATTGCAGATAGCCCAGTTCTATGATTGTGGGGAGATGGAGCTCGCGTTCACATAGAATCCCGGCATTGCTGTAATTTTCGAGTGGCGCCCGTGTAAATTACAGTTCCAATTAGTAATGAGAAGTTATCGCCGAGCCATCAGATTTCTCGACATAGGGTTCACATAGCCTTCGAAGGTTGTAGGAAGCGGAAGCTTAAGGTTTGTTCATATTCCCCCTCCGAATAATGCAGGTGGCTGACTTCGGAAGTAGTTTTCCGAGTGGCCGAAATGTCCCAACTACGTACTGAAGGATCTTGATTGTGGCCCTAATCGTAATCTTGCTGATACGCAGGGTAATTGTAGAGAGAAAGTACCATGAAGCGAGGTATCATGGGATTTGTTTCAAAAAGGAGTATAAGATGCCTGTTTCTATTTCAAAAGCATATTCTGACCAGCTTGCGAAGATAATAAATACAAGCATATCCATGAAAGAAGGTCTCTGCCAGATAGCGCACGGCAGTCTGCTTTTACAGCTCTGTGGCGGAGGAGACGAGGAGCATTGTTGCTAGCTCAGATGATAAGGGCCGCACAAAGATAACCGAACCATTAAATTTGAGATTCAGTCGAGGACAGTATGGTTTTCAATGGAAACGGGATCCAAAATCCTGGCTCCGGGTCTTTCCTCCGTTAGAAATGATCTGCAAATTAGTTGAAATGGTACCCAGGTGTGAGACGTACTGTTGTCGTGGGACAAAGTAGGAAAAGTGGGAAACAGTCTCTTAACACACGCTTTGTTGCAGCATCATAGATGAAAGGGGCACTGGCGGGCAACAGAGGCTTTCATAGCACCTTGTGCGGAAATGGTACCACCTATCCTGTCCTTGTCGATGAAAGTATAGTTGCAGGACCGCAAGCCGCGATCCCCCAATTTCAGGCACCCAGGTCCCAGACCTGATTTCGATTATGCCATCGCAAGTAAAAGGGGATTCGGAGTGGATTCGGGATGACACTACAACCCAGCCGCATCCCATCGCTTTGAGATCCAAAACGTTTACGCCTTGGTATTACTGATGTTGCCACTTGTAGCCCTCTTCCCAGCTTTCGCTGTCGGCCCTTCACTACTAGATACCTTTTAGACTCCCCATATCGGACGTGTCCCGTTCCCGCTTGTTGACTTCAAAATCCACCTTTCATCCACGGCCGCGCGAGAATGTTTTTTTCGTTGAGACATGCCTAACTTTGAAATTTGGGTTTACAAATTGATAGAAAAGTCTCGACTAGATTGTAATCCTTAAAACTTACGCTTGAAAGAAAACCAGTCAATCCTATCAACTTTTGGGGCACATTTCTATTGCAGTTGTCATGTAGATTTCACCAATACCTCTCGCAGAAAAGCAGATGTTCTGATGAATGGAGGTTATTAAAGGCTCAACACATTACCGCAACGTGCTTGTTCTTTATTTTTCTTCATTCTCCATTAACTGAGGCAATATATGGCCCACAGAGCAAATAGAAGCAATATGGCAGATGTTTTGATATTAATGTAAGAGGGCTCTCGCTTGGTCAATTTGCTAGCAAAGCCACTTAAGACACCCAGGCACTGATGTTTCTGACCATTACCACCATTTCATAGGTTTAAAGGTGAATACCAACCAAAAGGTCAGAGACTCAAAATATATAGACATTGCTCGACTTCGAGGTAAACAAAACTCCTAAAGTAGCACACTGAAACCGTTTCAATTATCTACACGCTATCTAGATCTGGTGAAGGAAACAAGCAAGACAACAGCACAAGCTAAAGCGCTCAAGTGGGCATGAAAATGAGATAATATCTGTGGTGAATAGAGGGTTATAACACTGCCCCAACAGTAATTTGTATGCTTTGACGATGCCGCTTTGGTTGGGAAAATCACTAATGGTAGCATGTAGTGAGCATTTAATCTCACCGTCTGTGAGGACAACCAACCCTGAAGCTTTCACTCCAGATGCAGGTTTCATAGTTTTAAGATAGATGAAATATGCTGTTCCCACTTGGATAGTGAGTCCAGTGCTTATCATCTAACCAATTTTCAGTCACAATCGAGCATCACCAAGCGTAGATAGTCTATGAGAACACATGAACGTCCCATCACGTCCACGACTGCACCGCGCGGCCTCCCGGTCCAAGACCTGCGGCTTTAGCGACGGTATCAACCGCCCAATATACCGTTTCCATGATTTTTGCTCTTCAGCTACGATATCAATCCCAATTTTTCGCCATCTCCGATCCTCCTGTAGAAAGCTTTGCCAATCTGTTTCAGATTCTAAATCTGCCTGTCGCAAGATAGTCGGGTCTTCATAGCTTCGCCAAATGAAAACGTGATTACTTGTTTGCCCTCGGAGGGGAAACTTATTGTCGGGTGGCAACCGCGAGGCTTGAAGAAGCCCTAAGGCGTTAAGTTTCTCTGAATCTCATATGAATAATACCAATTTGCAAAATGGTGCCATTAGAATGTTGCCGATAAAACGACATGAGAACTTTCAACCGCGCGGATTCCTAATAGTGATAGATTATATAGCAGCACATAGGCCCATATTTCTAATGACCACTCAGATTACGGAACCTGTAATGTCACTATGACAATTCCAGCTCGTACTGGCTACTACTACCTGAAGGGCAGTAACACTGAGTTTTATGTTCCAGCTCAGAAGACACACAAGGTGTCTAAACCCCCGCTTATCCAATGATAAAATAATCCTATAGAATGACAATATCATCTCGGATCATCGTGTCACATTCCTTCAATAATGAACGATGAACCCCAAGGGAGGCTTCGCCCTGTGAAGCCGCCTGTTTTATGGCTACCTTCTCTTCAAGTTGTCTTTTTACCGTTTCTTTTTTTAAGCACAGCACCCTCGCTACACAACCCTAAGTAACACTCCAGAACACAAGCGATGGATTTCTCTGTTGGGATAGCCGAAACTACAGGTTGAAGTGGCTCCGTCGCCGGCAGTCCTGCCGGCACCCGGGCTGCGTACGTGACGGGTAGACCGACCAACGGCTATAAGACTAACAGCCACTTCTTCTAGTACTTCTACTGGAACTTCTTCCGTAGACAAGCGAAACAAGAATAAGAAACAGTTTCCCCATCAGTTATCCTACTTTACGGGTATCCTAAGATTCCAAAGTTCTCAATTTTTGACATCTGCCTAAAATAAAAGAGAAACACTGCGAAAGTGCTCTTGAAGAATAGCCATCCTGCCAGTACTTTTGTTCGCTTGTGTAAGAACACGCAGAAGTTCAAGCAGCACAGACAGGGTTGAAAATGCATAACACATTCCATTTCACTTGTCATTATCCATGTTGCTGACTCTTGCACCCTTTTCCAGTAATAAATTGATGATCGTCATAGGGTTTTTCGGTCGACTCAGAACTATGTGCAATGGTGTCCCACCATGTTGGCATGGAAGTGAAGGGTCTGCTCTATGCTCTATGAGAGCCTTGGCAATGCAGTCCATAGTGTGAGCGGTCTGACCACGCATTGGGCGTTTGCCTGGTGATTTTATGTTGACGTTAGCAATGAATGCCTGCTGAGTGGTGGACAGGCCGCGGACTGTACAGTTTTACAATCCGTATGCAAGGCCAAGACCTGGACGGCCCACTTGAGCGCTGGGTAAGCTGTACTCTAAAACTTGAACATTATAAAGTTAGTAAGCTTAAAGGCTTTAGCAGAGGTTCAGAAGCAGGTTACACTGGCACCACGCTTAGTACTCTAAGCCAATCTGCTTCAATACACAGCACCAGTATATTTACTTTAACAGGCGCCGGAGAGATTCTCCCATGCTCATACACGTTTGAATACGTGGACCTGGAATCTCATGTTCTCCAGGCTGACTGGATACTCTAGATCCTGCTGCAACCGGTACCAGACGCTATCCTCAGAAATGACCTTTTCCCATGCAGGAGTTGACTCCTCTTCCCCACCTTCACGAATACTATCCGTAGCCTTCTTTTTCGGTCTTGGCATAAGCGTGTAGTCCATGAGCCAACTCATCGGATACTTCTTTTTCTCTTCCCCTTCCTTAGTATTGCCAATAGCGGTCTCGGAGTAAGACCCGGGGCTGTCTACCACAAGCAATAAACTCCCCTTGGGAGCAGCCTCCGTGACCCTGAGCAGGAAAGAGGTAGTTTGTGACATCGAGGCTGTGTAAAGCTCGTTCAGGGTGAAGAGAAGCGTAAGCAGCGCAGAATCAGGACCAATGGCCGCGCGAAGGTCTTCTGTGCTATAGCTCAGCACGTCGGCGCGCGTGAAAGTATGGCGAACAGCTCCGGGCGAGAGGAACGAGGCATTTGATGCACGAGCCGCGGCGCTGGCATATTTATGGAGAGTCGGCGGAGTCTCGAGACACTCATGTAGCTTCGAGAGCACAGAAGACCAGTCAGCGGTGTCGATCAGGTCAAGATTGAGGAGTGTTGGCGAAGGTTCGTCCTCTGAGGTTGATGAAGCTTGCAGGTCTTTCGAGGCGTCCTCAAGACTTGGAGGTGACTTTGGCCTACCGGCTGCGGCTGACGGCTGTAGATGACGCAAAAGACCCGAGAAAGCCATGATTTCAGCTGCACCACCTCCAAAACATACCACCTTGGCTGTCTTCTGTTCATCGTCGCCGTCGCCACCAACAAATCGTTGTACGCAAGCGTCCTCTGCCCTCTCCTCACAGATCCAAGCTATGAGCTGCGCGTACGCCAGCGCACGGCTGGGGCTCCAACGGATCGCATACGCCTCCAGGAATTCGGCTTTTCCAAAGGCTGTGTCAAAATCCCTCCAGAAAAGCGCGTCCTTGATCTCCTGCAGCGTTGGCTTCAGAGCCTCGAAGTCGTTGCACGCGGGAAAGGTGGTGCGGAAGACATTGATCATCAGCTGCTCCACCCCCACCGGGAGGACGTGATCCAGCCTCCGGGGCTCTGCTGACCCCAGTGATGCAGATGGTTGCTGAGGTTTCTTCTTCTTGTGGAGGTAACCAGGCCCGGTCCAGCCCGGGTGGCCGCGAGGTAACGGCGGTGGCGCCTTAGACGCACCGCTGTCTGAGGGTTTCCCATATTTCGGCTGCGACTTGGCTTTCCGATCGTATTTACCCATCGTAGGCTATTGGTCGATGAGAATTTTGCTGAAGTCCAACGGTGTGTGAATCTTTGGCTGTGATTTCTTGTGGAGCTGAGTCCGCAACATATATCGGTACCTTGCCTTGAAAATTTCCCAAAAACTTATCCCACACCAACTAGTGTAGACCGACTTGCTTAGTCAGCGCTCCGAATGTGGGCACAGCAGTCCCGGGCCGTTGATTGTTAGTGTAGATTTAGGCGTTTAGCTTGAACGGTCTTTATTTACAGCGACTCACTAAGACTGACTCCATTCTGTTTTCAGAGCAAGAGAAATCCATATGAGGCGGCTGGACAGCCCGATCTTCAGAGCAGATTGTTAGCTACAAAGCCTTGGCAACTCAGGCTCGTCTCTTCAGCTACTCACCCCTGAGGCAGATAGTAAGTATCCTTTATCTTGCTTCTGTTCGGAAGCAGTTCAGCTTTCAATCCTTGTGTCTTCATCTCGTCCTCGACCAGCTTCCAGATGTCGTCGCGGCCGTGCTTGTCAGCCATCTCGACGGGACGGAGTGGCTGACTCGCCAGCGTTTCTGGCGTCGAAGGAGTCATCCTCCTAGTGTCATAGACTATTTCAGAAAAACTGATGAAGCTTTTTGTGATGAATTGTTCCTTAATATAATGTAAGAACAGGTCGGATCTGAAGAAATACGCCTCTTTCCATCATCTCCATTCCTGCAACCCCCCACCCCCAGCCTGCAACACAGGTGTCAGCGTGCTACTTACCTTGTCTCTTGTAAAGGTATGGTGTCGAATGCCAACATGTGTTAGCGCTGGGTACCGTCAGCGCCAGCTTGAGAGCATTCAAAACGATGCATATCCTATACTTGTTTTGCTGCCCGACACGAGGCGAGACTGAGACATTTTGTGGCGGAAGGCTTGGTGAGCTCTTTTCGCTCATCTGACGCTCAGCTCGGACATGGAGCTGCAAGCGCAATAATGGTGTTTAAAAAGTCAACACAACACGACTGCCTTGGCAGTCCCCTGAAAACTAACAGCACGGTCGCATGTGGTATATCAGCAAAGTTTCAAGTTTCACCAGCAGAAAAGGTGACCCCTATGCGGCCTTCAGACACAATCTCTCGACTCATGTTCTTGCCAGTTGTTTCTGGTCTCAGGCACCCGAAACTTTGGAACGAACTTTGAATTATGCACCTCGTATAGATGTTTCAACTATTCTTGTTCAGACGAACTGATAATCCACAGAAGACTTGCTAAATGCATCTGGAAGCTTTCCACAAGCCTTCGCAGCTAGTTGCGGATGCTGTCACGGCTTGACGTGCCTAAACGACCTTTTAAAAGACCATGCCTGCAGGAAAACAGATCGGCCCTGTTTATAATAGGGGTTTATTGTACAAATCAATCAATGTTGCCACCAGTCATCAATCGTTACATACCTTGCTGCCCAAACGTGATGTTCCACGCCGCACTGAGTTTCATACATACGTGGTATGTTCCTTCATATTAAGGTCTTCGAGGCGCACTTCAAAGTTCGTCTTTGGGCTTAAAGGATCATCTCGTGCATAGTTGTCCCATGTCCAGTGTGCACCACATGGCAACTACAAAAGAACTTTGGCGGAAAACGCCCTTTAGAATGAGTAGGCAATGAACATTGGAAAGAAGAACCTAATGATACTGCGTAGTTCAGTTACCTATACTGTGGTCTTTCTTCATCGTCTTTCATCGTTCTTGGCCCACGACGACAGGTGATCGACGAATCTTGCTCAATGTATGTTTTCACTGCACATGTGACACAGAAAATTGATGAGAAATAACGACTTGTGCACCAACATAATGAGGTGACATGGTGCGGGGATGTGATGTTACAGTGGCTGTAGGTTGAACACAAGAAAAAGTGTAACCCCATCGGTTCATTTGGCAACATCTGCAGTTCCGCCAATCGCATCAAACAACCAACCCTGAGAGCATTTTCAGTATCCAAAGTGAGACCTGTCATGGGACATACACCCACATAATATACACCTTACAATCTGATCATGAATAATTCATTGTGAATACAACTACTGAGCCGCTTAAACAATAGCTTGATCACCCAAAGGGTTATTTGAACGATCCGAGCCATTCGAGCCCCCTCTAAGAAAAAGCGATAAATTCGCGTTGATCTAGGACAGCGATCACTGCATGCACGGTCGGGGGATAAAAACAAGGTTCAGCCCCTCCCGCAGTGAGGGGAGACAGGCCAGTCGGATAGATAAAATCAGTCTGCCGCTTCCCCACACAATACATGCCGAGGAATGACAAGAAACTTGGCTGGAGTGGTGTCTTTAAACGTGGGGAATCGTGTTGGCTTTAGCACGTAATAAGGAGGATTTGAGGAGTGTCCAAGTGAAGGCTTTCAGGTTGCATGTTCTAAATTTGATAACCCTAGCGATCTTACTCGCAGAACCTGTCGATCACTCTTTCATTCCATTAAACGACTAGCATAATAGGCCGAAATTTCCGTCCGTGGCTGCGCGCTTTTATTAACACTCTTCTTACGACAGGGTACCCTTTTGGCATAGGAAAAAGGAATGACCAGGCAACAGTGAGTGAGAAGCAACCGCTGGGCTCTCGACGGACACTTTTTACCGCCTCTCACTGCCCCTTTCAGTCGAGCCAGTAGGCGTCAGCCCGGCCACCAAGCTTACGGACTTCTGTTCATAGTGTAGATCGGCCTACCACCTTAGGTCGGGTGGCATCCTTCTCCAGTTCCCCTCTCTCCAGATGACCGCATCATGCAGACTCCTTGTGCATCCATCGAATGACTCCACGTGCTGCCCAGTCACACCAACTCGCAATTCACAGACAAGCGGGGAACTATCTGGTGTTTATTTCGATGTCTGCTACTCACATGCGTTCCATCAACCTCCTAGCTAACACGATGTAGGATTGAGCGCTAGAATGAGCCCCTCTTCCTTTCCGCTCCCCCCTTGCTGATAGCTAAAGTGGCCGAACAAGGGAAAATGAATAATTGCGACCGACGGACTGCTGTGCGGGGAACCTGTAACCTGCAGTGGCCAAGCACGCAACATTACATGGCACGTCACAGCTAGTCAAACCTGACAGAGGAGGAGGAACGGAACTTTCGAAAGCTTGCGGAGTCTTTCAACGGGAGCTCCCAGTCCAGTCCACTTGACTCAATGCCGAAATGTCCGGGCAGTGGGTTGTGGAGAATCTGATGCGCAGAGGCTATGCGTGCCGCACCTTGGCAGAATAGGCCATGTTATAGTCAGTCGAACGTCAACGCTCGTCCCGACGTTGGGAAAAGTTTAAAAAAGTAACTTTTCCTCGAAGATTATAGAAAAAGCATCCCCCTTATGCCGGGACCCCTCTTGTTCGTCGCTGCATCTTGCTCTTGTACACTCTTTTTCCCACCTCCCTCCCATCTCCCTCTCTTGTCTGCAGACCAACCGCCTTGGGGATTGGAATTGTGACTGCGGCCTTCTCTTTTACCATTCGCAATGCGTTTTTCACCCACATGGATCCCATCCACGTTGGTGGCATTGTCATTCACAGGTGGCATCAATGCACAGGCACCATCGACAACTGCTGAAGGATCGGCACCCACGAGCGGCGGCGGCGGAAGCCCTGAGCCCTATCGACTGCAGAAGCCGCCTCTGGATACGGATTGGACGAGCAAGGTCGGGACGAGTCCCTGGCCAGAACATCCGCGCCCGCAGCTACGCCGGGACAAATGGCTGAACTTGAACGGCATCTGGACCTATCAAGCTGCCGGCGGGGCAGATGATGTCAATCACCCACCGGCCGGTAACTCTCTCGACCGGGAAGTCCTCATCCCGTCATGCATCGAAAGTGGAATTTCGGGCATTCAGGCGCTTGATGTCACACATATGTGGTTTGCGACAAAATTCCAGGTCCCAAGCGACTGGGGAAATCAATCCGTCCTTCTCAACTTCGAGGCCGTCGACTATGAAGCAACTGTGTTTATCAACGGCCAAAAGGCCGGGTTTCACCGCGGAGGGTACTTCCGCTTCACCGTCGATGCGACCAAGTATATCAACCGCAGTGGAGAGAACACCCTGTATGGACCAAATCCGCTTTATCCACCTCAGTTAATGGTATGTTAACTAACATCTCCGATTAGGTTGGTCTTCGTCCATGATCCGACGGATATGGACGGCTACATCATTCCAATAGGAAAGCAGACCAGAACCCCGTCGCACATTTTTTACCGATCGTGTTCTGGTATTTGGCAAACCGTATGGTTAGAGAGTGCTCCCGAGAACCGCATCACGCAGCTCGACGTTGCTGCTGACCATAAAGGAAACGGTAAGCTGATCCAATTGCGAGCGACAATTCTTGGGTCTGACCTCATATCACAGTGAACGTGCAAGTTCATACATCTTCCAACTCATCATCTCAAGTCAAGATTGCAGTATTGGACAAGGATGGCAAGACGATTGGGGAAGGAACCGGAAGCTCTGCTACTGCGTTTAACTTTACTGTTTCTTCGCCCAAAGTTTGGTCACCATCCTCCCCGGAACTGTACAACATTACAGTTAAGATGGGCGATGATCAGATATCAAGTTACACTGGCTTCCGCACCGTATCAACTGGCGTTGTACAAGGAATCCAGCGCCCTCTCCTGAACGGCGAATTCATTTTCATGTTTGGAACTCTCGACCAGGGTTACTGGCCCGATGGACTCCATACCCCACCAACCTACGAGGCTATGGTTTATGACCTGAAGGTCCTCAAGAACCTTGGAATGAACATGGTTCGAAAGCACGTGAGTATTCATCGTTTTTCATATCCTGCAGCATTCAATCTGACAATTTGCAGATCAAGATTGAGCCCGATTTGTTTTACAGGGCCTGCGATGAGCTTGGCCTTCTCGTCATTCAAGACATGCCAAGTTTAACTGCCAATTCTGCACGTCTGCCGAATGAAGAGCAACAGGCCGAGTTTGAACGTCAATTGCAACTCATGATTCAGGAGCACAAGAGCTATACTAGCATTGTCACATGGGTATGTCTTTTCTGATTAAAATGGATTCATTTAACTGACACAACTACAGACAATTTACAATGAAGGCTGGGGCCAGCTTAGAGACGCTCCATTCCCCGAGGAGAAGCTTGCGGAGGTTGTCCGCCGAATTGACCCTTCAAGACTCGTTAATGCAAACAGTGGCTGGTATGATCACGGCTTCGGTGACTTTTCCGACAACCACCACTATGCCAACCCCCAATGCGGCACGCCATTCTATTCTCTTGCATCGTCCCCGTATGACAAGAAACGTATCGGGTTCCAGGGCGAGTTCGGCGGTATTGGCCACAACGTCTCAATCGAGCAGTAAGTCGAATGACTGGAACGTACAATGAAGATGGTGCTAACGCAAACCTTTCAGCCTGTGGAACGTGCAACAGGCGATTGATACTATCAACCAAACCTACGAGATTGACGAGAACCTCGAGGCGTACAATTACCGCGCACGAGTTCTCCTGCGCGAGTTCCGTGAACAAGTCGAGATGTACGCGTGTAGTGGCGGCGTCTGGACGCAGACAAGCGACGTTGAGGGAGAGGTTAACGGCCTGGTCACCTACGACCGTCGCGTCCTGCGGCCCGACCTTGCACAGTGGCAAGTGGATATCCAGAGTCTCTTCGACGCTGCGAAGGCCCGAAGTGGCCCTGTGAATGGTACCATGTAAGAAATGGACCGAGTGTGGTCACATGCTATTTTCTTTGGAAAGGACAGTAATGCTAAGGTAGAGCATCGTAATGAGCAGTCCGATCGAGGACGACGGTCAGATTAGGTTCGTACAATCATCTTGACCTTTTTAATGAGTAACGAAACGATCGATATTTCCCACTGAGTCCCTACCAAGACTTTGACGACGCCCGTTGTTACACGTTGACGTACTTCCGATAAGCTGGTTCTTTGGTAAGTGTAACAAGGATTCGAATCGCATCTAGAGATGTTTTATGAATGAGAGTAAAGCTATGAGCATGATTTGAGCGTGCTGCATTGGTCCCTCAAAGTTTGCCTGAAGGGTTTGGGGATACACAACCGCTGGCCGGGATTGCATTGAGATAGACTCGTGTATTTCATAGTACATTATTGATTATGCTGGCATGGGGTGATGCTGTTTGACATAAAACAGCTCTTTGAACCAAACATATCTTGTGGAATTTTTATATCATTGGTCAAACGAGTGCAAACTGAGGCTGGTTATCGCATAAAGTGTTTCCAAGAAAAAGCTCACGCCTAGTTGACAGGTACGATCATCGTCACCCACCACTGGAGACTTTCAAAAGAAACAAAAAAAACATACAACACCAGGTATTCGCTGGTCGTCACCGACCCAACTACTAATCCGGCCCTCACTGGCTTATCTATGGGAGAGCGGACGGGATCCCGAGTTTTCCAATGGGTATGGTCGTATGTACTTGTGAACGCTTTCAAAATGACTTATAATGAGTAGTGCAGCAACCTGTTTTTTTACTCAAACGAGTCCATATGATCCTGATACTACACGAAAAGTATCTATAGCCCGCTATGGACTTGGCTTACTGTGGGCTTCGTGGTTAGCAGTCCTTTTTTTAATTTACGAAATACGCCATACCTTTCTCGTTCGACAATCAACCTCCTCCAATTTTTGCTTCGTAAAGCCTGCTACGGTTAGGTGTGAATCTCCATCTTTGAAGCCATTGCATATCAAAGTCTCGTTACTTTGCGAATGTTAAGGATAGTATTGTATATACACTTACTATTCTGCAATGTTTGTTCTAACTAAGCTGTTTGCGGTATGCATCGAGCTCAACAACGGACCACACACGGACGATTTTTCCCTCGTTTAACTGATACATGACCTGTTCATGGAAATGAACCGGCTTGCCATTTGGCTTCGGCCCTCCCCACTCCTTCACTGGTGTACCGGTGAATTCCAATCTTGCAGCAATCTGCTGGGTGCGGTTGTCAACTAGGAGTTCTTGGACGTGAAAAGACAACCCCTGGATACAACTTTGACTGTCACTGATAAGAGGAATGTACTCGGAGATACTGAGTTTCCGACCATTGTGCTCTAGCTCTGGCTGACAAAAGTGCGCAAAATCGCTATCCATCGTCTTTCGGTTGATGCTGTTGATGTACGCCCGATAATGCTCTTCCAAGTCCAATGACGCATCTGGAGACGGCACACGGCCTGTATAGGACTCGTGAGGAGTTTTGTACACTGTTGCATGTCGAGCCTGAAAGCCATCTTCGTCTCGCAAAGCCTGCCATCTTGATAGGCGGTTATTGGCAAACCATGCGAACACAATCTCTTGGAATTCAAATCCAGCCTCGGGGGATTCTGGCAGGGCAACACAATGGATGATTCGCGCAGCGACACTGTCTCCATTGCCGTCAAGGATTACAGAGTCAAACTTCCTTTCAAGCCGATTCGATGGGTCGACAAGATTGCTCTGTTGGCTGAAAAATTCGGTCGCGGATTGTAGCTGCCCATTGTAGTTGATGGTGGGTTCGAGGGAGCTCTCTACTTTCTCCCAGTTTTGTTCGTCCAGGTAGTGAACCAAGGAGCGGAGGATAAACACATTCATAGTGTTCGGTTCTGAAGACATGATAGTGTAGACTACTAGGAAGTGGTGGTGAGAAGAGGACGGTTGCTTAAAATTGACCTAGGGGGTGTTCAAGGTGCGAAGCCATCCACCAAGAATAACAAGGACGTGGGGAAAAGATCATGCAAGAATGCAAGGGGACTTTCTTGTTTATCTTCGTGTCGGCCTTGCGCCCTTCACATCTTTGGAGATACAGGATGACATGGAAAATGCTGACAAGCAGGCGGGGTATCCCGGGCTAGACTGCCGCCGATCAGCGGAGAGATGGGGTGCAGCAGGTTTTTTGCTAGCCATCAGCATCAGCAACCCTACATGTCCTTATAGGCGGTAAACTGCCAAGTCCGACGACGATTGATACGAAAGTATGAAAATAATATAATGGGGCAAATTCGCTGACATTAAAAATATGTGCATGCGCTCTCTACATGCCGCTGATTGATAACAATCACTTATAAATCGTATGCGCTTATGGTTTTGCGAGGGGAGTCTTCACAGTAGTCGATATAAAGCGGCACAACATTAGCAAAACTTGCAATATTTATCAGCTCACATATCATGAAATATGCAGACTCTAGTTGTCGTTTGTCAAATGTGTGGTACTCTTTGTCTTGGCAATTCTGAGCGATGATGAAACCCTGGACTTATCTATAAGTAAAACAGCAGACAGTTGTTTTATGTTGTTGTAGAGAGTTCAAAGAAATCTAGCAAAGATTTGATTCAGTCGGACTCAGTGTGTTCTCCATATAATTGATGTTGGACGAGAATATTATAGTAATCATTAAGTGGTGCAATTAGCGGAGGGAAACGAATTGTAATGATAACGCTAGTCCAAGTAATGACAATTTCTTCTTATGGTGGTCTTATGAAAAGAAGTTGTGTAGAGGTGAGGCAGTCTAAGCTAGTGGTGTTTGAAACAGATCAAATAGTCCTTATTCTCTCGTGAAATGAATAATAACTCCAGAATAACAATCTTTACCAGTCTCCGCGTCTATCACCCCCGACAGTCTCCTCGCTTCTGTAATCGTTCATCTCATATCGAGAGTCTGAATTTTGAGCATACCGGGTTTCTCCATTGTCGGATGTTTCGTACTGGTCCTGCGAGTTGCTCGTGTACTCTTGTTCTCCGTTGTCTTCATAGTTGCTCTCACGTCTCTCAAATCCAGAATACTCGTTGGGGTCTGAGGATGGCTCAGCGCCAGCAGAAACCTCGTAATTGGTTTCTTGTCTACCGTATTCTGAATACTCGTTCGGGTCAGAAGAAAGGGGGGCATCATCAGCAGGAGCCTCGTAGTCGTTCTCGTCCCTCTGATATTGAGATTCATCATTTTGTTCCGCGGCATGCTCATCCTCATTATCGACCTCATCTGTAGGCTCACGAGCTTCATCGTAGTAGGCAGAGTCGGATGTCTCTTTGGCTTGGTTGTCGTCGGACGCTTCATAGGGAACCTCCGATGCTTCATCCTCAGCGTTCTGATCCTCTTGGGCCGCGATGTCTTCTTCGGCGCCGACATTTCCTTCGAAGCCACGATCGACGTTCTCATCCTCTTCGAAAGGTGCAGTTTCTTCTTCCTGAACTTGAGCTGCGCTGTCCTCATCAGCTTCTTCGGTGTCATTAGGCACATTTTCCTGCTGTTCTTCTACGTTGTCTTCGTATTCGTCTGTTCGTTCGCGATTCTCGTAGTTTCTCGCGTTATCGTCAATTTGGGCCTCCCATGGCTCGTCGGAGATGACCCATTCTGATTCTTCGAATTCTGGTTCGTCCAGGGATCGAGTCTCAACGTTTATAATCATCTTTTCCTTCACTTGTCCGTCCTCCCCAAGGCGTCGAATTTTGTACTCAACGAGGGATAAAAGCACCTGCTTCAACGTTCCAGACGTATCAAAAGTGAACTTCTTGTCGTCATCAGTCACCACATTATACTTGCCTTTGTAGGCAAGATCCTGCGTTCCGGTTTTGAAGTAGGCAACGATTCTGAAAAACGCATTAGCGGAGTAGACTCGGAGACGGATGGATCATACTCGAAGTCATCATCTGGGCCTTCCATTTCCTTTTCAAACTCCCACTTAATATCCTTTGTCTCGGTTGTGGAGCGTCCCCAGTCCTGCTCGTAGCCAATTTCCAAACTCGTGGTGATGCCTCCTTCGGCGATCAATGGAATTCCCGCTTTGAAGGTCAACTCGATCCCAGTGACGACTGACACCTTATTGTTCCATGTCTGGGTGATTGTCTTTGAGCCAGTTCCGCTAACTTTGCAAAGACCAGATCCACCTTCCCACTGAGCACGAGCCCGATCCACGTACTGAGCCTGTAGAAACCCAGTGTTGCTCAACTCGAGTTCGGGATAGCTGACTTGGTCAATGTACTGCTTTACAACCCGCTTGAGAAAGACTGGCTGCAAGCTGTCGATATTGGTCCCGCAGCGGCCTCGAAAACCTAGGAGCAAGCCGGAAGCAACATCCATCTTCCACTCACTCTCATCAGGGGCTTTACCGCCGGCAGTGAATTTGGCATTCTTGTTGGTGTGGAATGTGATTTCTGAAGTCCGGTCCCATTTTCCGTCACCCATACCCCACAGCGACATGGCCGAGATTTTCTCGTCGGTGCCAATCTCGAGAATACACTCTCTGAACGTGTCTGAGCTGGTGTCGCCAGCGGTGGCCTTCTTGCCGTCTGTGAACTCAATCTCAATGCCGTGGAGACAGCCTCGCCTGTAACCGCTCTCGCCCCATTTCATGGTGCCGTCATGAATACGGACTCTTTTCACAACTGGAAAAAAACATGTTAGCTGCTGTGGTAAGCTTTCCGCAAACATAAGCTCTACAATGAGTGGGAAACGTGGAGAAGTTGTAATCCCTAGCAATCGACGGCTAAAATGTGAGGAAGAAGGACACTTACAAGCTCCTGCTTCACCGACTATACTGAAATCGCCTCCTCCGTTTCCGCCGACCGACTTGTTGTCCTGCCAGAATTCTGAAGCAATAGCCATGATAAAAGTGAGTTTCAAATTCTTGGGAGTGAATTCGGTTTTGTGAAAGATGCGAGGGAATGTGCGTGGTAGAAAGCTGTAAGATGCGGTCAATGTAGGAGATGCTGTCTGGGTTGGAAGTTATTATTCGGGGCTGTGAGCGGGAAAATGGTGCCTTATATACTGGAGGCATTAACATATCTCACGATGTTCATATTTGCCCTTGCTAGAAACTTATCAACAACGTAAGGTTCGGCGCTCACAAAGTGGACGAGTAGTAGTTCCTTAGTTGCATCATTTTGATAAGGACACTGCAAATATCATGCAATGCTGTACCGAATTGCTCGTGAATTGCACTCAGCTCATGCAAAGTCAGCAAACGGTCTTTCTGTTCATAGCCTATTGCAACGCCTCACATCGGAAGTGAGGCTGTGAGAGTGCTTCAAACGGCATCACCGTCGGCATTCCCGCCAAGGAATAGGACAGCTGCAACCTGAGCTTGAATTTCATGTCGGCGGGCGCAGTTCTGCATGCCTCATTGGTGCTCAAAAGGCTTAGGCTATTGGCGGGGTGTAATCAGGGTCCTAATACCCTGCGTGCACCGACACCTAAATGCTGGAGATGTCCAGTTCTACTGAGGGGAAGCGTCCGCGTTCCATCCGTTTGGTTCCGGCATTTCAGCCTTGAGATGGATGGATCAAATTGGATGTGCCTAATATCACTAGAATGAGGGTCTCGCGGATAGCCTTACTGTACACCGCCAATCCAGTACACCATCACCCACATCCACACCCAGATGGGTGTGGTCAGACGGTTATCCCGATGTCAGCACTTTTTCTGTTGGATTGTTCGAACAACTTGAGCGAATAAGCTGTAGGAATATGCTTCCTGTATGGCTATTGCGGAATACGCACTTTCCCCAAAGTGAAAATGACTGCAATTTCGGCGGCATCTTTCGCAAGGGTAACAACCCAGAGAGACGAACCCCTCTTTCTGCAGTAGCATCACGATGGTGCATGAAGAGAGAATCAGGATCCGAGTTTCTCCTGGTCCTGGAGGTTATTCGTGCCAGCATAAGTGAGTAAATCTGGGTATGGTAGTGACAGTCACTGCATGTCACCTTATTTGAAAAACACATTCTCTGGCCCTAAAGATGTTGATTCAAGGCATAGCTACAGGCGAGTTTTCCGTCATAAATATGTACAAACCTCTTCTCTTCTGTTATCCTCTGAGTTTCACTGGGCAACAGGTTGATAGGCGATGCAGAAAGTGCATGCGCACGCCACCCGGAACAGGGCCAAGATTTGACTAGTCAAGGGTCCGAATACACTCTTTCCACTGGAGAGTGAAGTCTTAGGAAGTCGCCTATGCACTTGTTTTGTCTTGCAGCACTGAAATGTGGCTTGCGATTCCATTAGACAGCAATTTTAATACTCGTTCAACTCCGTCAACTCTACGGAGTGGATTGTTACAACACCCGAACTAGGCAAGTAACTCACAGTAAATGCAGCTTCTTGTTGGCACGTTCTTCATACTCTTCTTGCTTGCCAAGAGAGAATCCTGCTCAAATTAAAACCATCTTAGTCAGAATTGAGCTGGAAATTTTCCGACAGGCGTTTATGTTGACTCCTTGACCATCGCTTCTGGTCTTATTGATGTGTAGTGGGTTTTACAATTTTGAGAAATGTACGCGTTTATGTCAGAGGGTTTAGTGGAGAAGCATTTATAAGAATTCATGAGATGTTGCGCAGAGCCGAGTTCTTTGGACCCTGGTAGCATCCTTTTGGAACGCCTTTGTCTTCATCGGTCAGACCAGTTCATCGTGATTAATGTCATCACGTGACAACTTCAACACTCTGGAAATTCTAGTTAAGAGATTGGTGCTGGAACAATTCACATGATTTGTTTAAAAGCAGTTGTAGAGACAGTCATACATTATAAATGTATGTTTAACTCTTATTTAACAATCAAGCAGCTATCTCATAGTCCTTAGTTTGCGCAACATCATTATCTCCTCAAGTGCACAGCATCACACCTTTCAGGCTCAGTCATTACAGCTCGAGGAAAAGTCAGCCTGCGACTACCAGAGCCATTGCTTAAAAAATAGCCCCGGCCACCGAGAGGATTCGATTGCCTGAATTAATCTTTATTAATTCCCACTCACTCGCATGCAGGGAATATTGGCTCGGCGGCTTACTGTGCCGCTGACTAGCGTCCTGAATGTTGGCTGTTTCCGAAGCCCAAAATTCTCCTGAAAGGCCCAAGCCTGACATGCTACAGAAATAGCAAAGCTGGACAAGGAAACCTCGTTGACTGATACTCACATTATCCCAGTTGACAGATCAAACGGCTGCGACGGGACAGCAGAACTCTGTTCTTTGGACCATTCTGGAACTTCTAAGACAGCACGCCACTGGACTACTGCACTCTCATTCGGCATAAAGCAGCTGCAGGATGCGGACATCCTCCAGAGCCTGAGGCCCTCGCTTCCCAACAGTCTAGAACGCTTGTGTCGAAATCGGCTAAATTTCCTAATTCGATAGGTAATAAAGCAAACCATCTTGCATACCCTGGCTCATCTTCTTACTCAACAACCAAACGAGGTGCCGTAATGGTTCTAGCGTCAGGCACAAGAGTTGCCGCTAAATGCTGACTATGGCGCCCTACTCGATTGAACCTTTCCGATTCCGTGATAATTATCTTCTCTTCTCTTGCTGAACATCAATTGCGCTGGCCACACTGCGCCCCAAGCTTCTCTGCTGTGCTCCCGACTCCAAGGCATCACACGTGTGAGTTAGTGGCCAGTGTCCCCAGATTGGATGAGACCCCTGACGCCAATTTGTGGTGGACAAGGGGCAGAATCTTTCAATCATTTTATCTGTAATTTCGTCTTTCCAGGCCCAGGGCAGCCATAGGTGGGTGGGGGGTTGCAATCATGCACACCAAGAAATCTATTCGCCTGTCAATGAACATGGCGCCAACAAGCTGAGCTGCCCGTAGTTCCAAATCCTTAAAATGCCACCCACATATGCAAGCTTCCCTAAGGGCGCCATCCCACGCGTCTTTAGTTCCCGGCCCGCAATCGACGCGAGCCGGGAATGGAAGGGTGAAAGGAAAGAAGGTTTGGGCTTCATAATCTCGCCCTCGCCCTGCCGTTCCCACCATGGGTGTCACCGTCAAACCCTTTCACCCTCTTTCGTGTCTTTCTTAGCGTGTCTTTCCGCATCTTCTCTCTTCACTAGGGTTTGTGGCGGCCACTGCCAACATTCTATTCAGAGTCCTTTGCTGCGCTTGGCAATTGAGTTGCGAACCATTTAACCCGCAGCATCCACTCTCGTTTACTGGGGTTGATCCCGATTCCGTGCACATACACCGTTTCCAAAAGCTATCCTTGACACTATCACCGGGACGGAGATAAAGAAATAATGAGAATCAGGCGGTCATCATGCGCCCTCTGGGCTTCGAGCCTGTCGCTAGTTTTTGGTGTATCCGCTGTCGCAGCTCAGAAATTGGAGGAGGTTCTTGAAAAGCAAGCCAACTTGACAACTTTTCGCCGTCTAGTGAAGGTACGGAAGCAAAATTGATGGATGATCAGCACGCCGAATTGCATCAGCGAGTCACGCCGAAGCGCTTGTTTTGCCCAGGCTTGAGTGTCGCATGATGTGCATGCGCAAAGCACGATCAGACATCATTTCTCCCTCCCCAAACTCCATTGCCAATCGAGGAAGCAAAATGGCTGACAGGGGGAAATGACAGGACCATGGCGACATCTTCTCGAAGCTGCCCACATCTGGTGTCACGGTATGTTTCGCACCCCGCTCCAAAGACCTGTCAAACTCGGAAAAGCTTCGGTGATCTGCATGGCAACAGCGGCAAGACCCTTCTCGTGCTGTCAGTTCACACGATGCATAGGCGTCAAGCTAAGGCCTTCCTCTGCTTGAACCACCCACCCACCCATGGACAGGGACCGAAGCTCATCTGCCTTTTGCTAACGAACGTCAGATCCTCGCGCCGAGTGATCAGGCCTACTTGAAAGGCCAAGGCTGGGATGCCAACAAGGACGAGATCTCGGTTGCGCTACTTTACGGCATCATCAACGGAAAAATCAGCTTCGACGCCTTGTTTCCCGGGAACTCATCCATCGAAGACACGTTGCTCACGGACTCACGGTATTCCAACGTCACAGGCGGGCAGAGCGTCCTGGTGACTAAATCGCCCAACAATGAGGTTGTGGTTACTTCGGGCGTCGCACAACGCACTACCGCCATTCGAACCGATATCACCTTCGACGGCGGGCTGATTCAGATCATTGACAGCTTGATGGTGACGCCTGCACGCCTCGAGAAGACGGTACGCGATGCTTACCAGGATTTGACCTCCTTTCTAGGAGCGTTGTACACGACTGACCTCGTATCTGAATTCGCCGAGACGCGGAACGTAACCATATTCGCGCCTCGGAATGCCGCCTTTCAGCAGGTTGCAGGTGCGCTTTCAGGCCTGAGCAAAGATGATCTTCGTCGTGTACTGCGATACCATATCGTCCCCTCAACGGTAGTCGGCAAGGCGGCCCTGGCCAATGGAACCAAGCTGGCGACAGGAATAGACAAGAAGAGTCTGGAAGTGACTCTGTTCAACAACGACATCTTCATAGACTCGGCCCGTATCATCCAGACGGACATCCTTATCGCCAACGGCGTGGTGCAAGTTCTCGATGCAGTTCTCAACGTCAACTCAAACAACACTTCACCGAATGTGACGGCGGTAACACAAGCTCCCGTGTTTACCCTTACAGGCAACACGGAGACGGGTACCGCAGCCCCAACTCCATTCGCCTCCGCATTGCCTTGTACAACGGACTGTCCCGTAACTGGCGGCGGCGGCGGTGGCGGCAACGGCAGCGGCAAAAGTGGGACCGGTACGGCAACGGGCGGGGTGCGGCCCAGCTCTAGTACGGGAGGCGTGGCCCCTGCACGATGTACTGGTGGGATTACTGGCGCAGCCATGGGATTGGGTTTGGCAGTGGGTGTACTAGGGATGGAGGCGATAGGTGTTGTTGTCTGAGGCAATGATAGGCAGGGGAATCATATGAATGAGAGTTGGGATGGTTCGGGCGAGGAAGACAGCCACTCGTCAATTCAACGCTTGTAGTACCTGAAGAAGGAAAGGCGTCAGGTAACGTTTTCTGAGAGTGGTATGCTCCTTGTGTAGCTGAAAAAAGACCAACTGGGAAAACGGAAGTTGAGATACCCGTGCATGACTTAAGAGTACCTCATTTCCAACCTTATTTTGATTTGTTGTCATTCTCCTCTTTCCAACGTATTTACTTTTGATCTTCCTGCCCGCTTGAGTTTGTGTGTATCTCTTGAGCAGTCGCAAGTGAAAGAGAAAGTAAGTTGCTACCTTGTTCCTCCCTTCGCCAGAGACCGTAGATTTCACTGAGAATGATGAGTGGCAGCCAACGATATTGTCACTTGGCTCCCCCCATTGGCTCCAAGATGCATAATTCAATGCAGCTAGAGTTTCGCTTGCACAATAGCTTTTTCACGAACTTTGAATCATGGCAAGTTGGAGTAAATGTAGAAGGCTTCTTCCGCTGTTGCGAGGGATGAGTGACGGGAGGAATGTGTCTTCTGGCAACACTCCATGAGACCCCAACCGTGCACGACTGGTTTTCGTTGTCTTTGAAGCCCCTTATCCCAATTGATGATCCTCAGGAGATCACTGTGTGCTAAGGCTCTGATCTTCCGGGAAAATGCTTGTGCAAGTCAAACAGGGGCCAAGTCCGAGCGGACAACTAGCGCCGGATGAGACCGAGAGAAAAGGCACACGAGTCGTTCCTCGCGCTGAACACATGTTCTAGCGGCTCAGACTCTTTTCACGTGTGGGTGGTGCGGATATGCCACCTCCGGCAAATCTGCTACAGTACGATGGCTGCCAAGAAAGAGCCAAGGATGAGGCTGCGGAAAACCAAGTTGACCGACCGGAGACTTTGGCGATTGGCGAATAGTCAGACTGAAGAGTCTAGCGGTGCTTCTTAGTGACTTTAAGAAGGGCAGTAAGAGGGGGAAAAACAGTAAAGTCAAGTAAGGTAGTTAGTAATTTGTGTCACTTTTCTGTTCCTTCTTTACGTTAGTGACAGTCAAACACTAAATAGCATCACGATGGAAATGCGTAGCAGAACTATCGTAGAATGAGTCCTCCTTCAAAATGATGTTTTCAGATAAAATTCTCCAATATACTGAAACATTGACCCAATCATTCGTTGAGGCCATAGATGGACACGGTGTGCTATCTGGATCTATCATGAAAGTTGGACGCTATGTAATGACCAGGCAATTGACACGACCCTGTGTAGTAGGTGGGCAGTAGCGTTGGCTGCCCTTGAAAAGGACGCTATGGCACGGCGCGGTGTTTTTTGTGCAGGGGCCCCCTTGCAAAGATGCCAAGTTTAAATCTACAGCCGGATGTTTATCTGAACTTGTGAGGGTTGTCGTGTTTCAAAATAGCTTCAGGATTTGGGAGAAAGCAACCCTGGGCAATTGGTCGCTGCTTATCTGGGTGTCAGAACACTCTACAGCCGCCAAAACGAGAGCAAGCGGGTCAGACAGTTTGTTTAGTAAGTTTGGACATGGTCATTTCGGTGTCGGTTTCGACAGGATGTGGAATGAGACGATCCAGGCTGTTAAAACCCCCATGTGTTGCCAATAACATGAGCGTCGCTTTTCCCGAAGTCTTTTCCTCAGCCTTCGGCGATCAGTCCGTCCAAGGCCCCAGTTTTCTTTCCGTTCCTTTCCTTTACGCTGTCTTGCCTGGAGACTTTTGAGCTGGCCTCGTGGATAGCTGTGCTATCTCGCCCTTTCCTTTTTGACTTGGAATAAAGAAGCGAGACTCAGAGTACAGAGGAGTCATACACACAAAGAGGAAGAACGTAGAAGATAAAAATACGATGAGATTCACCTGGTGGATGGTGGCGTACGCCACCGCTGCGCTGGCAGCTCCGCGTCCTCAACAACCGCCTGGCACGCCGACCAACTCGACTCCGACCACGACGGCTCCCACAATGGGGACACCCCCTCCTGGTGCCGGAGGTAATGCGAATGCATGCGGTCAAATTCAACCGATGGTGAACCAGTTCCTCCAGGCAAGCCCCAAAGGTATGTGGTAACTAGGTGTATTTTCACTCTGTGCCAGAGCGCAAAGTCCAAGCCTTTGTAGAAAAGCTATGGATTTGCGATTGGGGACTTTCTTCTCGAACTACATTGGTAACTAACACTTTCGCCAATAGCCAGCCCGCAAGTTCCAGCGCAACTCGCATTCGACTGCCTTCAATCGGTCCCCAACAAGCCGCAGCCAGCGCAGGACCTCATAAAAAGCTTGAAGGCCTACGTTCAGTGGCAAAGCACGCTGTCTTGGTTGAAGAACCCCCCTGGTTCCTACATGTTACCTCCCACCGACATTGAAGGAGGTTTGACGCAAATCGGCGAGAAAGCAACTGCTGGCGGATACAAGAGCGAGTATGATTTCCAGCTCGAAATTTTCCAACTTTTTGCCTCAGCCCATGACGGCCACTTTGCCTTCCGTGGCGACGTCTTTAAGGGATTCAGCTTCCGTAACAAGCTTGCTTCCGATATTGTTTCTGTCTCTCGGGACGGCCTGGAAGTGCCTAAGCTTTACCACTTGGGTAAGTTGATACTACTGGCAGCTAAAGCTTGAAAGGCTGCGGATACTAACGGATGTAGGTCAACTTGATAAAAATGGCTCAGCTCCTGCAATTATTCGAATCAACGGTCGCGATGCTGCGACCATCATAGAAGATTTGAACCTCAAATTCAGTGGTTTTCAGGACCCCGATTCTCAGTGGAACTCCCAGTTCAAGTCCTATGCTTCTAAGGATAGTGCACCCATTGTTGCCGCCGCCCTTGCCTTCCAGGGCAGCAAAGTAACCATTACCTATGATAACGGCGAAGAGCGTTCCGAGGATAGCTTTGCTCTTATCCGCACGGGCGCAAACTTCACCGGGGTCAACAATGGAGAGGATTTCTACAACAAGTTTTGCAACCCGGAAACAGCACCCAAGCCGCCCAGCAACGGGACTAAGCCTGAGCCACCGAAGACCAGCAGCCCACCCCCACCACCTCTGCCCACTATCGAGGGCTACCCTTGGCCTGTTATCCGCGACAGTGGTGCCAACACTACATCTGGGTATTACCTTAACGGAACCGGCTATGATGATGTCGCTGTTCTGGCTGTGTCAGCTTTCTCACCTCCGGATAATATTGATGCCACCGAGTATTTGACCAACTTCCAAAACACTGTTGCCAAATTCCTCGCCGAAAGTAAGAAAGATGGAAAGAAGAAGCTAGTTATTGATGTCGCCGCCAACGGCGGTGGTTTTGTCGTGGCTGGTTTTGAGCTTTTTGCCCAGGTTAGTAACTTCGTATACAACCCTTAGATCCCATTCTGATATCATGCCAGTTATTCCCGGACGTCAATCGCTTCCAGGCAAACAACCTCCGTCTCACAGACAGTATGAACAATCTGGCTCGTCTTGCTGCCGCTATCCCGGCCAACTTCACTCCTTCTTCTCAGGAAGAAAAGGAAGCTCTTGACGCACTCTCTGGAAGTGCTGTTGTTAGCAACCTGCTTCCTGGCGGTGTATTCACCGTCGACCAGAAAGACTTCCAGTCGGTTGATCAGATCTTGGGACCGGTATCTCTTAACGGTGATACTTTTACAGCTTATCAAGAGGCCCCTCTCAACATGAGCGACCCCTCATTCAACCTTACTGGTGTTGGTTCCAAAGCGAACCCTCCTCCCCGCGTGTTCGCCCCGGAGGACGTTGTTCTCTTCACCGACGGTACCTGCGGCTCAACATGTACCATTTTCTCGTACCTGATGATTCTACAAATGGGTATCAAGACTACTGTCATCGGTGGACGCCCTCAAAATGGCATCATGCAGTCCATTGCGGGTGTAGAAGGAGCCCAGGTTTTCTCCTTCAACGATCTGACCTCGGACGCCAAATCAATCCTCGCATTGGCCCCCAAAGACAAGAAGGAAGAACTCCAGAACAGTGAGCTAGGAGAACTCGCAAAGGGCTACGCCATTAAGCGTGCAACAACGCCTAAGTCTGCCGGAGCTGTCAATGGCAAGAACGCCTTCTCAATGGCGGACGCCCGTACGCCGCTGCAGTTCCTTTGGGAGCCGGCTAACTGCCGCATATTCTTCACGCATGAAATGATTAGCAAACCTGACGTTGCGTGGAAGCGTGTGGTTGACGCTACGTGGAGCAATCCCACCCAGTTCTGCGTGTCAGGCAGCCAAGTTCCTGTGAACAAGACGACCACCTTGGATCCTTTCTTCCGAGCGGGCAAGAACACTCCCGGTGTTGGAAGCGCAGCTTCTGATCTTGTAACTGGTGCTGGAATGAGACTAGCGGTTTTGGTTGCAACATTTACAGTTGCCTTGTTAAGCCTATAGAGTTACATCTTGACTCCATTTTCTCGTTTGAGAAAAGCGAATAGCCGTCTGAAAAATGGCGGGTTTCACAAAAACAGAGACCGCCCAGTTTCAAAAGCGAACTTTCTCAGTTGCTTCAAAGCAAGGGGTAACAAACTTGAGTTTAGCACATCATCAGGTTACTCCGACTTTAAGTCTAACATGCGTTGGGCCCACGAGTCATTTTGGGTTACTGCAACGGGCACCGTACGTCGTGGACTGCAGTTGGGACGAGAGGGGTTAAGATCTAAAAGCAACAATTACTCCGAACCTTGAGTTTACACTGATAATCGGCAAGGTTCCAGCAGGGAGAAAACGCCTGTCAGAAGGTGGGACTAAGCGGCATATCTTAGGTTTCTGAATTCACATTGGAAAGAATGGGATTTATTTGCCGCCTTTGTATCGCTTGGCCCGTTGCTTGAGCCGTATAGTACAACAATTATTTTAAATGCCTTCCAATAATTCTTTAATAGGGTCGCAATCATATTTCATTCACATCATTATCGCCTTCAATGTTTTTTTGTGTCGAGAGACAAGAGGTCTTCTGGTCGACTTCCATCTCGACAAGGATATCACAGCTAACATGCGATGCTAGGACAAATCAGCACATCGCTTCGGTTTTCGGAATATCGGGAAATATCCGATCTGTAGGCAAGTAGTTGTGGGTGTCTATAGTCAACCTTAAATAAGATGAAATTGTGAAACAAGGGTAAGCCCATGGGCAAATCAAAGTGAGCCTTCCATCATGGTTCCCTAGGACAGACATGTACGAACTGGAGCGCCTTCAACGGTTTCAGTATCCTAACATGATGAGCAAGTCACTGAAGAACGAGACTCATTAACAAGAATGATTTTCGCGCAACTAATTGTGTTTATCCTTCCCTCACAACTTAGTACGGGTGGCTTTCGCATGGCACAGCCTACGCAGTAGACCAACTATGGGGTATTCTTCACCTTCGTGGGCGTTTCTCCCGGACCGATCATGGCTTTCGTACATGAACTGACAAGGTCCAGGTAATGTATCAACAAGGAAGGTAATATTTTGGATGGCTTCGATGAATGAACGGAAGAAAGGAAGAGTTTGTTTTCATCCTCCACAAATACCGGTTTTCAACCACAAACATACCCAAAGTTTTAAGCAGTAGGCTGTTGTCATTTTGAGACTGTATGATTATTGAGAAATTGTCCCTTTTTAAGTCATAACGTAAGAAAGGTAACTACGAATACAAAGGTCTTCAAACTTGAATTTGATGCTTGGTATTTCTTTTAGCCACAATGCTTATCCAGAGACATTTAGGCCTTTATCCCTTCTCTCTCTCTCTCTCTCTCTCTCTCTCTCTCTCTCTCTCTATCTATCTATCTATCTTTCTTTTTTTTTTTCAATTTTTTTTTCCAAACAGCCTTATATATATCTGGATATCCTCAAAAGTTTTGATGAGTGAGTCGTGTTGGAGACTGAAATGTGACGAAACCATACATGCATGCCTGTCAATTGTTCACAAGACCCATTGCTCAGCGAAATTGGTATTTCAAAAGTCTCTCAAATGTTGACTTTGATACACGATGTTTTCATGGCTTAATTCAGTCATATCCTTGTCCTTTATCCTTGAAATACTCACTTTACGGCTCAACACCTCGCCTCTTATCCAGTCTGCGCTTATGTTAACGTGGCAATACTTAATGCGCCGGCGTGTATTCTCTACAGTCCAGATGATGCAGTAAGCCAGGAGAAGACTTGATCTGTGAGGCACCTGTGGGTTCAAATGATATATGAAAGTAGGCTCCAGGTTCTTTTGCCCTGAAAGAGCCATAATCACGAGGCGAGTCCAATGACCATCTCTTACCGACGTCCCATGGGCCCCGATTAGGCCGCAGAAACAGATACCTATCCGGTCTCACCCGAAATTCTGGCGGGAAGGTCCATGTTCCTGCATGGCGATGACATTCCAAATTGAACCACGATCCATTTTGATGCGGAACTGTAATGCGGTGAAAGCTGTGCAGGAACCAATGAAGTCTGTAAGCCACAGGACTCCATTCAGACAAAGGTACGCAGTCCAATTTGCCCTTGCAGCGACTAAAGCGTCACAGTGGCACAGGGCAGCATTCATGTGGCTAAGGTAGCCAAGAGAGACGTTGCTGATCAAACCGAAGCGGACCAACCCGATAGCAAAGATTTTTTTTTACCGCTGCGGGGTAGATACTAGAATAGCGAGATCGTGAATGCGTGATGAGCCAAGAAGCAGAAGCCGAGAGCGCCGTATTCTAGCCGTGATGCATGCCGTGCCTTTTTTCCAACGCAAGGGGCGAGCAAAGTGGTGTGTGCGCACCTTCATGAGTCCCCACGTTCTTTGGCGGTAAAAAAGCAACGCCCCGGTGTTTACCTCGATGCGCTCGAATGAGAGCCGTCAATTGCCTCTTCTAACTCCGGTAGATGACGCAGTGGATCCGGGGGACATCCCGGTCCAAGCCCGGATGCTCCCTCGTTTCTCCAACTTCCCCTCATTTTACCATCTCCTCACAAACACTCGTAAGGCCGGCCATCTGAACTCTTCCTAGTCATCGTCTAGCTTCCCCACATCAGCGAAGAGAAAATTGGACCAAATGTCCGCCTCTACAAGTAGGCAACGGAGCCGAGCAAGCCATTTTCAATATAACCAGCGTTGCGCCGATGTAACGGTCGTTTATCACTCAGAGGCCTTTGACCGTCCAATCCTGACTCCTATTCAGTCGAATCCCTGTTACTCCCACATGAACACGCGATATGTCAACCGAGCAGAAGTTCATTGCCCCTGCGGGGGCCACGGCGTAATTCCCGGCCACAGCTCCTCACCTCGGGCCTGAAGCCACCGACATGCGACACTGACGAAACTGATGTACCCGATACAAAGCAGATTGATGATGGTAATTGCGGAGAGAGCGACAAGGTGTTAATAGAATGCGGGGTGGCCGGAGAGGCTGGGCAGGTCGTGGCATTACGAGATGATCAACCCATTGTGATTGAGCAGTTATGCGCACGAAGTAACGGCGTTTGCACTACCCCCGACCCCAGATACTTGGTTCGGCAGGCTACTTCAATGCTACGCGATCATGCTTACATCAACGCGGTTTATTGAGGCCTGCGGGGGTCGGATCACTTTGTAGCGGAAGGTCCTTGGATTGAGACCAGTATAAAGACGATGTTTGTCCGCGTTTTGGCGCTTCATTTCCGGACCTTGTCTGACACCTTTGCGTCATTGCACCCTTAGTTTCAAGTCATTGGGAAGCAAAATGGTGTCACTCAAGTCGGCCGTTTTGGCTGCCACCTATGCCATCTCAGCTGCTGCTGTTGATATCGCCGTGAAATCTACCGGTGGTAACGCTACTAGCGGCCACCAGTATGGATTCCTCCACGAGGTATGTGCTTTGCTCGCCGTCACATACTATACACCCCTCGACTAACACATCTTAGGATATCAACAACTCTGGTGACGGTGGTATCTATGCTGAACTGATTCGCAACCGCGCTTTCCAGTTCAGCAACAGGTTCCCTGTCTCGCTTGACGGATGGCACTCTATTAACGGCGCCGTCTTGACTCTCAAGAACCTCAGCGAGCCTCTTTCTGCCGCCCTTCCTGTCTCCGTCAACGTTGCCGGTGGCAATGGCTCAAAAGCGATCGGTCTCGAGAACGATGGTTACTGGGGCATGGATGTCAGGCAACAGAAATACACCGGCTCTTTCTGGGTCAAGGGTGCCTACGATGGCGTATTCACTGCCTCATTGAAGTCTGCCCTTAACGACGATGTGTTCGGCTCCGTTGAGATCCAGTCCAAGTCCAAGGCAGACGAGTGGGTTGAGCACGCGGTCGAGCTCATTCCTACCAAGGATGCTCCTAACAGCAACAACACCTTTGCCATTACTTTTGACGCTGCGGTATGAAGCCCCCTTCTAGCTCACCCATGATTTCAGTAACTAACTGTCTCTTCAACAGGCCGCTGCTGACGGCTCGCTCGACTTCAACTTGATCAGCTTGTTCCCCCCCACCTACAAGAACCGCAAGAACGGTCTGCGTGTTGATATCGCTGAGGCTCTCGCTGAGCTGCACCCTGTAAGGTCCCATTTCCCCGTAAAAAACTTGTAAATTTGACTTCTTACATATGGACAGAGTCTGCTTCGCTTCCCCGGTGGTAACATGCTTGAGGGCATTGACAACAAGACCTACTGGGACTGGAAGGACACTCTTGGTCCTCTCAGAAACCGTCCTGGTTTCCAAGGGGTCTGGAACTACCAGCAGACCCACGGTTTGGGTCTCATGGAGTACCTTGAGTGGGCCGAGGATATGGACCTGACTATTGGTGAGCAATGATGATGAACCTACGACGTCAGGGCTGTCACTAACACATATTTCAGTTATTGGTGTTTGGGCCGGTCTCGCTTTGAACGGCGATGTCACTCCTAAGGAGGACCTCCAGCCTTTCATTGACGACGCACTTGATCAGATCGAGTTCATCCGTGGCCCTGTCGATACCAAATGGGGAGCTCGTCGCGCTGAGCTCGGTCACCCTGAGCCTTTCGATCTGCAGATGGTCGAAATCGGAAACGAGGACTGGCTTGCCGGTTACCCTGGCGGCTGGACATCGTACAAGGAGTACCGCTTCCCCATGTTCATGGAGGCTATCCTCGCCAAGTACCCTGACATTACTGTCATCTCTTCTGGTGCCTCTACCGATGGTGATGGTTTTGACATTCCTGCCCCTGGCGTTGGTGACTATCACCCCTACCGTACCCCCGATGCTCTTGTTGATGAGTTCGATCGCTTCGACAACGACGTCCCGCATATCGTCGGCGAAGTTGCCGCCACTCACCCCAACGGCGGCATCGGCTGGGACGGCGACCTGATGAGCTTCCCCTGGTGGATTGGCACTGTTGGTGAGGCCGTTTCTCTGATCGGCTACGAGCGCAACGCCGACCGCGTCCCCGGTACCTTCTACGCCCCTGTCCTCCGCAACATGAACCGCTGGCAGTGGGCCGTCACCATCGTCCAGTTCGCCGCTGATCCTAAGATGACTACCCGATCTACCAGCTGGTACGTCTGGGAGCTCTTCGCTGCTCACCCTCTGTCGCACACCCTTGAGGCTTCCGCGGACTTTGGCCCTGTCTACTACGTCGCTGGAAAGAACGAGGCCAAGGGCAACTTCATCTGGAAGGGTGCTGCCTACAACACTACCAACAGCGAAGACGTCCCCGTCACTGTCAAGTTTGAGGGTGTTGAGGCCGGCACCAAGGCTTCTCTGACTCTCCTGACCAACCCCAGCGGAGACCCGTTCGCTTACAACGATCCCCACACCGGTGTCAACATTGTCGACAGCAAGACTGTTGTCCTGACTGCCAACGAGGATGGTGCTTTCAACTTCACTCTTCCTGAGTTGAGCGTTGCCGTTTTGGACACGGATGTTGGCGCTGAGAAAGCTGCTCGCGCCGTCAAGAAGCCTTTCTTCGCGTAAGGCGATGATTTTCGAACAAATTGACAAGTAACTTTGTTATCACAAGACCAAATATAAAGTTGTGAAATGCGTAGAAGTCTCAGTCATACATCAGGAACGTGACTATCTGTTCTCATGTGACATCATCGAAGTTGAGGGCATAGCCCAGTCCCTTACTGTGACAACACTTGATAGTAAATGGTCAGAGAGATAGATTTCCGTGCTGCAGAGGTGTATTTACAACTTCGGGCTGATAGACCATCTAACAACGCATCGATTGGTCGAATTGGGGACTATATCAATCTGTCACAGGCAATCATCTTGCCCTAGTCACTGCTAATTTGCGCCGCTAAACTTCAGCTCTTGCCCTGAAACGCCTTGTAAGACGTTTCCGATTCCTGGCACGTTGCCATTTCCACCCCGCTGCATAATCGCAGGATAGTTATCAGAAATCAGTTGAATTCCAGAAGCGAATCCTTTCCCATCGAACTGGCAGTGCCCCCCGTTCGGTTTGTTGTTGGCCGTTTGAAGCTTGTTTATCTTGTCTTTCTTCATTCCTTTGTCCGCAGCGACCTGCTCATAGACCTTGATGGCGGCTTTGATAGACCCTTGAAGGTTCTGGGATTCCTTCTGAGTAGACTGATAGTGAATTCGAGTTTTCATTATAGCGTCACGCGACGATGACTCGATGGTTACCCGAGGCTCCATCGCGCCGCATCCTAACATGACACCGTTGCCCGCAAAATTGCCCAAGTGAGCTGGGATGAAGTACCCAGAGAGCATGAGCGAGCCGCCAGAGATGCCAGTGAAATATACATTAGATGCATTGAATGCCATGTACTTAGGCAGCGTCTTTTGGACAAGGTCGTTGACAGCTTGTGCGTGGGCCACTCCATTGGTTCGGTTGAAGCCTCTACCACCGCCCCAGTGGAGGTTTTTGTCAGGAGCGAGGACAGTCACACCAGCCAAGTTATTCTTGACGCCCTGGTTTGGCATATCAAAGAAAGACTGTCCACTGTCACCATGTAGCAAAACATGGAGGCCGATGTCGCCCTTTGAGTCGGGCTCTTTCCCCCCTCCGGGAACTTTACTCATTTTGGTGAACTGTCCAGCAGGGCCACTGATGCGGAAGCGGATCTCAAGCCCGCTGAGTTTGCCATCAGCCGTTGCAAATGTAAGTCAACAGGATATAGTGACTAACTTACTTTACCATCTCCGTAGTATCAAGAATGACGGAGCCATCTTTGGCTTGGCTAATACCTTGAGGCACTTTCTTGGCCTTGTCGGCTGGTGACTCTTTATTATCGTTCTGCGGTATGGGTTGAGGCGCACTTTGAGCCAAGTTCAAGAGCACAGCTAACAAGAGCAATGCACTGCCATGAGCACGAGAAATAATCTTCATCTTCACAGTCACCGGCTCAAATATTTCGGTAATGTAAAACAAATTCTTCGTAGTGATGGCCAATTCCAATCCAAGTCCACCTTCGCCTATGTTCGCTTATAATGGACATCGTATCATTATATCCTGTTTAATTGGATTGAATAAGCTAGGTTACTACTGATTAAAGGTTCAAACCTAGCTGATTCTTGCCTTTCAACCTCATGATTTGAAAAATATTCCAAAAATGAGGGGGAAGGTTTTCTCGAGTGTTGTTTCATCCTGAGTTTGAAGTGTTTACGCCAATCGGGTTTAACAATCCCGCAAAAAGGGTGTTCGCTTCTGTGCGTTTGATTGATGCGCTAAGGTTGGGGTAGGGCAACTACATTTTGGTTAAAACTATATGTTTCCAATACCGGACGGAGAGGTCCAGATCTATCCTCCCAGCCCTCAAACCAGTTAACAGCTTATGAAGTGGCACGGCATTGACCACTACAGGCTTCTTCAATAGTGACTGTAACGGGCCTTTACACCTGTATGCTTATGTGTGAAGTTTGTACTGTAGAGGAATTGGTACTTTACGCCAATTGCACAGAGCTCCTTAGTTACGAGAACGAACTGCAGCACCAATAACCATCTTGTTCGTATATTTCATGCCTTACTGCTATAAATGGTGGTGTTTCTATGTGTCATAGGTTCTGGATACATTTTGCACTAGAACCACTTGACTGATCCCGCTCCCGAAGCTTTCCAGATAGCTTTCAGTTTCCCTGCTCAGATATCCCTAGTAACACCATTAAACTTTTCTTTACATGTTAGTAAGCCTTTTCTCAAAGACAAGCCATGGTCTGAAGTGGTCTAAGAATGAAAAGAAGAGGGCCAGACAAACCGAGACAAAGGATTTGTTGTATGTTACCTCTATTGCCATTCCTTGTCAAGAACGGTAAGATTCTCATAGCCCCTTTTGACTATTTCTGTGTCGATAACTATCACGGCAGTAAATTTTGCACCGTGGTCTTGACTGTTGTTTTCGGAAACCGTATGATGGCAACCCGGCATTTCCATGAAACCCTCCCCTACTTCATACAGCTTAGGAGGGTTACCATTCATGCCGCTGAGGAGGGTTCCCTCTGTTACGCGAGCCACAACAGTGGCTCCTGAATGCCGATGAGGGGGCGTGAAGCCGCCTGGAGGATACGTAACCTCAATACCGACAATGGACATTCCGGGCGCGTTCTTAAGCTCGTGGTCGTATAAGATCTTCACAGATTCCCGTGGTCGAGACCTGAAAGCCGTTAACCTTGCCGGTGTAAAAAAAAGATGGTCAAGACCTACTGGTTGCTTTCCGACTTGCTGTCCATGATTTGTAACGATAAGAGCTCTGTGTGCGTAAGGTACTGGTTGCAATACTACGAGAACAGGAAATATTTAGGAGGGAAATTAGTTGATTTTAAATTTAGCAGGTTCAGGAATAGTCACCCGTGGCATTCAATGCCGGGAAGCCACAGCGGACACTATGATGTCTTCGGGATTGTTGGAGCGACGAATCTGATTGGAAGACCGAGCCATCATACCATACCCGTCCTCGCGGGTATCCGGGTATCCGGCCCCACTCTATCTTCCGAGGCGACCGTATCGGTTTCCCGATGGACATCTTTGTAAGCTTAGATCATCAGCCCAACCGGATCTGAAGTGATTTGTTATGGATATTTCAGACAACAGTTACACATTCGAAATGCGATTTAATTACTCATAACATCGAGCGACAAGGCATCAAACCAACATACTCTTCGATTTACGAAATGAAGGCTGTTCAGATTCTAGGGGACGTCTCATCCCCGAAAATCACCGTCAATGATTCATTGATACAACCCAAGCCGACAGGATCTGAAATCTTGATTCGAGTTCACGCCGCCGGTATCACAGGTGATGAGGTTCTTTGGCCTGAAGTTTACACCACGCCATCGAGGATTCCTGGACATGACATATCGGGTGTCATTGCCGCGCTTGGTCCTGACTACAGCGGACCCCTGGAACTGGGTCAAGAAGTCTTTGCTTTCATCGCTGCAGAAAGGGGTCAAGGCCAAGCTCAATACGCTATTTGCCTTCCCAACGAAGTCGCCCCCAAGCCGAAATCCATAACCCATGAAGAAGCCGCAGCACTGCCGATTCCGCTCCTCACAGCCTGGGAGGCAATTGTGGACCACTGCAAGATCCAGAGTGGGATGAGAGTTTTCGTTTCTGGGGCATCGGGTGCAGTTGGCCAGATTGCAGTCCAGCTTCTCACTCAGCAGGCTGGCGCTCACGTTATAGCCTTAGCTTCGTCTCACAATCATCACACTCTGAAAGCGCTTGGAGCTCAAGAGTTGTTCGACTACAAGGTCCCAGGCTGGGAGAACCACATAAAAGATGTGGACGCTGTGTTGGACACCGTTGGTGGTGATGTCTTGTCTAAATCTTGGGACATTGTGAAAGCCGACGGAGTTATCGCCACAGTTGCCGACCCCCCTCCTCCTTGGGCATTTGAGAAAAGCCTGCCGGATGAACATGCTGATCGTCCTCATGTGCGTTACAAGTATTTTGTCGTCTCGCCCAATATGGAGAGGCTCCTGCAAGCATCCGAGCTGATAGACATGGATTCTTTCAAACCCTTAGCCATAACATCGTATCCGTTAAAAGATGCAGAGATGGCTTGGGAGGTTTCTCGGCAGAGGGGTCATGGGAAGAAGGTCGTTATCACTATGTTGGAAAATGATGAATGATCAAAGATGCGAGGAAGATTTAATCAAAAGATGATTTGTGAAAGTCAGACTAAAAGTTGCCCTTCTAAATGCTGCATCGCCTAATAAACCTCTTGTTCATGCACAGTCCTTGAAGCAAGAACCGATGGACGACTGATTATCTGCAGCGCTTCACTGATCACTAAAACCAAACCAGCCTTTCATGTGTTTCCGCTTTCAGGGGCTAAAACAATACTCTTGAAGAGATACGCCGTGGTTAGTTCCACAATAAGCCCCTATCGTAAAAGGTTTGACACCAGGAGTTGGCCACAGGCATTGTAACTTAACATAAAAGCAAAACATGAAGTTATAGGGCTGAAGCTAGTCTTTCTTTCAAAAATAAGTAAATAGTAACATAAGCGGTCTATAGGGTGATAGTTGAAATCACTAATGAGATCTTATCTCATAACGTCGCACACCCACTTCTCGCACACCCCCACATTTCGCACACCCATAAATTGGGTCATCATGAGGTATTCATCAACTTCATAACTATAAGTCTGATTCGTCTCCTGCAACTGTGATACTATCGCCAGTTTTAATAGGTAATTCAGGCTCGCTAGATTCATCTGAGCTATCCTCAATTTCGCCAGCCTCAATTTGGGCTTTGTGAATTGCCTCAATGTTGGCAAACTTCGAATTTGGGCTCATTTGGACCTTACGCCGCTTCCGTACCATTCCAGCCTCAACTTCTGCTTCCAACATTGCAATCTTCTTCTCTGCTGTAGCCAATTGATAGTCCTTTTCATCAAATCCCTTTTGAACCTTCCGAAACAACAGTCGCTGCGTTTGCTGATCTTTATCCAACTTGCTGAATAAGCTAAGTTGATCATATAGATCAACTGTCTTCTTGGGCGTTGACCAGGCTACTATGGATGTAGCAGATGCCCAGTTTTCGTCTTTTCCACCATCAGAGGCCCTCATAGGCGTAGAATAGCCTGGCTTTGAGGGCTTGGAAGCATTCTCAAGCAGTAGAGGGCTCATGAGCGGTCGAGCTATCGAAATGGGCCATAGTCCTGTTGCTTTCCAGCCGCTTCTGATATTCTTGCTTGAAAATGCCATCTGGCGTGCTTTTCCATAGCAGGTAAGAAAGTTCCGTTTGCCTACAACTGTAGAATCGTTGTGTTGAATGAGGTATCCAAGCTCTTTTCGATAGGTCGCCTTGAGAGGCCCAAAGACTGCTTGGTCTAGAGGTTGGAGAACGTGGGATGTATGTGGCGGTAGGAAAAGGAGATATATCTTGTGTTTATAACAGAGATACATAAATTCTGTTGTTTCATGACTGCCATGACCGTCTAGGATCAATAGTCTCTGCTCAGAGGGATGATCAGGCTTAGTCAGAGGGATAAAGATGTTCTCAAGCCATTCCACAGCTGTAGAGTCTGAAGTCCAGCCATTCTCAGTTGCTGTGAACTTCCAACCACTGTAAATATCACGTTTATGGATATCAAGAGGAAACCATTGTTGTTGAACCGATTTCCCTCGATAAATAACAAGTGGAGGAAGCGCCTGACCAGTTGCAGAGACACACTCAAGCATAGTTGTCCAAGCCCGAGACCCAGGCTGTTTTTTTCGCATTGATGAGCTTTCTGATGATCCCAGTACTAAGCCATTTGATCCTCTGCCTTCTAGGATACCAGTTTCATCCATGTTATAGCGATGATGTGGTTTGATCGCCTTGATCTCTGGAAGGGCGAGTTGTTGAAACCATTGCCTGATTACATTAGTTGAGGCCCCATTGACACGCTTAGAATCGATGGCTCTAGCTCTATGAACCTTGATTGATGGATTTCTCTTAATAAAGAACTGAATCCAGTTTCTCCCAAGTGGCTGGGTAGTGCCTCTGATGTCTAGGATTCGCTGGGCAAATTCCTTGAGTTGTTGATGTGTTGGCGGCAGCCCTAACGCCGCCTGGATACGCACCCATTCAGCTAAGTGACTTTCCTGTGCTGGAGATAGCTTCTGGAAGCTAGAGAAAGCTACATTTCTTGCCTGTGAACCCTTTAATCGAGACTGGAGGGTTGATGGTGGAATTCCAGCATCATGAGCTGCCTTTCGGACACTCTGCCCACTTGCAACTGCATTGAGAGCTTGATTGACTTCTGTTTCCGTATACTGGCCCATTAAGCGTATAAGAGTAACTATTCAAAGAATTATAATAATCGCTGTAAAAGTGGTGAAGATATTAAAGAATGTTGAAGAGGGTAAAATTCTACATGAGCGATTTATGGGTGTGCGAAATGTGGGGGTGTGCGAGAAGTGGGTGTGCGACGTTATTGGACGACTCGGCTTCCATCCACTGCGCGAAGTCTGGGCCTATATCACTTAGGCTGTACCATCCACACACATCTTCCATTGATCCCAGGGATGCAAGAACGTCAGTTTCACTCCCTGATGCTTCAGGTTCCGATCCAACACTTCCCTGACCTTCACCTCCTGATAGACTTGGCACGCTGCTGGAACTCCCGATGCTGCCAATGTTCGCAGTAGGCTTTTTTAAACCCAGCACATGTCGAGCAATGATTTGTATTTCCTTCACATTGCTTGCGGTCCTACGCCACATTTCGCCCACAGCTTTCAGACAGCCAATCGTCATCCGGATCTGGTCTCTTGCAATCGCCAACTGCTTTCCTTTAAGCATGAAATGACACGCTGATAGAAGTGCTAAAGTCCCTTCGCTAATCATGCAGGTAATAAAGGGAGTATGGTGGAATGGCCGCACAGGCAGTGCCAAGAGTCTTATTTGAGATTCAACGGCCCGTAGGACTCTCACAGTATGCACGTTAATGAGCTCCGATGTAGGATTATCTGGAGGTGGTTCTCGTGCACAAGTCGAAACATCTTCCACGGGGTTGAACTTGAGATCTGACAAAGGCCTATGCAAGGCTATGGTAGCACTAGGGGAAGACTCAGTTTCTATTCATCTTGCGTCATCGTGGATGAAGTCTGTCAAATTACTTACACCTCAACAAGTAGTTGTGCTTGAAACATAAGCTCATCGATCTCCCCAGTCTTCGTCATGACTGGTTTGCTGTTCTTGGGTAACAGGAGCGACCATCCATCAATGATTGAGTCGGCTGAGTGGATTACATGCGCTGATGTTTCTTTTGATGCAACCTTCGGTGCTGTAGATATTGCCAAAGCTGCGCACCGAACGGCACCAATGAGGTAGGCGAAAGATGAAAATGAGGTTTCTTCAGCAGCAAATTCTCGAGAGTCGAAGTCATCGAGTGTTTGGGGCTCAGGAATGTTCTACAAAAGGTAAGCGGTCTTGACGCAAACTCTAGAATTGTTGCAAATGCTCACGCCTGAATCGTATTCAGCTTCTTCACAGGGAAGCTCCACCGTCGACTCAACATCCACAACTGTGAAGTTCATGGTTCCCAAGGTTCCGGCGTAGTATGCATCCACAATGTACAACATCCACCACGTTCTTCGCCAAGACTCCGCTACCACTGAGTCGTTCATTCCATGATTCATTGAAAATTCTTTCCGATGCATTTGGAGCTCCATAGCAAGTTTTGCTGCAGCGTCCATTTGAACTTTTGCCTCTTCTTTGTAACTAGACCAAAACAGAGCGATGGAATACAAAAGGCGGCACTGAACCAGAACTGGATTCAGCGCGGGTGTTCGCGCAATGCAGACCTCCAGCTGTTCTTTGAGGAACTCAGACCATTTGTGATGTGCGTAAATATGGCCAATCAGGCGCATTGCAGAGATTAGTGGTTCAAAACTGAGCCGTCTTTCAGGGTCCTGGCAGATCCGTAGCATCTGCTTTCTCGGCAGCGGAAAAGGATGAAAACTGTGGAAATTCTTGTAATACGAATCAACCAAGTTGTCGGTTGTAATGTCGATCATGCCCATGTCAGGCACTGCAGCCGATCCAAAACCAGGGGTTCCATTGCCAAAGATAATTCCTTCAGGTAGGTCATAGTTGTTGGATAAAGAGGGTCCTTGGCTCTCCTGCTCCGAAACAAGAAATTCCGAAGATTCCAAAGAATTTCTTGACCTAACATCATCTTCGGTTGCTGCAAGCCGCTTCCGCCGCTCCGCCAGAGCCGCACGATCCAGACCCCCTCGTCGTGATGGGGCGTAGTGACATGGTTTCTCGAACTCGACACAACGGCTGCATTGAGGTTGCTTTCCGTCACATTTTAGATGCCGCGATCGACAGGGTAGACAGGCAAGAGAAGACCTCGTTGCTCCCCTTGGTTGCGAAACTGTATTGTTGACGGTGATCATGGTGGGTGGTTGAAGGGATGGAGTTTGTTGACGGGTTCATCGTAAGGTTTGAAAGCGGGGACGCGGGTACCCGGGTATCCGGTTACTCGATGCGGCATAGCGGCACGGGTAATCGACACGAGCCGGCAGCCTATGACGGGGCTTTTCGACTCGGCAAGTCTAGCACCCTTAGTAACGCCACACAGCGGGATTTGGAGATGTGCGGGAATCTGCAACATTCCTGTCAATTGGAAATGATGCGAAGCGGTTTGTCTGACTATATAAACAGTATCTATAATAGAAGGATGGATTCTCGTGCTCATAGCCACACATAATAAGATCGTAAACATACTATCTGCTACCAACAACAATCTCTACTACTTTCAGCAACTTACACCATGTCACAATCTATCGTCATCATTGGGGCTGGCTTTGCTGGTGTTTGGAGCGCTCTCTCAGCTAAGCGCCTCATCAACCTCAACAACAGAGCCAATGAATTCAAAATCCTTGTCATAGCTCCGGAACCGTCGCTGGTCATGCGCCCACGATTATACGAAGCCAACGCAGCAAACATGAGCCACTCTCTGACAACTCTGTTTGAATCTGCTGGAATCGATTTTCTCCAGGGCAAAGCCGAAAATATTGACACCGATGAACAGACCGTTCGCGTTCGAACTGTTGCCGGCACTGAGACTACCGTTTCTTATGATCGACTCATCCTAGCAGCTGGGAGCTTTGTCAACCGGCCTCGTACCGTTGATGGACTCGATGAATATGCGTTCGATATAGACACCCTAGACTCAGCCACTAAGCTTGAAAAGCACCTCGAAAATCTCGCATCTCTACCTCAAACCCCAGCCCGCGACACGGTTGTTATCTGTGGTGCTGGCTTTACGGGTATCGAGCTTGCAGCTGAGCTGCCCAAGCGCCTCCAACATATCACCAACCCGCGCATCGTTCTAGTAGAAAGCGAGGCCCAGCTCGGACCAGAGCTTGGTCCTGGACCTCGTCCCACGATCATTAAGGCTCTTCGTCACCTCAATGTGGAAGCAAAGCTTGGGTCTGCAGTCTCTAAAGTTGACGCTCATGGTGTGACTCTTGTATCTGGAGAACGCATCGAAGCAAAGACAACTGTTTGGACTGCCGGAATGCGAGCAACACCCCTAGCACAGCAAATCCCGGGAGCCAGAGACGCCCTTGGTCGCCTTCATGTGGATCGATTTCTCCAAACCGAGACAACTAAGAACGTCTTTGCGACGGGCGATGCAGCCTATGCCCTTGCTGATAACGAAGGCCATCACGTATTGATGTCTTGTCAGCATGCGCTTCAGCTTGGGCGCGTGTCTGGCCATAATGCTGCCGCTGCACTTCTTGGTCAGACGATGACAGAGTATTCACAGCCTGCCTACGAGTGCTGCCTTGATCTTGGGTCTTGGGGAGCAGTAATTGGCCGAGGGTGGGAGAGAGAGGTTAAGTTTTCCGGGGCTCCAGCAAAGCGGGTGAAGGGGTATATCAACGGAACATTGATCTATCCTCCCAACAATGCCGATGAGGCCATTGAGAAGGCAAACCCTGTCGGCCCTGGTTCGGATGAACTTCTCAAACGTGTTCTCGAGGTGGTCGCATAGATTTCAGAATACAGGTCTACATTTCTTTTCTGTTTAGTTTAGCTTACTTAGACATTGAACTTACTAATTAGACAATTAACTCGCGTTTATCATCATGTTGCAGATGCCGTAACGTTGCATTTTACAGCAACTATCTATGCCAAAGTGGAACCGGGTCCAGCTTTCAATACTTATGGTTTCTATCAAGTACTAAAATTGTATTCGATTCAACAAAAGTCTTGTCACACCATGTTGGACCATCACAAAACTGCATGTCGACCACAAACTGAGACAGAGTGGTATGGTCAGGCCTTATGACGTCATATTGTATCTATCGAGTTTAGCTAACAGGTTGAATTATTCATCGGGATTGGTTCAGCCGACGCTGGGATGCGCCCCAATGATTCGGTACTGGTGCTCTGTGGTGCCCCCACTGAGAAACCCCCTCCTTCGGACGACAGCGCACCGATGTTGAGTGGAGCAGCCCATGCCACGTCTCCGTCCAATTCACTCATTAAAACCCAGACTGCTTTATAGTAGCCTCGAGCAAAGAAGAATCATCATAATTAAGTCTTCTGGAAAATTGTTACAAAACAGTCAAGATGTCTATGTCCACTGAAGATTGTCAGAACCCTCGCGAAGGGTTTCCTCGCCCGTTTCCTAACACCCCTTCTAATGTCTTGGAACAACTTCGTGTGACCGGAAAGGTCATTGTGGTTACCGGGGCTGCGGATGGAATTGGGTTGGCTGTGTCTGAGGCTATGGCTGAGGCTGGAGGCAATGTCGCTTTGTGGTACAACTCGTTCGTCACCTTGACGGGACCTTTGTCATGCGAAACTTACTGATATTTTCTGTCCAGAAATGAGGCTGCCATTCAGAGAGCACAGGGATTATCAGACGTGCACAAAGTCAAAACCGCGGCTTATAAAGTTGATGGTAGGTAGAGTTTTGACCATGCGGCAGAATCAGAGAAGATGGCAGAGTGTTAAATAATCTTTCAGTTTCAAACCCAGACCAGGTTCAAGAGACCATTGCCAAGGTCTTGCAAGACTTTGGTAAGATTGATGTTTTTATCGCTAATGCCGGTGAGTACATCAGTTCTTTCATAAAATCACTGAGATCTTTGACTAAGACTTGCTGGAAAGGTATGGCAATTTCAAAGCCAATTCTGGAACAGACTCTGGATGAATACAGGAAACAGATGTCTGTAAATGGTATGACCTCCGAGCTGCATAACGCCGACAAAGTGAAGAGCTGACTGAAATAGTTGATGGCATCGTTTACTGCTCCAAATACGTTGGCGAAGTGTTTAAGCGCCAGGGTTTTGGCAACCTCATCATCACATCAAGTATGAGTGGGCACATCGTCAATGTTCCCGTTGACCAGCCTGTCTATAATGCCACAAAAGCGTATGTAACGCATTTCGGAAAATCCCTTGCCCGTGAGTGGCGAGAGTTTGCACGTGTGAACATTGTGTCTCCTGGCTTCTTTGACACAAAGATGGGCGCTGGCCCTCTCGCTCTACAAGAAGCGTATCGTATGGCAGCACTTGGACGACAGGGCCATACAAAGGAAATCAAGGGTCTTTATCTGTATCTTGCTAGCGATGCATCTACCTATATGACAGGAAGCGACCTACTCATTGATGGTGGTTATGTCTTGCCATAATGAAAATACAGCAAGAGAGGATTAGGCATTAGACTCTATTTGAATAATAGATTTCAAAGATAGTCATAGGTATACTTGGACATGGATTCCTGGGAATGATCGTTGGAGTGCAGTCTCAATTCCATGCTTTACAATACCGGCAAAAGTGAATTAGGTCGTTGCAAAAAACCATGATTACAGTACTGATACTGAGATTACAACCGCTTCTACCATTACTCTGCCTCATTACGTCGTCGCTTTATGTCTCTAATGAGACCGATGCGGACTTTTGATTTGCTGTGAGCGTCAAGTCGAGGTTTACTAGGTGAGTCATCTGAACAATGCTTAGACTTGACACAGGTTCTTGACGACGGCCTTGAAACAGCTAAGCTATAGGGCAACAGTCACCATGACCTACGGTCCAGCACAATTTGTCTCAACCGATTGGCAGACTACCAAGAGTAGAGAAACGACAAATTGACCAGGCCCTTAGCCGAAGCGAATTTGGTCTTGGTTTGTCCATTTTGGCAGAGAAACTTATATCTACATCTCAACCTGACATTCATATGCATCCAAGTTTCTTAGGACGTAACACAACGACATCCGGAAACGAGCCAGGCAAGGAACCCGAAAACGAAAATCCCGGTGGCTGATCTAGCAGCCAACAGAGACCCGACATTGGCTCAAATCTTCATCCAAGTGTCCTTCGAACTGGCCTTTCAACTTTTTTCTCACAAAAAGCTAGACTACGCTTCAATACCCACTGCTAGATCATATTAAGTGGCGCTATGCTGTCCAATCATCAAGCAATAGGTCCAAGGGCATATTGTCCATAAAGTCAAGAGGGCCTTCATTGAGAAGCATGCGAAGGCTCGGGTCTGTAGTTTCTTCGCCGTATACTGATTGGATTTCCCCGTAAGAAGAAAATTCGTTCTCACTCGGTAATTCTAAAATTTCATTTGTCTCAGAGATGGCGTTCGTTTCGGTGAATGTTGCTGTTGCATCCTGATTCAGACCCATGGGTAGAAAGCAGGCAGGATCCAACGCGGGATCCAGCTGTGGTAATAATTGAAATTGACTGTGAATTCGATCAAGCATCTCCAAACAGCGCCTCGCTGGTCTGTTGTTGTGCTCCAAAGCCTTCAAGCAGGCGCGCGCTTTCGAGACGGAATGTTGCCAGGCTAGCCTATCCTCTTCTGGTCGACTAGCTTCGGTAAGGTAGCTGGCCTCGAGGACTAGTGTCGCCTGAAATATGAAGTATGTAGCGTACCAGGTGATCCCGTTATTTAAAGAGGATTCATATCCCATGCAGAATGCTGCAATATCATGAATGGTCTGCATGGCAATTTCGAGACATTTCGCATCTGCATCAACTTTGCGCGGAAGATAACTGTGACGTTTTTGGCTACCACGCCACAGGAGTATACGAAGGTTTTGTTCCTTCCATAAAATAACGGCTCGTGGCGCTCTAAACCACGACGGACAATCTGTAGTACGAAAGTATTTTGGTAGAGTATCTCGCCAACGATTAAGATCTCGCTCCATTGTCTCAGCGACCCGAAATTCGACTTTAGTGCCTGCAATTTTCGCTAAAAGAAACTCGTGGTAGATTGTGTCGGCGATCTTTGCAAGTTGTGTGTGGCATATTATCGCGGAATATGTTGTGGGATAACTAACTTCCGCAGGAACGGGTGCGTTAAAGTGTAACTCCTGGCAGGCAAAGCTGTTATTATGCGGACGTGGACTGCGAAGATGGAGGCAAATACCTTGTCATCGATATTTCGGGGTAAGCGAGTGTCTGTAAAACTGTCTGACATTGCTGGCGGTCGACCAGTGGTGATGTTGAATCCACTTTCAAAGCAATAAATGATCCAGAACAGCTGTCGACGGCGCTCATGACCAACAGTATCCTCGGAGCCAGGCGGTTCACGGTGCAAGCCTAGTCCTAGTGCCATTCTGTAGGCCAAACCGATAAAATTGTATCCAGTATTGGTCCGGTCTCGCTTCTGCAAATAATTTCCCATAAGTAGAAACGCCTGTACCGTCTCAATAGTGCCAGACTCGAGCATCTGGAGCGACAGGTATGATCTTGCTGCCGAATAATAGCCTGACTGTTGGTGTTCTGACTCTTTACTCGATAGCCAATGCCCGATGGTAAGAACCATGTGATAGACAACTTTCCATGGCGAGCCTACAAGCCGTTGTCTGTGTCCTGCCTTGACTCTGTTGCGAAATGTCGTTTCATGTAGTATCGGATAACTAGTATTATAGAGAAGAAAGTAAGAGTCAATGAGACGACTTGATATATAAGAGAGAGGCAAGTCTAAAGATTCGGGCGTTGGAAATCCAGAAGAATTTGAAGATTGTCGTCGGCGCTTTCGGTGTGCTGGAATTTGATAATCCTTTGTTGTGTTTGACACGTGGATCACGGAGTCAATTTCACCAAGGAGCTGTGATCCGGAACTACTTCCTGTGTAATATGACCATGGTCAATTTGGTGTCATGGTACATGAAAGAGAACCGTGACTCACCGAGATACCCAGAGTCATGACTTGACAACGTTGCCATGCCGTCATTATCATTTGTTGAATTCGATTGATTTATGGGGGACAGAGAACCTTCATGCCATTCATAGCTGTGAGGAGTGGTCTCATCCGACTCCTCCGTGGCATATGAACTGTGTTCCCCCTCTTTATTATCAATCGTTGACCGTTTCAAGGCAGACTCAATATCCAGGTCAGGATTGAGTGATAGCAGCAAGTTCTGGAGCTGTGTGCACCGAAGCTCAGCTGCGTCCAAGTTCTTCCGGGTTAGAGGTGTCCGATCAGGTGGACTCTCAAAACTGCAGGTCTTTCCTGTTTTGGTGCAGTAGGAACATGGGTCATTGGGTACACTACCTCTCATACATCTGCTCTTCCTTTTCTGGCAGTTGACGCAGGCTCGCACGATGCTAGTGTTGGAACATTTTGATTGAGACACCTGCATTCTGGGCTATAGGCGTGGAACTAGCAAACCTAAAACAACTTGCGATGAAGGAGGTGATGAGCAGGTGATATGTTGAGAGGCACATAAGCGTAGCATTCTGTTAGCTTGTCGGGGCATGTACGACGATGGTCACTCTCCTCCGACCGGGCCTGGTGTGGCCCACTTGAGGTCATAGACAAGCCACAGCACATGTTTTCCCCTCAGAAGTTGGCGGTCGGAGCACTGTCGACCGACGACGCCACAGGCACAAGCCACAAATCCATGGCAGGTGTGTCAGCGGGGCGTACTGGTAGATCATTCTCGCATGATTTAGCTACAAAAGATGTATTGTATGCAATGGTATCTTGCTCTTAGTTATCTGTTAGCAGTATGGAAATAGACTGGAAAATAACTCGATAAAATCATTTAGCGAAGTATTTGTAGACTTCTAAGTAGTAATAGAGGTTAATTTCATTCCAATCAATCTGCCCTCAAAGTGGCATTCTCTCCTAACTCCTATTCATAAAACTCCTCACACCATCAGACTTACCTGTTAGAGATCAAAAAGAATTATCCAAACCTAAAATCTTTAGTAGTTTGGAGAGATTAGAGTTTACAACGTAAGCAGCTCAATATCGGAAGCAAGTAAATCCCGGTGCGTTGTGGCAAATCGAGGGCATACATATTGGTCATCAGCTATGTGTTACGGTCAGCTATCCGACAGTAGGGTCTGCTAACAGAAGTTGGGGATTGACGCTAGTAAACAGTATTGTCGTGTCGTAAGTCTGGTTCGTAGGTCGTAGGCTGTGTCGTAGATCGGTAGTCAGAGGCTAAGTGTTACGGTCAGCTATCCGACAGTAGGGTCTGCTAACAGAAGTTGGGGATTGACGCTAGTAAACAGTATTGTCGTGTCGTAAGTCTGGTTCGTAGGTCGTAGGCTGTGTCGTAGATCGGTAGTCAGAGGCTAAGTGTTACGGTCAGCTATCCGACAGTAGGGTCTGCTAACAGAAGTTGGGGATTGACGCTAGTAAACAGTATTGTCGTGTCGTAAGTCTGGTTCGTAGGTCGTAGGCTGTGTCGTAGATCGGTAGTCAGAGGCTAAGGTGATCAATCTTAGGCTCAACAAGTATTCGCAGTGAAGGTAAGCTGAAAGTATCCTGAGGATGAATACAAAGTTGATTGCTGAAGAGCTATGGAAGTCTGACTATGAGTCGAGCTCAGGTCATACTATATACAAGTCCGAACAGTACCCTTTGTTTGTTTTACCGTTCCTGATCCTGACGGGGTCCGTTCCTCGTTCATACGGATCCCGTATGTGCCAAGGACGGACTCCGTATTCTTAGCGTACGGATCTAATCTCTTATCTTATCGTCACGTGACTTGCACCATAGTTCTTCCGTTTCCGAGTGAATCCCTGTTGTTCCTGTGATTCTGCAGTACAAATGTCCTGTTACAGCCGCCCGACGTCCAAGTGGGTCTTTCAGCTGTTATCCTTGTTTACGGGTCGTAACATCAGGTCCCCTCTCCAAAGGTCTTGTCCTCAAGACCCAACATAAGTAGGTCGTTGGTCCCAGGTTGGGGATCCGTCAATCGTGCTTCCCGATTTACCTATGATGCTGACACCATGTCAGGTCGCGTTCAAAAATCGAAACAATCCAAGTCGGCACTTCGTTCTGCTTGTGAAGACGTTTTTTATCGCTTTGGTTCTGACGACGTTATGCCGTGTACTTGCTGCTTCCGTGCAAAGCGTACATGTCGGATGGCGGAGGGCGCAAAAACTTGTCAGGGTTGTAGAAACCTGAAGCGTCCTTGTGATGGTCTCGTGGTGGCGTCTAGTCGTGAGTCTTCGTGGCGTTCGTGTGCCCGTGTGCGTGCTGATTGGTCGTAGTGAAAAGGCTGAGCGATCAGCGTCAGGAGTGGGAAGAGAAGGAGGAGCAGGCTAGTGATGCACTGCTGGATCTTCATGAAAAGTTGGCGCGGGTTCAAGCCGAGGTGGCTGAAGCGGCTGGTCGATTGTCGCGGATCCGCGCGATTCGGAAGAAAGTGAAGGAGCGGCATGTGGAGACGTTTTCTCGAGGGATGCAGGAGTTAGAGGAGGACGACGTTCTTCCTGCATTGGATGCTCATGAGAGTGGTGTGGTTGGTGATCTTCAGTTTCAGGGTGTGGAGAACAATCCGGATTGGGCGAGTTTTGGCATTGGCGAGGAGTTTGCGGATCTTGGCCCTTTGTTGGGGGATTCGCAGTTGGTGTCTTCCAGTGGTTCTTAGTTGCTTTCTGGTGTTCCTAGGCGAATAAATGGTTTTCCTTGTCGTGGTCTGTCTGCTTCCGTTGGTGGTCGCACATGCTTGTGAGGTCGCCTGATGCGCTGGTAACCGGTGGTGTCTGTTGGGGCTGTTGTCGCTGGCGCTGCTGGCGTCGTTTCTCGTTCTTGGTGTTGTTGCCAGTAGGTCGCGAGTTCGTCCTTCGCATTGGTGATGTTCTTGGCTGGTTCCCATGTGTTGTCTTCGTGACCATATCCTTTCCACTTGATGAGGTATTGGTATCCTTCTGGTTCTTCAAGGTGGTCGATGATTCGTTCGACTTCGTACTCTGGTTCGTTATCTTCCACAATGATGAGGTCGTTTGTCTATGATCCTTGTGGTGCTGGTTCGAGTAGCGAAATGTAGAATGTTGGAAAACACTTTATCGTGTCGGGTAGGTCGAGTTCGTAATTGACTGGTGAAACTTTTCGGAGGATCTTGAAAGGTCCGAGTTTTTTAAAGTCTAGTTTGTCGTTCGGTCGTTTTGTTTTGATGTTTCGCCGTATGAGGTAGGCGCTATCTCCCTCTTTCAAGGTTGGTCCCTCAATCCTTCGTTTGTTGCTGAATTTCGTCATTCGTTGTCGCACGAATTCGAGTTCTTTGCGTGCGTTGTCTTGGATATCCTTGATTTGTTTAACTGTGGCGACAGCCTTGAGTGCTGCTAGGCTAGCTTAGGGTTTTCCATAGGCGGTTGGTTCAAATCCGTAGTTGAGGTAGAAGGGGGATTCCTTAGTGCTTTCTCCGATTGCGCTGTTGTAGGCAAATTGGGCTATTGGTAGTAGTACTACCTAATTGTCTTGGTTGTAGTTGACGTAGGCGCGGAGGTAGGTTTCGAGGATCTGATTGATTCGTTCTGTTTGTCTGTCGGTCTGTAGGTGAAATGCAGTGGACATTTTCTGGTCGATGCCGAGTTGTGCGGTGAGTGACTTCCAAAATTTGGAGGTGAAGATCTTGTCTCTGTCTAACACAATTTCCTTGGGTATGCCATGGTTGGCGATGATGTACTTGAGAATCGTGTAGGCGAATTCTTCGGCGTTGCTTGCTTCCTTGTACGGGATGAAGTAGGCGTACTTCGTGAGTCTGTCGACGATGACGAGAACGCTGTCAAAGTAGACTCCCGTAAGGGGTTCTCAAGACTTCGGTAGTTTGATAATAAAGTCGAGTAATATAGAATGCCAGGCGGTTTGCGGCACAGGCAAAGGTTGTAACAATCCATAAGGTTAGTGTCGGGCTGGTTTGCTTTTAAGGCAAACCTCGCAATCCTTAATTGCTATTACGACACGTTCTCTAGTAACCTTTTCTCCATATTGTTGTCGTAGTCGTTTCCAGGTTTTTGTGATTCCTTGGTGACCGTGTGCTGGCCGAGCGTGGAACTCCATGATTACTTCATCGTCCAGTCCGCTAGTCGAGCTAGCACTAGATCGTCTAGCCATCATCAAGAGTTTTGTAGCAGGCACGAGGTCTCCATTCTCGTTGTGTTTGAGAATCACCTAGGTCTCGTTTGGTACCGGGATATTGTAGTCCGGTCGTCGGCTGAGGGCGTCGGCCCTGCCGTTCTCTGATCCTTTCCGATAGATGATTCGGAAATTGAATTCTGAGAGGAATTCTAACCATCTGATTTGTCGTTTGTTAAGTTCCTTCGAAGTGGTAAAGTGGGCTAGGTTCTTGTAGTCCGTATATACAAGTACTTGGTAGATGGTTCCTGAGAGTTGGGGTCGCCATTCCTTGAATGCTTCGATGATTGCCATGAGTTCTTTGTCGTGGATCTGGTAGTTGAGTTCTGATCCGCGGAGCTTGCGTGAGAAGAAGCCACAGGGGTGCAGGCGTCCTTCTGAGTCTCGTTGAGATAATTGTGCTCCTAGCGCGAAATCTGAGGCGTCTGTTTCCACTTCGAATTGTTCTAGTGGGTTGGGAATCATCAGGACTGGTTCGCTAGTGATGCGGTCCTTGATTGTTTAAAAGGCGGTTTCCTGTTTTTCTTTCCACTCGAATGGTTGGTCTTTCTTGCTGAGGTCCGTAAGGGGTGCGTTGATTTTTCCGTAGAGTCCGATGAACTTTCGGTAAAAATTAACGAATCCGAGGAATCCTTGGACTTCCTTGAGGTTCGTCGGTATCGGCCATTCTTTAACGGCTTGAACTTTCTTTTTGGATATGCTGATGTGTCCGGGAGTAATGGTGAATCCGAGGTATTCTACTTCTTGGGTGTGAAATGTGCTTTTCTCGGGTTCAACCAGGAGTTTGGCGTCTTGGAGGGCTTGAAGTACGAGGTGTACGTGCTCCTTGTGTTGTTCCATCGTTGGTGAGAAGATGAGGATGTCGTCAAGGTAGACGACTACGAAGATGTCCACGTATTTCCTGAGAACTTGGTTGATCATGTTCTGGAAAGTGGCTGGGGCATTGGTGAGACCGAAAGGCATGACGAGGTATTCGAAATGTCCTCTGCGTGTTCTGAAGGCGGTCTTCCATTCTTCTCCTTGCTTCATTCTGATGAGGTTGTAGGCACCCTTGAGGTCTAGTGCCGTGAAGTAGTTGGCTCCGTGGAGGAGTCGTTATAGTTCTTCGATTAATGGTAGCGGGTACCGATTTTTAATCGTCATTTCGTTAAGCATTCGGTAGCCGACACAAAGTCGTAGTTTTCCGTTCTTTTTTAGTACGAACAGGATTAGGCTTCCTGCTAGTGATGTTGATTCTCTGATATAGCCTTTCTCGAGGTTTTCGTCGAGGTATTTGTCGAGGGCTTCCATTTCTGTTGGGTTGAGTCCGTAAATTTTGTTGAACTTGGGTTCCTTCCCCTCCTTAATAGGGATTTCGTGATCGAAATTCGTGTGTTCGGGCAGTCCGGTTTCCAGTTCGGCTGCGAAGAGTTTTTCGTAGACTCTGTATTCTTCTAGGATAGACAGAAGTGGATCGTCTTTTTGTTCGAGATCCGTTTGCTTTAATAGTCGTGATGCGGCTTCTTTCGCCTTGAGGTAGCAGATGTATCGTTTTGCTGTTCTTTGGTGGGTGGATCTGTTTGAGGCCTGGGTTCTGCAGGGCTGCTCAGGGACTAGATCGTCGTTGTCCCAATAGAGTTGGCCTGTTCTCTAATCTATCCGTGGGTTGTTCTTTTCCAGCCATGGTATTCCTAACACAATGTCGTATGCACCGAGTTCGGCAATGTCGAATTAGAGTTGTTCGTTTCGATCCAGGTAACTCATCTCGAGGGGCGTAGTCTCGTTTTTGATGGTTCCTCCTTCGTACTAGACTTGTTCTCCTTCTATGTTGCTGAGCTGGTACGTGTGTTCCTTCTTCTGCCATGGTAGTCGTAGTCGGTTCACCGCTTAGGGTGATACAAAATTCATTTCGGCTCCGCTATCGATAAGCGCGATGGTTGTCGTGTCGTTGATAGTAACTGCGAGTTGCAGGTGTACTTTCTGGTCTAGGGATGCTAGACAGATAGACCTTGTCGTTGTTGCCTGTCTCGGTCCTTCATCGGTAGGCGAGTCTAGTTTTTTGACTGCTCTAGTTGTCTTGGGTAGGTAATGTGCTTCCCTTCTCGTCGTGCCTTCGTGAAGCGGTTTTCCTGGAATCGGAGCCTCGGGGGGTTCGATCCTTCTTGTAGGAGTCTGTAGGCTTTTGCCTTTTGGGTTGCGTGGATGAGGCATTCGTCCGTTCGACATTCTTCCCACTTCATGTTTTTGTCGTGGGTGCACCTCATGGGGTATTATCGGCTGGGGGTGAACGTGGCGATGTTGCCGTCGAACTTCCTGAGTTCCCACCCTGTGAGAGTGTAGGCGGTGTAGACGTTTCGTAGGGGGGTGTTGTCGTATTTCCTGGGTTGGAAGTAGTGTTCGTATTTTTCTCCCATGTGCGTCTCGCAGTGGTCGAAGAAGCACTGGGCCCAAAAGAGGTAGCGATGGCTTGGGTCCGTGATTCTGAGGTAGGGGTGATCTTCGATCCTGAGTTGCGGGGTGTAGTGCGTCCTGGGTCCCATGTTTGGCACGCCATAAAGTTCGATGAATTGCTCATCATTGTGCTGATTT